TAAGCTTCTTTTTTATCCCGCACATAAAACATAAAAGAAATGAGCTGCTAAGCCCTGCTTTTGACTCATTAATAAATTTAATGCGAGTTTTGTTGCAGTTGAATGAATTATTCTCCACCATCAGTATTTGGTTCTGCATCATTTGTATTATTTATCTTATGGTATCGCTTCAAATAATGTATCGTTTTAATTTTTACTGTGATGGTTTATTCTTTTTAAATAAGTCCTTTTTATGTGTGCCACAGTTTATACAATAAAATTAATAAAATTTAACTTACCTTTCGGAATGAATACATTTTTCAATTGAATCTCGGACTATAAAATATGAAATTTTAGATTTTATAAAAATTTATATCGTAAATTATTACCGTCTATTACTCCTTTTTCGAGAACATCTTCAAATGCTAAGGGGTAGTTTTTTAGATGAACATACTTACCCATTGTTTATAAAAACTTTACACAAACTAAATTAAACTAACACTATAGTACACAATAAAATAACAACTATTGACTATAAATTCAAAAATTTTGTTAAATTACACAATTATTAGTAGAAAATCACGGAAAATAAAGTTCAAAACGTACTTTTGGAAATGATTATTTTCTCTACCACATTAAAAAGTAATAGATAAAACAAGGAGCTTCGATGAAGAGAGTCGATGTCAGCGCCGCTCAGTCGGCAGGAGGCGGGACTAACGCGGTGGTAATACTTCGTGGGAATCTTGACGGAAAATATTCATTTTTACGCTACCTTTTTGCAATTTTAGCAAATTACAAACTATTCCTTTATAACTAAAAATTTTGAAAAAATTTATTTGAAAAATGTTACTATTTTCAAGTATACTATCATGCAAGCTAAAAAAGAACGACCAAATTCTATAATATTGAGGAAAAAAACCCCTTTTTTTGGAAAACTTTAAAAATTTTCACCATGCGTTATGTAGAATTGTTAGAAGAAGCTATGTACAAAATTTCATCCAAATATTTTCATAAATAATGTATGTTTTTTGTAATTTGCTGAGCTGTATGGTAAAGTAGCCTCTTAAGTTTGATTTTTATTTATAATTAATAAAAATTAAGTTATATTTGAGAATCAAACTTAATAATGATTAGTGTTAATAATTATTATTAAAATGTTTAAGATAAATTAAAAATAATTCACAAAAAAAAAATAATAAAGAATGAAATAAGCGCCATCTGTTGTTGAGAGGGTAATATTAATAAATAGAACTGTCATTTGAATTAAAATGTCATAATTGAACGAATTATTTTTATTAATTCTAACTAAATGACTAAAATGGGGTTAAAAACGACTGAATTAATTAAAATTATAAGGTGCGGCGATAATTATTTAAGCGTTGTTGATAAGAATTGTGGAACAGGAAATGGTGTAGATTAGAAAAACATTTTCACGCTTGCGCCACCTAAAATCGATCCGATTTCAAGGTAAAACTCAACTATTTACCATTCCGTTAACGAATTGAGATGAAAATTCGTTAAAAAAGAAGCGGGACCTTAAAAAACCAATAAGAACGCGCGAAAATACCCAAAAGGAGTGAAAAAAAGTTATTAACCAAAAAAAATGGGTTCAAAATCAGGTTATAAACAAATTTGTTATTAATTTAATCCGAATCATTGTTTTTGTAGATGAAAATTTCAAAGCTAAACTAATAGCAAATGTCAAAAAAGAGGTAAAACAAGTCATGGAAGAATCGGTAACGAGAAAATTCGTTCACGAAGAATCAGGATCGGTAACAGCTTTATGTGGGGCTGTTGAAGCTTGTTTATCTCAAGGTAATTTCAATAAAAATAAATCAAAATGCGTCGAGGTTATGTTTAAATCTAACCTCATTATTTTGACAGCTGTCAATTTGAAATGTTTGGATTATTTTTTTTCTTTTAAGGTTTACGAAGACGTGCTTTAGGCCTATTTAAAACATCCTCAACGACCGCTTTACTCCATAAAATAGCAAAACACAGCCCGGAAGCGGCGATAATCTCGAAAAAACTCCAACAAATTGAAAATTCCGACCCAAATCGGCGATCATCGAGCAGTAGCGATAGTTTAACGAAACCGACGTTAAAGAAAAACGCTTCGTTTCATGGTCTCGCAACGACGCAACCTAAACATTTATGGATCCGTTTGGCGCTATTTGAAAGGAACCTCCCGAAAGTGATCGATTTTTTGGTTCAAAACGCGTCGAAGTATTACGAAAGAGATAGTTTGGTTGCCGATGCGGATTACGGATCGATTTTGAGTTCGCTTTTGGTGGGACCTTGCGCTTTGGATTACTCAAAAACGAGGAATCAAAGCTTTTGGAGCGATCCCCCGGCTGATGAGCTCGTTCAACGACATCGAATTTCTTCCTCTGCGTCGACCCCCCCGTCGGTTAGGCGGCCTATTTTAAACTTTAAACGCTCCTTAAACGCAAGTTCGGAGGATTCGGGGGGGTTGAGAGGTTCGAGTCAGCTTTTTGCTAAAGATTACGTCGAGTCGTTGCATCAAAACGCGAAGGAGTCGCTAATTTTCGGCAAAAACAACGTTTTGATTTCGCCCCAAAAGGCGGGAAATTCAAATTTAATCCCGGGGTATTTAAGTTTACATCAAAACGTTGACGGGTTAACATTAAAATGGACCCCGAATCAACTTATAAACGGATTTAAAGACGATGAAGAATGTTTAAAGAATGTAAACGATAAAAGTGTTTATTGGGATTACGCCTTAACGGTGAGGTTGGATGAAATCGTTTATGTGCATTGTCATCGCGAAAATGATACGGGGGGGACGATTATTTTGGTGGGACAAGACGGGGTTCAACGACCCCCGATTCATTTTCCTAAAGGGGGGCACATGTTGGCGTTTTTATCGTGTGTCGAAACCGGGTTGTTACCCAGAGGGCGTTTAGACCCACCCTTGTGGTCCCAAAGGAATAATAATAACAAAAAAAGGAGGCCTTTAGCGACTTTGGGGGAAAAAAACGAAGAAAACGATGGGGATGAGACATTCTTGGTTAAAAAGAAGGAGGATTTGGTGTTTCGAATCATCGATCACCGCGAAATTGGACTCAAACGAAATCAATTAATGGACACCCACGTCCAATTCCCCTCCTCGAAATCAATCAAAACAAATTCAAGCACAAGCTCAGAAAGCTCAACGAAAAGCTTAAGCATCGATCAATCCGTTATTAATATTAATAACATCACAGTTCAAGACGGTTATTCCCCGCCGAGTATCCAAGCAGTTTGCGATTCGATGAAACGTCAAATCATTTCGAGGGCCTTTTACGGCTGGTTAGCTTACTGCCGCCATCTATCGACCGTTAGGCGCCACTTAACCGGATTAGTTAACTCAAAAATAATCAACGACGAAGTCGGCGCTAAAGATGGCGTCACCATCGAAAAATGGCGCGAAATTTGCAACGAAGGCGTCATTACCGACCGAGGCGAATTATACAAATTAGTTTATTTCGGCGGGATCCACCACGATTTAAGAAAAGAAATTTGGCCCTATTTACTAGGACATTACAAATTTGGAAGTAACATAGACGAAAGGGTTAAATTAAGCGAAGAAACAAAACAAGCGTACGAAAATACAATGTCGGAGTGGTTAGCCGTTGAGGCAATAGTGAGACAACGCGATAAAGAAAGTCAAGCTAACGCGATTGCTAAATTAAGCAGCGATAGTATCAGCGGGAACGAAGTCCCAAAACAGATTCAACGAGATTTAAGTAATGATGTTTTTGAAGATTTTTCTAGTTTTTCCGATGAGGATGATCCCAAAATCATCACGCATCCACAAAACGACGATGAAAATGATGTTTTATCGAAGGAGAATGTAACGCAACACGATTTAGATTGCTTAAAAAAGGAGAGACTCCTCAAGGAGTACTCAACCACCTCATCGACGAAAGCGCAAATTTCGGAATTTTCGAGTATTGATACTGAGTATTCAAGTAAAGAGACTGAAAGTTCCGAAGTGACCGAAATACAAGATATGGAGAAGTGTCTAAATGTTAATGAGGGGAAGTTTGTTACCCCGGAAATGACAACGGAGGATTTTGATGTTAATAACGTGATCGTAACGACGGCTAGTGTTGATTTGAATCAACCGGAAGTGTCGGTAAAAACGTTTGAGAGTTTAACGGCCGTTAAGGAGGAAAATAGTTTGGATACGTTGGATTGTATTGATTCGCATGGGTTGGTGAGTCCTTCTGTGTCGGCGTGTGTTTCCCCGGCGAGTTCTAATGGGGGAGTTTATACGGTAAAAAAATTATGTTTAATAAAAATTGATAAAAAATTTTGTTTTGTAGCAAGAACTTTTAGAATCGTTCGGGCAAAACTTGCATAGAATCGATAAGGATGTTCAAAGGTGTGATAGGAATTATTGGTACTTTACGAACGAAAATTTAGAGAAGTTGAGGAATGTAATGTGCACGTAAGTCAATTTTACTTCAATTAAAATTGACGCAATGTAATTATCAAGATATTAATGTATTTTAGATGATGCATGTTTCCAATTTGAAGTTAATATTATTATTTTTATTAATACTTCAACTAAACGATACTACACAAATAGATTTAATCATAGCTGTAATCAGTTGAGGACATTTAAACACACTTGGAAGCAGTTAAGGATATTTAGACAGATTTGAAATTATTTGGGGATGTTTAGGCACATATTTAAACACACTTGTAATCACTTTTGTTGATTTTGACATACTTGAAATCATTCGGGGATGTATAAACGCAAATTTAGACATATTTAAAACCATTTGGAGATGTTTAGACACACAATTAAATACACTAGACATCACTTGGGAACATTTAGACACATTTGGACGTACTTGAAATTATTTAACGATGATTAAACACACATTTAGATATATTTGAAAACATTTTGGGGTGTTTAGACACACTTAAAATCATTTGGGAATGTTTAGACACACATTCAAACACACTAGAAATCACTTGGGAACATTTAGACATATTTGGACACACTTGAAATCATTTAATGGTGGTTAAACACACATTTAGATACATTTCAAATCATTTTGGTATGTTTAAATACACTTTTAGACGCACTTTATATCACTTTTGCAGATTTAGACATACTTGAAATCAGTTTCACACATTTGGACACACTTAAAATCATTTAATGGTGTTTAAACACACATTTAGAAATATTTGAAATGATTTGGGGATGTTTAGACACACTTGAAATCACTTGGGAACATTTAGACATATTTGAACACACTTGAAATCATTTAATGGTGTTTAAACACCCAATTAGATATATTTGAAATCATTTTGGCATATTTAGACACACTTAAAATCATTCGCGGATGTTTAAACACACATTTAGCCATATTAGAAATCATTTGGGGATGTTTAGCCATACTTGATATCACTTGGGAACAGTTAAACATATTTGGACACACTTGAAATCATTTAATCGTGTTGAAACACACATTTAGAAATATTTGAAATGATTTGGGGATGTTTAGACACACATTTAGACACACTTGAAATCACTTGGGAACATTTAGATATATTTGAACACACTTGAAATCATTTAATGGTGTTTAAACACACAATTAGATATATTTGAAATCATTTTAGCATATTTAGACACACTTAAAATCATTCGGGGATGTTTAAACACACATTTAGACATATTAGAAATCATTTGGGGATGTTTAGCCATACTTGACATAACTTAGGAACATTTAGACATGTTTGGACACACTTGAAATCATTTAATCGTGTTGAAACACACATTTAGATACGTTTAAAATCATTTTGGTATGTTTAGACACATATTTAGACACACTTGAAATCACTTGAGAAAGTTTAGACATATTTGGAGACACTTGAAATCGTTTAATGGTGTTTAAACACACATTAAGTTACATTTGAAATAATTTTGGTATGTTTAGACACGCTTTTAGACGCATTTGATGTCACTTTTGCAGATTTAGACATACTTGAAATCAGTTGGACACACTTGGACACACTTAAAATCATTTAATGGTGTTTAAACACACATTAAGTTACATTTGAAATGATTTTGGTATATTTAGACACACTTTTAGACACACTTGNTTTTTTATTCAAACTTTTTTGTTTTTTGAGATAAGTGCGTCATGTTTGGACTCATTTTAAAGGTTTTTTGATGAAGATGACAAATATGTCAAAATTGACGTTGACGTTTCCAACCGGAAGTGATTGTATCTCCATTAATATTAAAGTTAAATATGTCGAGTTTGGACTCATTTTAAAGGATTTTTTATGAAGTTGACAAATATGTCAAAATTAAAAGTTGATAGTTCCTTCACTGGTACCTTGGTAAAAAGAGACTCAACATCGAAACTTACCAAAATATGCCGTGTTCCCTGTAAAAGGAGACAGAATCTTTGCGAGATATTTGGCCAACTGGTATGCTAGGAAGTTGATGGCACTGACGATAGGGCGGAGGGGGACGTCTGGTTTATGAATCTTCGGTAGTCTATAAATTCTTGATAGTACCGGAGCCTGCACAAACAATCCTTTCTTAGTTCTGCTGGAATTCCTATGGATTTTATCAGGTCCTTCATTTTCTTTCTTTCGATGCGTCGTAGATAAACACAGAAATTCACAAACACAGGTCCTGTTAATTAAAAAAAGATTTTATTAGAAAAAATGATAAATACCCAAATCTCACCTTAATCTAACCACCAAAATCAATTAACACGACAAAATAACACAAAGAATCTTTAAACATCTTTGCTTAATTTCAAACCAAATTATGAGGTTAAAACGAAATCGCAACGTTATACTTGTCGCGATCGTCGGTTACCATGGTTACCGTGGAGAATTTGAGTGGTTGGTAACGAAGAAAATAAAAATGCCGCCATCTATTGAGATTAAAAAAAAAACGATATTTTTAGTGTAAAAATCAATATTATTATAAAACAACGCGAAATATTTCAATAATTACACACATTTACCTTAATTATTAATTAATATCACTTTTTTAATTAAACCTCAATAAAATTTATGTCATTTTTTGTGCGTCATTGCGAAAAAAAGTGAGGTTATAACGAAATCACCTAAAATCATCAAATTGTCCAAAACTATTCGGATTAATCTTAAACGATCTTAAAGTACGTTGTATCTTGAAATGTGATAAACGAAATGTATTTTTTAAGTTATTTTAAAGTCACTTTTCAAGTGACATTTTTTGACGTTTCATTAAAAGAAATCTTATAACTCATTTTGTGTTAGAAATAAAACTAAAACTAGAAAATTAATTTAAAATTGGGTCAAATAATTACAACATTGATTTTTATTAATTAATAATAATTATTAAATTAAAAGAAAAATAATGAATCGAAATTGCTTTAACACCGCCATCTATTGGACGATAATTTAATTTTGTACGATTATCTAACTTCATTTCATAACGTCAAGTTGTAAAAAGCGTCATAACAAACTTTTTGATTATATCTCACTTAATTAAGCCGTTTTAAGTTTTAAGTTATTTTCAAAAATATCAACGATTTACGTAAGTTTTACTTTAATTGTTTGCATTAATCGGCATCTCCTATGAGTCTTTTTCAAGTGACATCTTTTGACGTTTCATTAAAAAAAATTTAATAACTCATTTTGTGTTAGAAATAAAACTAAAACTAGAAATTTTCGGGTTATCATTTATTATTATAAATTTCTAGTTTTAGTTTTATTTCTTATTACATCGGCAAAATTTTTTAATTTAGATTTGACACTCGTGTTAAAGCGCCATCTTTTGATTTTAATCAATACTACATTTGATTTTAATTCGGTAATTAATTTAAAAAAAATTAATTAATTTAAAATTGGGTCAAAATCAAATTAAAATTGGTAATAATAATTACAAAATTGATTTTTATTAATTAATAATAATTACTAATTTTAAAAAGAATAATGCTTTACCACCGCCATCTATTGAACGATTATCTAACTAACTTCAGCTGATAATGTCAATTTACATAACCTCAAAAAAAATTTTTTTTAGTCCCCAACCGAAATTCGATTATCAAACGGAAATCGTCCATCGCAAGGCCGTTTAGAAATTAAATACCACGGAACTTGGGGTACAGTTTGCGACGATGATTTCAACGACGACGCCGCAAAAGTGGTTTGTCGTTACCTCGGATTTAAAGGATCCGCAACTTCGCATAAAAACGGCATTTACGGACCGGGGAAAGGCCCGATTTGGTTAGACCAAGTCTTTTGCCAAGGAAACGAGACCACTTTGCAAGAATGTGACCATTGGGATTGGGGAAAACACAATTGCGACCATTCCGAAGACGTCGGAATCGATTGTGATGACCACGAAAACGTGAAATCAACACCGAGGAATAGTCAAAATTACCGAATTAAGCCCCTAAAACAAATTTTACCCATAACATGTGGATTAAGGAGTGATAATATATTTTCGGTACAAGATGATGTTCATTTTAGGGTTGTTAAAGGGTTGGTGGCGGAGAAAGGGATGTATCCTTGGCAAGCTAGTGTAAGGGTGAAAGGACAATCGAGTCAAGAACATTGGTGTGGGGCTGTTATTGTTTCAGAGAAGTTTGTTTTAACAGCCGGACATTGTTTAAATGGATATCAAAAAGGTGGTTTTGTTATTGTCGCTGGGGATTATGATAGAAATGAAAATGAAGGTACTGAACAAGTTGTAAATATTGAAGAGTTTTATGTACATAACGAATTTCGGAAAGGGACGAAAATGAATAACGATTTAGCGCTGATTAAATTAAAAGGGGATGGATTCCAATTTGATGACCACATTCGAGCGATTTGTTTACCACCGATTCATTTACAAGAAGAAGGTTTAAATTGTAGCATCTCAGGTTTTGGGAGCGTTAAATCAGGAAGAGCAGGTTTTATTTCTAACTTAATTAAAAAAAAAAATGTATTAATTTTTTAATTTTAGTCGCATCAAGAGAATTAAGAGCCGGATTTATTCCAATTCAATCCCGCGAAGTTTGCAAAATGCCCCATATTTATGGAGAAGCCTTAACTGAGGGGATGATTTGCGCCGGGAATTTAGGCGGAGGGGTCGATGCTTGCGACGGGGATAGCGGGGGACCTTTAGCGTGTCTCAATGATGGTAATTTCATTAAAAAAAAAGGGGTTAAATATGATTAATTTTATTTTTGTAGGTGTTTTTACCTTGGTTGGGTTGACATCGTGGGGACAACATTGCGGGCATGCGAATAAACCGGGAGTTTACGTCAAGATATCGCACTATAGGAATTGGCTGGATGAAATGATGAGGAAGCACTCGGATTAAATAAAAATTAATTTATATAAGTGAGGTTAAAACGAAACGTCAAATTTTAATTTAAACGGTCGATAATGTAGGAAACGTTAGCGCCATCTATTGAGATTTTTTTTTGTATTGAATAAAAATAAGTTAAAAATTATTGTTATTATGAAATTAATTATTTAATTATTAATTATTACAAAAATTTTAATTAATAATGTGTCATTTTTGTTCCGAAACGTCATTGTGGAAAATGTGAGGTAAAGAAGAAAATAATAAAGGCGCCATCTATTGAGATTTCTAAGAAATTTTTAAACTAAAAATAAATTTTAAAAAAACTTACCGAAATTTTAATCCAACTTGAGGGCGACTTATACGTTGTAGATAAAGAGAGATTCACAAACGCAGCTCCTATTAATTAAAGAAAGATTTTATTAGGAAAAATGATAAAATCCAAATCTCACCTTAACGTGGTTAAAAACACATCAAAATCAATTAATATTGATTGCGGAAATGCGATTATAAACCAGGAGTTATTGGATCGATGACTTGGATTAAATAAAAATTAATTTGATACTTAATAAAGAAATTAATTAATTTTTCGATTTTTTGAGGTTAAAACGAAACTGTCAAATTTTAATTTTAAGTGGTCGGTAACGTAGAAAAACTTGGCGCCATCTATTGAGATTTTTTTATATTATATAACAATAAATTAATAATTATTTTTTAACGTAAAAATTAATATTATTATAAAATAACCCAGATTATTTTAAAAATTACAATAATTTTAATTAATAATCCTTTTTTGGTTAAATTAAATCATCAATAATATTTTGCGTCATTTTTGTACCGAAATGTCATTGTGGAAAAAGTGAGGTTACAACGAAATTAAGCAAATTTATTCGTATTAGTCTAAAATGGTCTCAACGTACGTTGTATCTTGTATATTTTAACTTTAATGCACGTGTTATTAACGGTATAAATACAAAAATAAGTTTAACTAACCTTATTTGTCGAGGAAACTAAACACTTTGGAAGAATTAGGATTGCGGAAATTCGATCATAAACTAGGAGTTAATGGATCGATGTGAAATCATTTGGATTAAATAAAAATTAATTTATTTATTGATTAAAGCGATTAATTAATTTTTCCACTTTTTGTGGTTAAAACGAAACTGTCAAATTTTAATTTTAAGCGGTCGGTAACGTAGAGAACATTGGCGCCATCCATTGACATTTTTTTAAATTATATAAGAATAAATTAATAATTAATTTTTAACGTAAAAATTAATATTATTATAAAATAACCCAGATTATTTTAAAAATTACAAAAATTTTAATTAATAATCCTTTTTTTGTTAAATTAAATCATCAAATTTGTATTTTTGTACCGAAATGTCATTGTGAAAAATGAGGTTATATCGAAATTACCATAAATTATGCAATCTATTCGTATTAATCTTATATGGTCTCGATGTATGTTGTATCTTCTACATTTGAACTTTAATACACGTGTTATTAACAGTATAAATACAAAAATAAGTTTAACTAACCTTATTTGTCAAGGAAACTAAACACTTTGGAAGAATTAAGATTGCGGAAATTCGATTACAAACCAGGAGTTATTGGATCGATGAGAAATCACTTGGATTAAATAAAAATTAATTTATTTATTGATACTTTATAAAGAAATTAATTAATTTTTCAATTTTTTGAGGTTAAAACGAAACTGTCAAATTTTAATTTTAAGTGGTCGGTAACGTAGAAAACATTGGCGCCATCTATTGAGATTTTTCTTTGTATTGAATAAGAATAAATTAATTTTTAACGTAAACATTAATATTATTACAAAATACCTCAGATTATATCAAATATTATAAAAATTTTAATTAATAATCCTTTTCTGGTTAAATTAAATCATCAAATTTGTATTTTTGTACCGAAATGTCATTGTGAAAAATGAGCTTATAACGAAATTACCTTAAATTATACGAAACTATTCGTATTAATCTTAAACGGTCTCAACGTACGTTGTATCTTGTATATTTTAATTTTAATACACGTGTTATTAACGGTATAAATACAAAAATAAGTTTAACAAACCTTATTTGTCAAAGAAACTAAACACTGCAAGAATTTGGATTGCGGAAATGCGATTATAAACCAGGAGTTATTGGATCGATGAGAAATCACTTGTATTAAATAAAAATTAATTTATTTGTTGATTAAAGCGATTAATTTTTCCACTTTTTGGGGTTAAAACGAAACTGTCAAATTCTAACTGGTCGGTAACGTAGAAAACATTAGCGCCATCTATTGAATTTTTTTTTGTATTAAATAAGAATAAATTAATTTTTAAAGTAAAAATTAATATTATTATAAAATAACCCAAATTATTTTAAAAATTATAAAAATTTTAATTAATAATCCTTTTTTGGTTAAATTAAATCATCAATATTTTTGCGCCATTTTTGCACCGAAATGTCATTGTGGAAAAAGTGAGGTTATAACGAATTTTTTTGAAGAATTAGGATTGCGGAAATTGTGATCATAAACAAGGAGTTATTCGATCATTAGGATTAAATAAAAATCCTTTTTTAATTTATACATCGTTACATAATAAACCCGTTAAGTTAAAACTTATAATTATTAGTGGCAACTTCAGATTGTCGCTCGGCGGCGATTCGAGCATGTTCCTCCGCAATCTTTTGATAAAGATCGTTGTGTTTTTGGGCAACGTTTAAATAAGCTTGGGTTTGCCCCGGAATCGGGACATTCCCAGTTTGATGGGCGTACGCTATGTTATTAAAATCTTGTAAATGTTTTTGTTTGGCGTAAGCCACAGCTTGGGTGTCTTCAGCACCCGCGAAATTGGAGTTGGGATGAAAGCCGTGTTCATCAGCGACATAATTAACCGTGCGTATTTTGTAGTTTGGGTCAACATAGGAAAACGAACCTTTTAAACAAATTTCTTTTTAAATTTCTTCTTTTTTAAAGATTAAAACTTACCTTGTACCGTGTTACCATCACTAATTTCGGAATGAGTTCTGTCAATATGACCTGGATAACGCCCAGCGGCGTAACCGAACGCGTAGGGTGTTTTTGGGGCTTCACTCTCTTTTAAAGGTGGTAATAATTCGGAGATATCGCAGCTTATTGAAGAGAATGAACCGAAAATTAATACCTGGGAATATAAAAATTAATTATTTAGTTTAATTAATAATTATTTATATTTAACTCACCAAAAATATTAATTTAGCCATTTTAAATCAAACTTTACTGCGTTTAGTTGATAGTAAAAGGAGATTTAAACAGGTTTTTTCTTTAACGTGGAAGTCGTTTCAAGTGAAAGTGGTTTCTTGTGTGTCACGAATTTCAGCTCTTTCCTCTACAAGAAACGTGCGAAGACTTGGATATTATTCGGGGAAACTAGGATTAAATCATACAAAAATGAATAAAAAAACCGGTTCTTAATGATGACAAAAACATTTAAGCAAATAAAAGCTTTAAGAATGAAATTATATACTATTAAGACCCAATAAAATCATTTTTATTATCTTTAATAATAAAATATTGATTTTTTTGTTGTTGTGGAACATCCTTAAACGTCGTTTTATTAAAAAAAATGTAAAAACGTGATGAGTCGCGCGTTCAAGGATATGAAAAAATCTTACATCATCAGGTTTTATTTAAATCTTTTTCACCACAATTAACTCCAACGTTATAAACAGTAATTTTAACCAATAAAATTAAATTAATACCTTTTTGTAACATCCAAGAACCTTACTTTAACTGAAAATTATTAATAAAATGGCTAGAACAAGAATACTTACAGTAAAAATTCGTTTTCATTAAAGAATTTTTAATTAACCTTATTCCATTAAGTACTAATTTGGAAGGAATTCATAGGAAATGTTTTTCATGGATTACATATTTGGAATTTTCAAGTTTTAGTGTGTAATAAACAAATCAATTGATCAAAAACAAACTTTTTAATCAAAATAACACTCCAAATTAAATTTATTCGTTATCATCTTCATCATCATCCTCTTGATTATTGATTTGGAAGTAACGCAACTCGTAGCTATCCTTTCCATTGGCAACAACGCGCAACCAATCCCTCAAATTTTGTTTCTTCAAGTACTTTTTCGTTAAATACTTCAAATAACGCTTCGAAAATGGTATTTCAGAGTTCAAAACTAACTTGGTTTGCTTCTCCCTCGATAAAGAGACTGCATTCCCCAAGTTTCCGGTCTTTCCACTCACCTTGATCCTTTCAAGGAGATATTTTTCCTAAAACAATCAAGTTTTATTAAAGAATTAACTAAAATTATTTCATTCTTACAAAATTTGCGACATCCAAGATGTTATCTTCAACCGGATGAGTGCAATCCACCATAAATTTAAGCGCTACCTTCTTCTTTTTGATCCCTTTTCCGCGGATATGTTGCTTCCTAGCTTGGGGCTTCGCCGCGGGGGCCGCTTTCGTCTGGAATCCACAAGATTTTTAACTTGTGTTTCAACCAGACTCAAAAAAATTTTTTTTGGAGGTTAAGTCAACGATCGGTTAAAATCGCGATCATCATTTCACGAATTTTTAAACATTTGGGTTCATTTTAAAGCGAATTTGTTTATTTATACGATTTTAACGCTATTTCTTATTTATTTATTGTTAAATTAACGATTTTTAATGCTTTTTTACTTACCACTGCCATTTTGACGTTGACACAATCGAGAATTGTGGGTAAATGAGGATGATGGTAGTTGTGTTATCGACCAACTTGAAGTTGGCGCTATCTGTTTTAGTTAAGAGCCCACTTTACCAGGTCGGTCAGTTTCTGAGGGGCGCAGACGACGGACGTTCGGAAGCAACGAGGCGGAGTTTATTTTCTACTAGGCCCGACCCTTTATAGATAAAAAAACATCGTGTTTATTTTATTACGATTCTTTTTCTCGTCGATGTTGTTAATGAAGAAATTAAACGACTTCTTCTAAATATTANAAATATTTGAAATGATTTGGGGATGTTTAGACACACATTTAGACACACTTGTAATCACTTGGGAACATTTAAACATATTTGGACACACTTGCAATCATTTAATGGTGTTTAAACACACATTTAGAAATATTTGAAATGATTTGGGGATGTTTAGACACACTTGATATCACTTGGGAACATTTAGACATATTTGGAAACACTGGAAATCATTTAATGGTGTTTAAACACACATTTAGATACATTTAAAATCATTTTGGTATGTTTAGACACACATTTAGACACACTTGAAATAACTTGGAAACATTTAGACATATTTGGACAAACTTGAAATCATTTAATGGTGTTTAAACACACATTTAGATACATGTCAAATCATTTAGACATGTTTAGACACACTTTTAGACGCACTTGATATCACTTTTGCAGATTTAGACATACTTGAAATCAGTTGAACACATTTTGATACACTTGATATGGTTTGGAGATGTTTAGACACACATTTAGACATACTTGAAATCACTCCGGGACATTTAGACACACTTGGGAATGTTTAGACACACATTTAGACACATTTGAAGCCAGTTGGCGACATTTAGACAAACATGGAGTCAGTTGGACACACTTGAAAACATTTGAGGATATTTAGACACACATTTAGACATACTTGAAATCAATTGGGGACATTTCTTGTCCCTGTCTTTGCTTGTCACTGCATCTCACCACTTATTTACAAAAATATTGCCGTCTTGTTGCCTTTAGAGTTGCAAAAATTGCAGTAAGAAGGGCTTTCGACTCTTCAGAGTACCACGAGAAAAAAAGAAAGGAATTTTGGCGCAATAGTTTTAAATTTCCCGCTTGACTTTCGAGTTAAAATGGCGGCTAGTTAAAAAAAAAGTCAAACACGCCATCTATTATCTAAAAGCTGTACTGTATATCTAATATCAAATATTTCTAACACTCAGTTATTTTAATCAAGTTGACTTTCTTTGAACTGTCAAATTCAACATTCTTGTCAACTTGTTGTCGTTGCAACCGCCATATTGGCTATAATTAACATGACACCGTGCAAACTGTCAATTTGTCAATTTGACGTTATTTTATTTTCTATGAACTGTCAAAAGTGACATATTTGGCTATTGGAAAATTAATTTTGACAGCTGTCAACGTTATTATAAATAAACTTTTTGATTTTTTTTTCCAGTTACGTTTGGGAACATCTCGAAATCGGTTACATGCAAGGAATGTGCGATTTGGTAGCGCCGCTTCTCGTCATTTTCAACGACGAAAGCTTAACGTACGCCTGTTTTTGCCGCCTGATGGAGCGCATGGTCGAAAATTTTCCAAGCGGAAACGCCATGGACTGTCACTTTGCGAATATGCGCTCGCTAATCCAAATTCTCGACGCCGAAATCTACGAATTAATGCAATCTCACGGCGATTACACCCACTTTTACTTCTGCTACCGATGGTTTTTGTTGGATTTTAAGCGCGAGATGGTTTACGACGACGTTTACGCGACGTGGGAGACGATTTGGGCGGCTAGGGAAGTCGCTTCCGGCCAATTTGTGTTGTTTTTAGCGTTGGCTTTGTTGGAGACTTATCGGGATATTATTTTGAGTAATGGGATGGATTTTACTGATATAATTAAGTTTTTTAACGGTTTGGGGGATTTTTTTGGATTAATTTTAAGTTGGTAATCTTGTTGTGTTTTAGAAATGGCGGAACGTCACGACGCGTCAGCTGTTTTGAGGTTAGCCAGGGACTTGGTGTTGCAATTACAATTATTGATTGAGAATAAATAATGAGATTGGCTCAAAATGAGGAATTTGTGCCAAAAATTAACATTTTCGATGTGTAATTAAGATAAATTAAAGAAAAACATGGAGGAAGTATTTTTTAATTAATGCAAATCTACCTGAAGTATAAAACGCACTTTATACATGATTATATTGTGATCTATTCTACTAAAGATAGCGTTCTAATTAAATTAAATTCAAAGGTCGAAATAAGAGTGTATTTTAATATTTTATGTTTAAAGAGAATGCATAAAAAAAATTTATCCGATTTTATATTTTTAAATGTGCCTTTTTCAGATGAAATATATTTAAAGTAACTAAAACTATATTGTAAGTACGTTCAAGAAGTTATAACCTCAAAGAAATTATTGTAATTGATTAAAAAAAAGTTGTACATATCAAAAAATTAAACGAAAAAATTATTATTATTACTAAACAAATTAATATTAAATGTTGTTTTTAGATTTAAGTCAAAAAATAAAAAAAAATAAACAAAAAAGGAATTTTTTAATCTAATTAACCCAATTACTAAATTTTTTTTAATAAATCCCGTTAGAATCTAAAAGATCGTTTTAAAAACTTGTTTTTCTTTCTTAAATCCGAGTTATTTACATCTTTAAAGGTTATTTACCTTGTTCACGGTGACATTGACCCTGACAACACGAGAATCACGTTGAAAAATGATGAAGATGAATGTTTGGGTTAAAAAATAAAAAAGTTAGGTTAAAAACTGTCAAATGTCAAATTAAATATAACGATTTCTTGATAAATGTTGAAATGACATTAATAAGAATCAAAAATGCTTTAATTTGATACCAAACACAATATATTTGGGTTAAAAAATAAAAAAGTTTGGTTATAAACTGTCAAATGTCAAAATTAAAAGTAACGATTTTTTTTAAATATTGATATGTTCTTAATAAGAATCAAAAATGCTTTAATTTGATACCAAACACGATATATTTGGGTTCAAAAATAAAAAAGTTAGGCAAGAAACTGTCAAATGTCAAAATTAAATGTAACGCTTTTTGAAAAATATCGAGATGATCTTAATGGGAATCAAAAATGCTTTCATTTGATACCAAACATGACGTATTTAGGTTAAAAAATAAAAAACTTGGGTTATAAACTGTCAAATAATCGCCATTTTTTTTTTGGTAAAAATTAAAATATCTCGATAACGGTTAGAGATAAATAAGTCGAGTTTGGGTTCATTTTAAAGCATTTTTAATTTTCTACCCGTTTACGTTAAAAAAAGAACACCTTTATAACCAAAATTTTTGTTGTATTTAATTTTGACATTTAACAGTTTATAACCTAACCTTTCCATTTTTAACCCAAATATATCATGTTTGGTATCAAATGAAAGCAATTTTGACGGTTTTTACAATGATTGTCAGCAGAAATAAAAAAAAAAGCTAGGTTATAAACTGTCAAATAGCAAAATTAAATGAAACTATTTTTTTTTAAATATTGAAATGATCTTAATAAGAATCAAAAATTCCTTAATTTGATACCAAACACGATATATTTGGGTTAAAAAATAAAAAAGTTAGGTTATAAACTGTCAAATGTCAAAATTAAATGTAACGATTTTTTGAAAAATACCGAAATGATCTTAATGTGATTCAAAAATGCTTTAATTTGATACCAAACACGATATATTTGGGTTCAAAAATAAAAAAGTTAGGTTATAAACTATCAAATGTCAAAATTAAATGAAACTATTTTTTTTTAAATATTGAAATGATCTTAATAGGATTCAAAAATGCTTTCCTGTGATACTAAACATGATATATTTGGGTTGAAAAATAAAAAAGTTAGGTTATAAACTGTCAAATGTCAAAATTAAATGAAACTATTTTTTTTTAAATATTGAAATGATCTTAATAAGAATCAAAAATGTTTTAATTTGATACCAAACATGATATATTTGGGTTAAAAAATAAAAAAGTTAGGTTAGAAACTGCCAAATGTCAAAATTAAATATAATGATTTTTGATAAATGTTGAAACGATCTTAATAAGAATCAAAAACGCTTTGATTTGATACCAAACACGATATGTTTGAGTTAAAAAATAAAAAAGTTAGGTTAGAAACTGTCAAATGTCAAAACTAAATATAACGATTTTTTGATAAATATTAAAATGATCTTAATAAGAATCAAAAAAGATTTAATTTGATACCAAACACGATTTACTTGGTTCAAAAACTAAAAAAGTTAGGTTAATAACTGTCAAATGTCAAAATTAAATATAACCATTTTTTGATAAACATTTAAATAATCTTAATAACAACCAAAAATGCTTTCATTTGATACCAAACACGATACATTTGGGTAAAAGTTAGGTTATAAACTGTCAAATGTCAAAATTAAATATAACGATTTTTGATAAATATTGAAACGATCTTAATAAGAATCAAAAATGCTTTAATTTGATATCAAACACGATATATTTGGGTTAAAAAATAAAAAAGTTGGGTTATAAACTGTCAAATAATCGCCATTTTTTTTTTGGTCAAAATTAAAATATCTCGATAACGGTTAGAGATAAATAAGTCGTGTTTGGGTTCATTTTAAAGCACTTTTAATTTTCTACTCATTTATGTTAAAAAAAGAACACCTTTATAACCAAATTTTTTTTTCGTTATATTGAATTTTGACATTTGACAGTTTATAACCTAACCTTTCTATTTTTTAACCCAAATATATCATGTTTGGTATCAAATGAAAGCAATTTTGACGGGTTTTACGATGATTGTTAGCAAAAATAATATTAAAACTAGAAACTTGGAGGTTATGCCGCGCGTCGAGACGTCAAGTTTCTAATTTTAATTTTATTTCTAACGTTCATAGAGTTGTATAACAAATTTGGGTTAAAAAATAAAAAAGTTAGGTTAGAAACTGTCAAATGTCAAAATTTAAATAAAACGATTTTTTGATAAATATTGAAATCATCTTAATAAGAACCAAAAATGCTTTAGTTTGATACCAAACATGATATATTTGGGTTAAAACTAAAAAAGTTAGGTTAGAAACTGTCAAATGTCAAATAACCGCCATTTTTTTTAATAAAAATTAAGATATCTCGATAACGATTAGAGATAAATAGATCGAGTTTGGGTTCATTTTAAATCATTTTTAATTTTCGATCCATTAATAAATCTTTTAATGAACTTAACCCAATTACTAAAACGATTTTTTTCATAAATCCCGTTACAATCTAAAAGATCGTTTTAAAAACTTGTTTTTTTTCTTAAAACCCAGCTATTTACATCTTATTTACATTTTTTCTACATCTTTCAAGGTGGTTATTCACCTTGTTCGCGGTGACATTGACCCTGACAACACGAGAATCACGTTGAAAAATGATAAAGAAGAAGAAGAAACAAACCAGAAATTGCATTCGAATATCCTCTCATAAATAATTTATCGCTTAAAACGTTTTTCTTGGTCTCTTTTTAGGTTCGAGTCATTTCTTAAGGACGCGGTTCGCGTTGCATATTAAATCGGGTTGATGGCTTTTGTGCCATCCCAAAACGATATGTTATAATGTTTCTTTTTAAAGTGGGGGGAAATGTATAAGAAACCGAGTTTGTTTGTTGTGGGACGTTAATTTCCAAGGAACCATCACGTCATGATGAAAATTGGATTCATTTTGGTTGCATTCAGTGCTTTCTTCTTCAAAGGAGGTAAAATTAATTAATTTATTCCAAATCAAACTTAATTTTTTCATTTTTAGAGGCTTCGCCAGCACGAACGGTTTGTTACTTCAGTAATTGGGCGATTTATCGCCCAGATGTCGGTAGATACACCCAAGATGATATCCCGATAGAGCTTTGCACCCACTTAATTTACTCGTTTATTGGGGTGGATGATAAATCTTGGTCTGTTTTGGTGATTGACCCTGAATTAGATACAGATCAAAACGGATTTAGGAATTTCACCGGGTTAAAACAAAAAAATCCTTCGCTTAAACTTCAAGTTGCCGTTGGGGGTTGGGCTGAGGGGGGTGAAAAATACTCGGCTATGGTTGCCCAAAAATCAAGAAGGGATTCTTTTATTTCCTCGGTTGTTAATTTTATGAAAAAGTATGATTTCGATGGGTTCGATTTGGATTGGGAGTACCCCGGAGCTGCTGATAGAGGAGGAAGCTTCTCCGATAAAGATCGATTCTTTTATTTCGTTGAAGAATTAAGACGGGCGTTCGATAAGGAGGGGAAAGGGTGGGAAATCACCATGGCGGTTCCCGTTGCGAAATTTAGATTGCAAGAAGGATATCACGTCCCAGAATTATGCGAGTAAGTCATTTATGTTAACACTAGATTTAGAAAATTGATATATTTTTCGATAAATATTGAAATAATCTTAATAAGAATCAAAAATGCTTTCATTTGATACCAAACATGATATGTTTGGGTTAAAAAATAAAAAAGTTACGTTCGAAACTGTCAAAATTAAATGTAACGATTTTTTGATAAATATTGAAATGAGCTTAATAAGAATCAAAAATGCTTTAATTTGATACCAAACACGATATGTTTGGGTGAAAAAATAAAAAAGTTAGGTTAGAAACTGTCAAATGTCAAAATTAAATGTAACGATTTTTTGATAAATATTGAATTGATCTTAATAAGAATCAAAAATGCTTTCATTTGATACCAAACATGATATATTTGGATTAAAAAATGAAAAAGTTACGTTCGAAGCTGTCAAATGTCAAAATTAAATGTAACGATTTTTTGATAAATGTTAAAATGATCTTAATAAGACTCAAAAATGCTTTAATTTGAAACCAAACATGACGTATTTGGCTCAAAAAATAAAAAAGTTAGGTTGTAAACTGTCAAATAATCGCAATTTTTTTTTGATAAAAGTTAAGATATCTCGATAACGGTTAGAGATAAATAAGTCGAGTTTGGGTTCATTTTAAAGCATTTTTAATTTTCTGACCATTTATATTAAAAAAGAACACCTTTATAACCAAAAAATTTTTTTTTAATGTTTAGGTTTTTTTTTGTTGTTTTTGAAATAACGTTTTTATACTCGGAGTCAAAGAAATGACAGGTGACATATTAAAACGTCTTTTTGTTTATATTTGTACTATTTCTAATTTGACAAGTGACATTTGTGAAGTGACACATGCAATGTCATTTTTTATTAACATTTTTTTTACATTCCTGCGATGACATGTAACATACATGCTTTCATTTGATACCAAACATGATACCCTTGAGTTAAAAAGTAAAAAAGCTGGTTAATAACTGTCAAATGTCAAAATTAAATATAACGATTTTTTGATAAATATTGGTATGATCTTAATAAGAATCAAACATGCTTTAATTTGATACCAAACATGATATATTTGGGTTAAAAACTAAAAAAGTTAGGTTAGAAGCTGTCAAATGTCAAAATTAAATTAACGATATTTTGATAAATATTAAAATGATATTGATAAGAATCAAAAATGCTTCAATTTGATACCAAACATGACGTATTTGGCTTAAAAAATAAAAAAGTTAGGTTATAAACTGTCAAATAATCGCCATTTTTTTTTGTAAAAATTAAGATATCTCGATAACGGTTAGAGATAAATATGTCGAGTTTGGGTTCATTTTAAAGCATTTTTAATTTTCTGCCCGTTTATATTAAAAAAAAACAGAAAAACATTTATAGAAAAAAAAGAGAATACATATTAATTTTGACATTTGACAGTTTCTAACAATTTTTTATACTCGGATCCAAAAACATGACAGGTGACATATTAAAACGTCATTTCGCTTATATTTGTAATATTTCTAATTTGACAAGTGACATTTGTGAAGTGACACATTCAATGTCATTTTTCATTAACATATTTTTTACATTAATGCGATGACATATGTACATGCTTTCATTTGATACCAAACATGATACCCTTGGGTTAAAAAGTATAAAGTTGGTAAATAACTGTCAAATGTCAAAATTAAATATAACAATTTTTTGATAAATATTGAAATGATCTTAATAAGAATCAGAAATGCTTTAATTTGATACCAAACATGACGTACTTGGGTTAATAAATAAAAAAATTAGGTTAAGAACTGTCAAATGTCAAAATTAAATTAACGATTTTTTGATAAATATTGAAATGATCTTAATAAGAATCAAAAATGCTTTCATTTGATACCAAACATGATGTATTTGGGTTAATAAATAAAAAAATTTTTGTAGAACTGTCAAATGTCAAAATTAAATTAACGATTTTTTGATAAATATTGAAATGATCTTAATAAGAATCAAAAATGCTTTCATTTGATACCAAACATGATGTATTTGGGTTAAAAAATAAAAAAGTTAGGTTAACAACTGTCAAAATTAAATTAACGATTTTTTGATAAATATTGAAATGATCTTAATAAGAATCAAAAATGCTTTAATTTAATACCAAACACGATATGTTTATGTTAAACTATAAAAAAATTAGGTTATAAACTGTCAAATGTCAAACATACGCCATTTTTTTTTTGCTAAGAATAAAGATATTTCGATAACGGCTTGAGATAAATAAGTCGAGTTTGGGTTCATTTTAAAAGATTTTTAATTTTCTATCCATTAACGTTAAAAAAAGGGCACCTTGATAACCAAAAAATTTTACGACTTTATCCGAGTCATCAAAAAATTTATTTCTTTTCAAGATTATTAGACGCTATCCACGTAATGTCCTACGACCTCCGCGGAAATTGGGCCGGATTCGCAGACACCCACAGCCCCCTTTATAAGCGCCCCCACGATCAATGGGCTTACGAAAAATTAAACGTGGTAAGTAATAAATTACAACACAAAACAAATTCGTTCAAAAATTTCTAAATTAGAACGACGGATTACAATTATGGGTCGATTACGGATGCTCACCAAAAAAACTCATCGTCGGGATCCCCTTTTATGGAAGAACCTTCACTTTAAGCAATAGCAACAAAAATTATAACCTAGGAACTTACATTAATAAAGAAGCAGGAGGAGGTGAACCTGGGAAATACACAAACGCTTCTGGATTCTTAGCTTATTATGAAGTAAGCTTAATTTTTTTAATTAACTTAATAAATTAATTCATTTAAATTTTTTAGATTTGCGCTGAGGTTCAAAATAAAGAATCTGGATGGGTGGTTCAATGGGATGATTATGGAAAAGTTCCCTTTGCTTACAAAGGTAACCAATGGGTTGGTTATGAAGACCCTAAAAGTGTCCAAATCAAAATGGATTTTATAAAAGAGAAAGGATATGGAGGTGCTATGACGTGGGCTATTGATATGGATGATTTCCATGGGTTATGTGGACCACAAAACGTTTTAATGCACATTTTATATGCTAATATGAAAGGATATAATGTTCCAGAACCAACTTTAACAACAACACCAAGGGTAATAATTATAATTAATTAATCAATTAAGTAATAATTAAATTAATTTTTTTAAGCCTGAATGGGCAAGACCTCCAAGTACTTCCTCTGATGGAACTGTTACCACCACAACAGGAAGTTGGCAATCACCCCAAAGTAGTACCACGCCATCCACAACACAAAAGATAACCTCACCAACACCAACAACTGAAAAAATAACAACCGAAAATATTAATAAACCCGGAAATGAGGTTCTAACTGGAAACGAAATTAATTGCGACGGAAAAGATTTTGTCCCTGATAAAGATTGTACTATAGTAAGTTTATTTCTTAATCAAAATAATTAATAATAAGTACTAACCTTTTTATCTTCGCAGTATTACCGATGCGTTCATGGAAAACCAACATTCTTCCAATGCAGAGACGGATTAGTTTTTCACACGCAAAGTTTCATATGCGATTGGCCTAGTAATGCAGATAGAGAATATTGTAAGAACTTAGCGTAATAATTTGGACATTAATAAAAAATAAATTTGTTGATAAAAAACATAACCTCAATTTTCCCAAAAGTTAAAATATTTTCTAATTAACTTAAATATGTATGTGACATGAGAGTCAAACTTACGTAAATCGTTGATATTACTTCAAATAACTCAACATATGGCTTAATTAAGCGAAAAAACGAAATATATTACGAAAAAATTTGTAATGACATTTTTCGTAAAATGACACTATGAAGTGAAGTTAGGTAACTATAAAAAATTAAATTATTTCTTTTAATTAATAATTATTAAAAACAATTAATGTAATAATTATTATTATTAATTATTATTTCCAATTTTAATTCGATTTTGACCCCAATTTTAAATTAATTAATTTTTTTTTAATTAATTACCGAAATATGATGAAACTAGAATAGTATTGATTAAAACCAAAAGATGGCGCCTTAATACAAGTGTCAAAAATAAATTAAAATTTAAATAATTTTTAACTAAATTATGTATTTAATCGAATAAATCTTTTGATATGAAGTACCTTGTTAACTTAATTAAATTAAACCGAGGTTTTCTTTTAAAACTAAAAAATAAATTGAGGTTATATCTCCTTTTATCTTAATAAAGCTCGAATTTAACCAATAAAGGATTGCTTACCATAATATGATTAGTACAAATAACTTAATAAATATTAACTCAAAGTTTGAGCCATAATTGGCAAATTACAACTCCATTAATCGATCGTAGTGACCTAAAAACTTACCTCATTACGTCAAATTCTTCAAGTTCTTCTTAAAATCCAACACAACTTTATTCAATTCATCCTCAAAATCATTTATAACATCATATTGATGCTCACCAATACTTTCCAAAAAACTTACTCCTCTCAGCTCTCTGTAAAAGTAATTAATACTTTATAATCGAAATTTACATCAATAACAATACAAATTTTATCCAATAATTGATTTTAATCGTAGCTACTTACTTAAACGAGTGATTTAAACACCTTTGTAGAACTTAAATGACGTTTGTTTACAAACAAATAAGTTGAGGTTATGTTTATGAAGAAATTTATTTTATACCTCCTAAATTAAGTAAATATGATTTTTATAAACGTTTTGCGATGATTTCATTTAAATAAGCGATTAATATCAACAAAAATTCATTAATTATAAAAATTCAATTGCAAAACAGACGTGTAATAATACAAAATTAAACCACGAGATGGCGCACTTTGATAACCAATCTAACTATGATTTTTAAATTTAAAGTAATTAAAAATTAATTTATAACTTGATTTTGATTTTAATTATTTACTTAATTGAAAGATTTTAGACTTACTTTTGATGTTGGATATCTTTTTTAAACGTAATCGATGTTTTCTTCATCAAGAACGATAGGGGTTATGTCCGAACCAACTTATTATCCACGAAAACACTTAAATTACTTTTTGTGACACTTTTAAACGATAAAGTTAAAGAATAAGGGATATAACAAACGTTTTGTGGTTATTTCTTCGGTGATTAAAACACTTTTTGAAGCAAAATTAATAAATTATAAGTTGTGTACAGAAAACATACAACAATACTAAACGTCATCTAAGAAATGGCGCCACTTTAAAATCGTAACAATTAGAATTATTTAATTTTAAAAATCATTAAAAATTGTTTTTGATTTTAATTATTTACTTAATTGAAAGGTTTTAGACTTACTTTTGATGTTGGATATCATTTTTAAACGTAATCGATGTTTTCTTCATCAAAAAAAAGTAAGGTTATATCCCAACTAACTTATTTTGCACATAAACACTTAAATTAATTTTTCGTGACACTTTTAAACGATAAAGTTAAAGAATAAGGGGTATAACAAACGCTTTGTGGTTATTTCTTCGGCGATTAAGACACTTTTTGAAGCAAAATTAATAAATTATAAGTTGTGTACAGAAAACATGCAAGAATACTAAACGTCATCTAAGAGATGGCGCCACTTTAAAATCGTATCAATTACAATAATTTAATTTTAAAATCATTAAAAATTGTTTTTGATTTTAATTATTTACTTAATTGAAAGGTTTTAGACTTACTTTTGATGTTGGATATCTTTTTTAAACGTAATCGATGTTTTCTTCATCAAAAAAGAGTAAGGTTATATCCCAACCAACTTATTTTCCAAGAAAACACTTAAATTAATTTGTCGTGACACTTTTAAACGATAAAGTTAAAGAATAAGGGGTATAACAAACGTTTTGTGGTTATTTCTTCGGCGATTAAAACACTTTTTGAAGCAAAATTAATAAATTATAAGTTGTGTACAGAAAACATACAACAATACTAAACGTCATCTAAGAAATGGCGCCACTTTAAAATCGTAACAATTAGAATTATTTAATTTTAAAAATCATTAAAAATTGTTTTTGATTTTAATTATTTACTTAATTGAAAGGTTTTAGGCTTACTTTTGATGTTGGATACCTTTTTTAAACGTAATCGATGTTTTCTTCATCAAAAAAGATTGGGGTTATGTCCCAACCAACTTATTATCCAGGAAAACACTTAAATTACTTTTTGTGACACTTTTAAACGATAAAGTTAAAGAATAAGGGATATAACAAACGTTTTGTGGTTATTTCTTCGGCGATTAAGATACTTTTTGAAGCAAAATTAATAAATTATAAGTTGTGTACAGAAAACATGCAAGAATACTAAACGTCATCTAAGAGATGGCGCCACCTTAAAATCGTAACAAATAGAATTATTTAATTTTAAAATCATTAAAAATTGTTTTTGATCTTAATAGTTTACTTAATTGGGAGATTTTGACTTACTTTTGATGTTGGATATCGTTCTTCCACGTAATTGATGTTTTTTTCATCAAAAAAGATTGAGGTTATGTCCCAACTCAGTTTATTATCTGCAAAAAAATTAAAATGAATTTTTGTGACAATTTTAAACGATAAAATTAAGAATTAAGAGTTGCAACAAACGTTTTATGGGTTTCTTTTACCCACAATGAATAAATTTTATGCTCAACACAAAAAAGATTGCAGATTACTAAATAGCAACTAAGAGATGGCGCCACTTTAGGCCGTCAAAATTAAAATAATTTAATTTAACAATAAATAATTTAAAAATTTAATTATGAATAATCACTTCACTTAGAAATGATCATTATTGATTTAATAATGAAATTTCAAAATTACATCTCTCCTAAAATCTTATATCAACATAATCATCATTTATTATTTAAAAATGTAATTTTGATTACCTTTCTTTTAGTATAAAAACGTATAATTTGAAGTAAATCCGCATTTGAATACAAATAGTGTCAAAATGACCATAAAAAAGAACGTAACTGTTAAACCAATCGACGATACAATAAATACAACAAATAAACAAAAATCGATTTTACCACAACAAAATCGTTTGTGTTTGTGCAAAGTTTTAAGCCCAACGTTTAATTTGTTGCGAATTTTCGGATTATTCCCGATAATTTCGAAACACCCAAAGAAAATCGAAGAGAATAATCAAAAAGAAACCGGCGACATCTTTCGGTGCAAATTCGAATTATCACCGCCATTATTAATTTATTCGTTTTTAATTGTCATTTTAATGTCAATCGAATTAATTTTCACCACAGAAATATTAAACATCTTCAAAATATACAAAGGAAAATCACTACACGCAGTTTTAAACGCCATAAACGACATTTTATACTCGATTTTTATCGTATTATTAAATTTCGTCAACATAATCCGATTTCCGAGATTCACAAAAACGCTAAATAAATTGGTTTCGATGCGAAACGAAAACGATTTGTTGTGTCAAAGCGCTTTAATTGGAATCTTTAAAGTGCAATATTTAACGATAATCGTGTTTTTTGGTGTTTTAATGACGCAATATGTCATTATTTTTTGGTTAGATTCCGCCGAAAATTATTTGACACATTTCATTGATTACAAGTTTTATTTGAACCAATTCACGATTAATTTATTTTTTGGGTTACACATAATCTTTATTAATTTAACGTCGATCATCGTTGGAATGTCGGGGTGTTTTTTAAAGATCACATCGACCTCGTTAAATTTTGAACCTCAAAATCCCCTAAAAGATGTCGATGAGTCATCGAAGGAAGCCGAATTTTTCGGGTTTTTTCGATACAAAATTTGCAACGAACACCATGGGGCGCCAAAAAGTATTAATAAATTTACAATCGCCGAAATAATCGAGTATTTGAGGTGTTTACACGAAGATATTAGCTTGTTAAGTTACGAAATTAATGATTGTTTGGATCCGCAGTTCTTATTACACATCATTTTGGAGTTATCGGCGTTGATTATTAATTGGTACGCGGTTATTTTGTATTTGGTTTACGATTTTACTTCGGAAATCGCTAAAACGATCAATATTTTAAACATTATTTTCGTAACAGTACACACAATTGGGTTATTAACCTTCTTAAAGCACGCCCAACAACTCCAAAACGTCGTTAAAAACTTAATCGATTTCTTATTGGAGTTTGCCACGAAGATTACCACACCTGAGGAGCACCAACAAATCCGAATTTTCGTGCATAAATTAAAAATTCATCGCCCGTTAACGGCTAGTGGCGTTTTTAACATCGATTTGGGAATCGCCGGCCCGGTTTTCGCGAATATTTTAACTTATGTATTAGTCGCGCTTCAATTTGATGTCGCAAAAGACTAAAAAATTAGAATCCTCGCGAAAAATCCTTTAAAACGACACCAAACTCGATGGGGTTACCTCCAAAAACAACGGAGATATCGCCGATTTCGTTACCAAACATAACCTAAAAATTGAAACGTCACCTGTCAAAATTAATTTAACTTTTTTGTTTTTTAAAGTGGATATATCGTGTTTGGTGTTGTTATAAAGGATTTTTTGAGCCGATTACGATTATTTTTTTGTTAAAAATTGTTTTGTTCTAATAATAAAAAAAATTTTTTTTTATTAAAAAATTAGAATCCTTGCGAAAAATCCTTTAAAACGATACCAAACTCGACGGGGTTACCCCCAAAAACAACGGAGATATCGCCTATTTCGTTACCAAACATAACCTAAAAATCGAAACGTCGCCTGTCAAAATTAATTTAATTTTTTTGTTTTTTAAAGTGAATATGTCGTGTTTGGTGTTGTTTTAAAGGATTTTTTGAGCCGATTACGATTATGTTTGTTAAAAATTGTTTTGGTTTAATAATAAAAAATTTTATAATAAAAAAAAATTTTTTTTTAGTAAAAAATTAGAATCCTCGCGAATTATTCTTCAAAACGACACCAAACTCGATGGGGTTACCCCCAAAAACAACGAAGATATCGCCGATTTCGTTACCAAACATAACCTAAAAATCGAAACGTCACCTGTCAAAATTAATTTAACTTTTTTGTCTTTTAAAGTGGATATGTCGTGTTTGGTGTCGTTTTAAAGGATTTTTTGTGCCGATTACGATTATGTTTGTTAAAAATTGTTTTGGTGTAATAATAAAAAACTTTTTTTTTATTAAAAAATTAGAATCCTCGCGAAGTATTCTTTAAAACGACACCAAACTCGACGGGGTTAAGCCCAAAAACAACGGAGATATCGCCGATTTCGTTACCAAACATAACCTAAAAATCGAAACGTCACCTGTCAAAATTAATTTAACTTTTTTGTTTTTTAAAGTGAATATGTCGTGTTTGGTGTTGTTTTAAAGGATTTTTTGAGCCGATTACGATTATGTTTGTTAAAAATTGTTTTGTTCTAATAATAAAAAAAATTTTTTTTTTATTAAAAAATTAGAATCCTCGCGAAGAATCCTTTAAAACGACCCCAAACTCGACGGGGTTACCTCCAAAAACAACGGAGATATCGCCGATTTCGTTACCCAACATAACCTAAAAATCGAAACGTCACCTGTCAAAATTAATTTAACTTTTTTGCTTTTTAAAGTGGATATGTCGTGTTTGGTGTCGTTTTAAAGGATTTTTTGTGCCGATTACGATTATGTTTGTTAAAAATTGTTTTGGTTTAATAATAAAAAAATTTTTTTTTTTATTAAAAAATTAGAATCCTCGCGAATTATTCTTCAAAACGACACCAAACTCGATGGGGTTACCCCCAAAAACAACGGAGATATCGCCGATTTCGTTGCCAAACATAACCTAAAAATCGAAACGTCACCTGTCAAAATTAATTTAACTTTTTTGTTTTTTAAAGTGGATATATCGTGTTTGGTGTCGTTTTAAAGGATTTTTTGTGCCGATTACGATTATGTTTGTTAAAAATTGCTTTGGTTTAATAATAAAAAATTTTAATTATATAAAAAAAAAAATTTTTTTCTTAAAAATCGTTAAAAATAACTTTGAAACTGAAACATCTGTAAAACTCATTAAAGCCGTCATCCGGGGACACTTGTTGCTCTCGAAAACGTAAATCCGGGCCGTTTCGGTATTTAACACCAACCAAGAGGCTTCGTAATACACAAGATTTCGTCGCATAACAAAATTACAATTAACTAATATAAAATAAAATGGATTATTTCCATCCATTTAACGTAAACGCAATGGACGATTTTTGCGATAACCCAAAAAAGAAAAGGGGGGAAAATGTGAAACAAAGAACTCAAGCGAACGCGCGAGAAAGAGATAGAACGCATAGGTAAGAATTAAATTAATCGAAATTAAAATTTTAACAAAAAAATCTTGTAGTGTAAACTCGGCTTTTACCACCTTAAGACACTTAATCCCAACCGAACCGAAAGACCGGAAGTTGAGTAAAATAGAAACGCTAAGATTGGCATCAAGTTACATCGCGCATTTGGGGACGCAGCTGGTTGCAGGTAAAAAAGGACTTTAAAAATTTCTTTTAAATTTATTTTTGTGTTCAAGGAGGGATTGAACAACCTTGCCTAAGATTGCAACAACTAAGCGACGCGACCCAATCGCCTAATAACCACCGACAAGTTTGCACCTTTTGCATAGCCCACAATAAAAAAGGATCAAGGGTAATTTTTTTATTATATAATTTTTATCATTAAATTCGTAATCGCGCCGAAAAATCCTTTAAAACGAGCCCAAACACGACGAAGTTATCTCCAAAAACAACCGAGATAAGCTTGTTTAAAAATCATTTTGACAGTTTGTGTCAAATTTGACACATTAAGTTAAAAATGTCATTTTTAATCAATATATAATAATTTTTTCATGAAATTTGAGTTTTTATATTGACGCAATCAATATTAAGTTTTTAGGTGAATGTCAAATTTGACACGTTGAAAGTAAAATCTTAATTTTTATATAATTAAGTACCATTTTGGAAGTTAAATTCGTAATCGCGCCGAAAAATCCTTTAAAACGAGCCCAAACACGATGGGGTTATCTTTAAAAACAACCGCGAACGCCTGTTTAAAAATTATTTTGACAGTTTGTATCAAATTTGACAGATTAAGTTAAAAATGTCATTTTTTAATCACGATACGATTATTTTTTCTTCATATTTGATTTTTTATATTGACACATTGAATATTAAGTATTTACGTTAACGTCAAATTTGACAGGTTGAAAATAATTTGACGTTTAACGTTCAAATTGGTGAATTTAGCTTTAAATTAATAATTAAATGCCGCATTAATGATAAAATTTCAATCAATCAATTTGAAAAATGTCATGTGTCAAATTTGACATTACTTACGTCAATCTTTATATCATTAAGTGTCATATTTGATACTTAAATTCGTATTCGCGACGAAAAATCCTTTAAAACGACCCCAAACACGACGGGGTTATCTTCAAAAACAACCGAGATGTGATCGTTTAAAAATCATTTTGACAGTTTGTGTCAAATTTGACGGATTAAGTTAGAAATGTCATTTTTTAATCAAAATACGATTATTTTTTCATCAAATTTGTGCTTTTATATTGACACAATCGATATTAAGTTTTTAGATGAATCTCAAATTTGACAGGTTGAAAGTAAAATCTCAATTTTTATATAATTAAGTACTATTTTGGAAGTTAAATTCGTAATCGCGGCGAAAAGTCCTTTAAAACGAGCCCAAACACGATGGGGTTATCTTTAAAAACAACCGAGATACGCTTGTTTAAAAATAATTTTGACAGTTTGTGTCAAATTTGACAATTTAAACATTAAAGTGACAAATTAAGTTGCAAATGTCACTTATACGATTATTATCTCTCCAACTCGTTTAAATTTTATTTTCTACAATTACACATTAAATATTAAGTCATCAAGTAAATGTCAAATTTGACAGGTTGAAAATAAAATTGATATTTATCATTCAAATTGGTGATTTAAACCTCAAATCAACAATTAAATGTCATATTGGTGATAAAATATGATTAATTTAGTGCACAACTTATAAACGTCAAGTGTCAAATTTGACAGTTAAAACATTAAAGTGACAGATTGTGTTGGAAATGTCACTTATACAATTATAATCTCCGCCATTCGTTCCAATTTCATTTTCTACAATGACACATTAATTGTTGTGATCAAGTAAATGTCAAATTTGACAGGTTGAACATAAAATTGACATTTAACACTCAAATTGGGAAATTAAACCTCAAATTCTTAAACGATTAAAAAAATTAATTTAGTACACAACTTGTAAACGTCAAATGTCAAATTTGACAGTTTAAACATTAAATTTAATTTTCTACATATTAAATTTCAAGGTAAACATCAAATTTGACATATTGAAAATAAAATTGACATTTAACATTCAAATTGGTGAATTTAACCTCAAATTAATACTTAAACGTCATATTAATGAGAACATTCATTAATTTAGTACACAACCTGTCAATGTCATGTGTCACATTTGGCAGTTTAAACATTAAAGTGACAGATTGTGTTGGAAATGTCACTGATACAATTATAATCGTATCCGCCATTCGCTCCAATTTCATTTTTTGCGATGACACATTAAATGTTGTCATCAAGTAAATGTTATATTTGACAGGTTGAACATAAATTTGACATTTAACATTCAAATTGGTGAATTTAACCTCAAATTGACAATTAAATCTCATATTGACGATAAAATATGATTAATTTAGTGTTTAGCTTATAAACGTCAAGTGTCAAATTTGACAGTTTAAACATTAAAGTGACAGATTGAGTTGGAAATGTCACTTATACGATTATTATCTCCTTCATATATTCAAATTTCATTTTCTACAATGACACATGAAATGTTAAGTCATCAAGTAAATGTCAAATTTGACAGGTTGAAAGTAAAATTGACATTTATCATTCAAATTGGTGATTTAAACCTCAAAACAACAATTAAATGTCATATTGGTGATAAAATATGATTAATTTAATGCACAACTTATAAACGTCAAGTGTCAAATTTGACAGTTTAAACATTAAAGTGACAGATTGTGTTGGAAATGTCACTTATACGATTATTATCTCCTTCATATATTCAAATTTCATTTTTTACAATGACACATTAAATGTTGTCATCAAGTAAATGTTATATTTGACAGGTTGAACATAAATTTGACATTTAACATACAAATTGGTGAATTTAACCTCAAATTAATACTTAAACGTCATATTAATGAGAACATTCATTAATTTAGTACACAACTTGTCAATGTCATGTGTCAAATTTGACATTTATATTAAAGTGGTTTTATCTCGGTTATTATTCGAGATAACCTAGTCGTGTTTGGACTTATTTTGAAGGATTTTCAATTTCCCACACAAAAATGTCGATTAATCGTTAATTTTGTTCTTTTAGAAAAAAGTTTTAGAAGAAAAAGAAGATTTATACAAATCGAATCAACAAGGGGGATATTTTTATGAAGCGGAATGCTTTAACGATCAAAATTTCGAAGTAAACGAAGCTTATTTTTAATTCTAAAACATAATTTTAGTTTTAACCCGATTTTGTTGTTGTAAATTAATAAAAAATTAAATTTTATTTTAATTTTTTTAACTTACCTCTCACTGTTTAAACTTTTACCAGTTTGGTAAGTTGAACAATTCAGAAAAAGATAAGAACCAGATTTTTCTTTTTCCAGGTCAGAATTAACACTTTTTTCGGGGATTATTTTTAATTATTTTTGAGAATATCCCAAAGTAAATCGATTTAACACAAAATTTCGCTTAATTAATTTCGTCATTTTCAAATTAATCAAAAATAAAACTAAAATTAATTTTAAATCAAGTTCTAAATCATTTCGAATACGCCCCTGGAATTCTTATGAATCACTTACAAACAAGGAGTTCCAGTTTAAACCATCATTTTCTAATTGAAATCGGTTTCAAATCAACATTCCAACATCGAGGGCGTCCAAATCGAGTCGAAATCAACAAGAATTTGAGAGGTGAGCGATTTTTTAACACTTTTTTAACAAACTACGCCCTCCTAACCTCACTTTTTCACCAGAACAAAAAAAATTTCAAAATAAAACTAAATTTAAACGTTAACTTAATAAAAATATGATTAATTATTGATTAAAATCGTTGTTTGGTTTAAAATGGACGACTTCGATAAACAATTAGATGAATTAACACGTATTTAGTGAACTACGCCCTTCTAACCTCACTTTTTTTCCCAGAACAAAAAAATTTCAAAATAAAACTTAATTTAAACGTTAAATATGATTAATTATTGATTAATTTCGTGATTTGTTTTAGAATGGACGATCTGGATAAACAATTAGCTGAATTACAACTAATTAATAATGCCGAGTTACCTCCGAATCCATCAACTTTACAGAAGCAAAGCACCCCGGGGAAAAAAATAGCACCCACTGTTCCCCCAAAACCGAAAAAACAACAACCTTTGGTGCTAAATTGCTTTTAGTTGATTTAAAAGATAATTTAATAATAAAAATTTAACATTTTAGGTCCCCCATTCGTATTCGATCCAACAAAATCTTGAACCTTCGTATTCATCGCGTTTACACAGCCCCGGTGGGGCTAATTTTTATTCCAACATAACCCAAAATGTCCAACACAGCAAAACTCCCTCGAATTCTTCCACACTTCCTTTAGGAACGAGCATGTCTCAAAGTAGTTTGTATGGAAATTCTAGTGATCATTACGCAAATATACTTGGAATGGAACCGGGAAGTGGGCAATATTCAAATTTACCACCTCCCCCTCCTCCAATAACCCCGGCTCAATCACAAACGGGGAGTGTTTCAGGAAGTGTTCGAGGTAGCCCCCAAACTGTGTCTACATCCGGGTTTGGGAACACTAATTTCGTTCCAAAAGGTTATAATAAGAAGCCGGAGCAAGTTACTTATAGTAATGTTCAAGTTGGGGGGTTCCGAGGGGGCGAACGATCGATTTATAGCAATGTTCAAGGTGTTTATAACAACGTTGGGAGTTTATATGCGAATGGAGGTAATAAAAAGTTTTTTAATTCGTTTTAATTCACTAAAATCGTTTTGTTAGAGGACTTACCTCCGCCTCCACCTCCGGTTCAACCATCCAATTTACCGGAATACACACCATGCACGGTTAACACCAATTTTCCACCACCTCCGGATGATTTTCCACCACCTCCATCACCTGTAAGTTCGAGTTATAGCGAGTTACGTCGTGCTACTCAACCGAGTCAAGATTATAATAATTACGGGATGGGTTCGGTGAGTTTTTTTTATTCTAATTAACAAAGCAAATTTAAATAAATACCTTTTTATTTAGTATGGAACATCCAGTCAGGTAATTTTATTAATATATTTAAAAATAAATCGATTAAAAAATTCGTTTGACATTTCGAGGTTAATTTTGACATTTCTAAATTCGACATTTTGAGGTTAAACGAAATAAATTTTTTAATTTCTTATTTTGAAACATTTTAACGCATTTTTATGTTTTAATTGAAATGCAAAAATGATTTGTTGTTTATTTCTTACCTTTGTTTGTGTTGAATTATGTTTATCAAGTTTGTTGGTTTAAAAATATGAATGTGATTCTTCCTCTTGTATAAGCTTTAAGAAGCATAAATAATTAATAATTACAACAGGTTATGGGCTCAAATTCAGTTCAATTCGGTGCATAACTAACATAATTTCGATAAATTAGCCAATTTTCTGCAAATATTTTTCGCTCCTTTGACACTTCGCAACTTTTACTTCAATACTGCCAACCTCGAAAAAACAAAAAAATCTGTGCCAAACAAATCGTATTTCGGAATATTTTAACAATTTATTTAAATTCGAATAAAACAAGTTTAAATATATCCATTTTAACGTAAAACTATAATTTTTATATTATTATAATCTATTTTTTAATTCGGAGGAGTAAAATGAAGCGCAAAAAAAAAGGGTTGCCATTGGTTAGTTTTAAGCTAAAATGACACTAGGAAAATTCGAGATGTGGCCGGTCGCCTTGATTTATAAAAACATTCAAGGTTTGAACACATTTTACAGGTTTTTTTAATAAAGAATACATCATGAGGTTGTCCATTATAGTTGTCTATTATATGATAACCAACTTCAGGTATAACATGTCAACGTCAATTTTGACATATTTGAAAAAAAAATCCTTTTAAAGTACAAACACGACATATTTATCTTCAATATTACAACGTCAAGTGTCAAATTTGACAGTTTAAAAATTAAAGTGACAGATTAAGTTGGAAATGTTACTTATACAATTATTATTTCCTCTATTCGTTCAAATTTCTTTTTCTACAATGACAGTAAGGCATCAATTAAATGTCAAATTTGAGAGGTTGAAAATAAAATTGACATTTAACATTCAAATTGGTGAATTGAACCTCGAATTAATACTTAAATGTCATATTAATGAGAAAATTCGATTAATTTAGTACACAACTTGTCAATCTGTCATCATGTCATCTGTCAAATTTGACAGTTTAAATATTAAAGTGATTTTATCTCGGTTATTATTCGAGATAACCTAGTTTTTTTTAATAAAAAATACATCGTGTGGAACACCATGAAGTTGTCGATTTGTCTATTATATGACAACTAACTTCAAGTTTAAAATATCAACCTCAATTTTGACAAATTTGTAATCTTCATTAAAAATCCTTTAAAATGAGTACAAACACGACATATTTATCTTCAATATTACAACGTCAAGTGTCAAATTTGACAGTTTAAAAATTAAAGTGACAGATTAAGTTGGAAATGTTACTTATACAATTATTATTTCCTCTATTCGTTCAAATTTCATTTTCTACAATGACACATTGAATGTTAAGTCATCAAGTAAATGTCAAATTTGACAGGTTGAAAATGAAATTGACATTTAACATTCAAATTGGTGAATTGAACCTCGAATTAATACTTAAATGTCACATTAATGAGAAGATTCGATTAATTTAGTACACAACTTGTCAATGTCATCTGTCAAATTTGACAGTTTAAATATTAAAGTGATTTTATCTCGGTTATTATTCGAGATAACCTAGTTTTTTAATAAAAAATACATCATGTGGGAACACCATGAAGTTGTCTATTACATGATAACTAACTTCAGGTGTAAAATGTCAACCTCAATTTTGACATATTTGTAATCTTCATTAAAAATCCTTTAAAATGAGTACAAACACGACATATTTATCTTTAATATTAATGAAGTTATGGTCAACTTCCGGTTAGAAATGTCAACCTCAATTTTGACATATTTGTAATCGTCGTGAAAAATCCTTTAAAATGAGTCCAAACATGATACGTTTAATTCCAATATTACGCGAGATATAACCAACTTCCGGTTTGAAATGTCAATGTCATTTTGATGTATTCTTAATTTTTATAAAATGTCTTAAAATTGGTCATAAAAACAAGATATACAAAAAAAAAATTGAGGTTGGTATTAATATTTAAAAATTAAATTGCTATCTTCATTATTGCTAACTTCCGGTTTAATGTTTTTATTCTAACTTTTTTGTTTTTTGAGATAAATGCATCATGTTTAGACTCATTTTAAAGGTTTTTTAATGAAGATGACAAATATGTCAAAATTGACGTTGACGTTTCAAACCGGAAGTGATCATATCTCCATTAATATTAAAGTTAAATATGTCGAGTTTGGACTCATTTTAAAGGATTTTTTATGAAGTTGACAAATATGTCAAAATTAAAGTTGAAAGTTCGAATTTTTTTGTTTTTTGAGATAAGTGCATCATGTTTGGACTCATTTTAAAAGTTATTTTATCAAGATTATGAATATAATAATCAAAATTAAAGTTGGCATTAACACCTGAAAGTTTTTTTCTTAACCATGCGTCGAAAGTCTTTCAAAAAACATCAAAATTATTTTTGGGCGCACAACTAAACACGAATATTTCTAGTTCTAGGTCTAGGTCTAGTGTTAGCTCTAGTTTTAATTCAATAAAAATATGCAACACATTAATATATTCAAAAACGGATTAACGAGTTATTTTGTCAGTAATCCGTAAACTTTTATATCTATGTTCTTGAGTGTCAAATGAAATAAGTTTTTGAATTATTTTGATTCGATTTTTTTAATCAAATTAATTAAAACATTTACCTTGTCATTCCTAAAACTGATTTGAACCAAAATTTTGATTCCCCGGGTTAAAAAAATCACTCAAATGTTTTAACAAATTTAAATCGCAACTTCAAGTAATTAAAACTGTCAATTAATGATGACAACAAAACGTAGTTGTCTGACTTACCGACAATGATTTTTTATTTTTATTTATTTGTTTTTCAATTAAATATTGTTATAAATTATTGAATGCAATACTTAATTTAACATCGTCGAAATCGTTTTATAAAAATTTATTTTACAACTTTATTTTTAAAGGTTTTTTTCGCGGTTTCAAGCAAAGTTTAAACTGTCAATTAAGAATTGGTACACAAATATAAAAAATTATAGATCGACTTTTATTTGGATAGATATTTTTGAGCGATTTTTTTCTTATTTATTAATAATAACGGTTTCAATTGATTTGTTTAAATGTAAATTAATAACGTATGAATTAATTTTATAAATTTAAAAACGAATTAACGAGTTATTTTAATCAGCATTCCGTAAACTTTTATATCTATGTTCTTGAGTGTCAAATGAAATAAGTTTTTGAATTATTTTAATTCGATTTTTTTAATCAAATTAATTAAAACATTTACCTTGTCATTCCTGAAACTGATTTGAACCAACATTTGGATTTATCGGGTTAAAAAAAATCAATTAAATGTTTTAACAAATTTAAATCGTAACTATATGACAACAAAACGTAGTTATCTGACTTACCGACAACGATTTTTTATTTTCATTTATTTATTTTCAAATTAAATATTGTTATAAATTATTGACTTATTATTGATTCTACTGTCCTTGGTTTTTAACTATTTTTTAATAATAATAAGTCAAAATAAATGAATTTCGAAACGATTATTACGAAAATTTTTGGTTTTTATTTGATTTGGGGAATTTTTTGTGTTGGTATTAATTTTTTATGACAACTGACAAATTTGAAATTTTAAGGTTAAACAAAATAAATCCATTAATTTCGTATTTTGAATCATTTTAACGCATTTTTATGTTCTAATTGATATAAAAAAGTAATTTTTTATTCATTCCTTACCTTTATTTATTATATTTATGATTTGTATTAATTTTTTGCAGTCTTCAACGTACGAGTCAATTTATGAGCCGATTAATCCGCGCCCTTCTAGCCAAATGTCTTCGCGTTCAAATTACTCGTTGTACGCCCCGTACAGCGGAAGTAGCAGCCACATGTCTGGACCAAGTCAATCGGCCAGTCGGATCGGAAACAATAAAGAGCACGAAGTCGACACGTTAACTGATTTATTGGTGCAAGGGATGGTTGGTGAATCGGAAGGGGGCGAGTTTTATGGAATTTGTGTTAAATGTCGAGAAAAAGTTTGATTTAATTATTTTTTATATAAATAGAATTCAATAAATTCGAAATTTTTAGGTTATTGGGGAAAATAACGGGTGTACGGCGATGGATAAAATTTATCACACGAAATGTTTTACTTGCAATGCATGCGCGATTAATTTACAAGGAAAACCGTTTTATGCTTTGAGAGGGAAACCGTATTGCAAAGAAGATTACATGGTAAAAATTAAAATTTAACCTCACTTTTTATAATTTATAAATAAATTAATTTTTTGTAATTCGCGACGGTAAAAATTGTTCCTACCTTTCATGGGACGTCTCTGGAAGTAGTTTCAATACAACTCCGAGCAGTTTCTCTTATTTCAGGAACGTTTTTTTCAAGTAAATACATTTTGTGTTTTGACAACCTCTAACTGTCAATTCAAATTTCTATTTTTAAGTGTTACCAACTGCTACATAAAAAAAATTTCCTAAACTGTCAAAATTTATTTTATTTTTATTAAAAAAGAGAGAATAAAAACGCGAATTACAAAAAAATAGCATAAAAACGTGAAACTAGTTTTTTAATATACCGTTTTAGAATACTTTGGAGAAATGTAGCGTATGCACAAAACCAATCCTCGATCGGATTTTACGCGCAACCGGAAAACCATATCACCCAAAATGTTTTTGTTGCGTTATTTGTGGTAAAAGTCTCGATGGGATTCCTTTCACTGTTGATGCAACCAACCAAATTCATTGCATTGAAGACTTTCACAAGTAAATTTACAACATTTTCTTAATTTCTTCGTTTTTATATAACTTTTTTTAAAGAAAATTCGCCCCAAAATGTTGCGTTTGCAATTTTCCTATTATGCCAGAACCTGGGCAAGATGAAACAGTTCGTGTGGTCGCATTGGATAGGAGTTTTCATATACAATGTTATAAATGCGAGGTAATTGTTGTTTATTAACTTGAATTATATAAAAATATTGTTTATTTTAGGATTGTGGCTTGGTTTTATCATCAGAAGCTGAAGGGAGAGGTTGTTACCCATTGGATGATCATGTTTTGTGTAAAAGTTGCAATGCAAAGCGAGTTCAAGCTCTCACTAATAATATTACTACCGAGTTATAAATTGATTCGATTAAAGGGGGTACATTCCATGTTTTTTTATCATTATTATTAATTTGGGCAACTTATATTTTACTTTTATTAACGGTTTTTTAGATATTTCCTTTATTAATATTAGATTTTTTTTAGTTGGGTATAATATACGTGCCAATATGATGTGATTTTTTTCTATTTGATAAATGTTTATGTATAATAATGGTTATTGTATGCTTAAATAAAAACATTTTATTCCTAATCGCTTTAATAAAAACCTAAAAGTGGGGTTATATGTATGTGTGGTTGTCTACCTGTCAGGTTTTGGAGTTTAATAAGGTTATGTTTGTTAAAATTGATATAAATATTTTCCCCATTTTTGAAATTGATGCTTTTTTAGTGAGTTTGATTCATTTGAAATTCATAACTAATTAGAAAATTGTTTAAATTAAATCGAAAATTAATTAGATTGTGGTATTAAGTAAGTTTCGCCGTAAGATGGCGTTGATTAACATTTAATTTATATAAAAAAAGCTTTTTTTTATGTTATTGTGACTAATACAGAAGATAAATTAAGTTTTCTTAAGGCTAAAATTACTGATAAAACTCCATTTTATAAATATTTTTAATTATTATTATTAAAAATTAATTAAATTATGTTCTTACGTAATTTTCTCCGTAAGATGGCGCTGATTAACATTTTATTTATTTAAAATAGCTTTTTTTATGTTATTGTGATTAATACAGAAGGTAAATTAAGTTTTCTTAAGGCTAACATTACTGATAAAACTCCATTTTATAAATATTTTTAATTATTATTATTAAAAATTAAGTAAATTAGGGTCTTATGTAATTTTCGCCGTAAGATGGCGCTGATTGACATTTAATTTATTTAAAAAACCTTTTTTTATGTTATTGTGATTATTACAGAAGGTAAATTAAGTTTTCTTAAGGCTAAAATTACTGATAAAACTGCATTTTATAAATATTTTTAATTATTATTATTAAAAATTAAGTAAATTAGGGTCTTATGTAATTTTCGCCGTAAGATGGCGCTGATTGACATTTAATTTATTTAAAAAAGCTTTTTTTATGTTATTGTGATTAATACAGAAGGTAAATTAAGTTTTCTTAAGGCTAAAATTACTGATAAAACTCCATTTTATAAATATTTTTAATTATTATTATTAAAAATTAATTAAATTAGGGTCTTATGTAATTTTCGCCGTAAGATGGCGCTGATTGACATTTAATTTATTTAAAAAAGCTTTTTTATGTTATTGTAACTAATAAAGAAGATAAATTAAGTTTTCATAAGGCTAAAATTACTGATAAAACTCCATTTTATAAATATTTTTAATTATTATTATTAAAAATTAATTAAATTATGTACTTACGTAATTTCCGTCGTAAGATGGCGCTGATTAACATTAATTTATTTAAAAAAGCTTTTAATAAAACCATTTTATTAACAATCATTTTTATTAATCTCATAAACCCACACCGTATCAATCCCACTCCCAATAATCCTTTTCGGTTTCAAATTCACCAAGGGAAACCTACAAGCGATAATAAAACAACCATCTCCGCATTCATTTCTAATTTTTTCCTCCAACATTCCCATCTAAAAACGAAATAAACAATTAATAAGCACTTAATTCATCTTGATATTAAGTAACCATCTCCTCAACCCCAAAAATAACCACGTTTTCGTACTTTCCAATATCAAATTTCCACAAATCTTTACAAAAAAAATTCGTTTTCGCCCTCAAACCCCTCCGAAACGAATCGATTTGAGAATAAACCACCAACCAAGGATTCAATTCAACCCCGTGCGAGATAAAATCGTTTTTAGCAGCCTCAATCACAATTCGACCATCCCCAGAACCTAAATCGATAAGATTTCCTCTTCGGCCTTTAAGTGCTTTTAAAACGTTCGTTATTTGGTGGGTTGTGGCTGGTACGTACGGTAAACACACTTTTCTTAAGGCTGGAATTACGAAGGGGGCGCATAAAATCGTTAATCCGGTTGCTACTCCTCCTTAAAAAAATTTATTAATAAATCTAACCTAAAAGTGAGGTTATGTTTGTTAATACCTGTTATTGCGATAAATATTTTCCCCGTTTTTGAAATTGATGCGTTCTTTGGTGAGTTTGATTCGAAATTATCTTCGAAATTCATAATTAATTAGAATATTGTTTAAATTAAATCGAAAATTAATTAAATTGAGGGTCTTATGTAATAAGTTATTATTTTCGCCGTAAGATGGCGCTGATTAAAATTAATTTATTTAAAAAAGTTCTTTTTATGTTATTGTAGGTAGTATTTAAGGTAAATAAAGTTTTTTTAAGGCTAAAATTCCATTTTATAAATATTATTAATAGATGTAACCCAAAACTTAAGAAAATTAATTAAATTGGTGTCTTATGTAATTTTTGCCGTAGATGGCGCTGATTAAGATTAATTGGTCCAAAAAAGGTTTTAATAAAAACATTTTATTCCTAATCGCTTTTATTAATCTTTCTCTTTTATTAAAACGTTTCGAAATTTTCTTGGAAATTCGTAATTTATTAGAAAATTGTTTAAATTAATTAAATTGAGGGTCTTACGTAATAAGTTATTATTTTCGCCGTAAGATGGCGCTGATTAACAATTAATTTATTTAAAAATAAGCTTCTTTTATGTTATTGTGGCTAATATTTAAGGTAAATAAAGTTTTCTTAACGCTTAAATTATGTATAAAATTCCATTTTATAAATATTATTAATAAACGTAACCCAAAAGTTAAGAAAATTATTTAAATTGGGGTCCTATGTAATTTTCGCTGTAAGATGGCGCTGATTAGCATTAATTTATTTAAAAAAGCTTTTAATAAAGACATTTTATTCCTAACCGCTTTTATTAATCTCTCTCTTTTATTAAAACGTTTCGAAATTTTCTTGGAAATTCATAATTAATTAGAAAATTGTTTATATGAATTAAATTGAGAGTCTTATGTAATAAATTATTATTTTCGCCGTAAGATGGCGCTGATTATCATTAATTTATTTAAAAAAGCTTCTTTTATGTTATTGTGGCTAATACTTAAGGTAAATAAAGTTTTCTTAAGGCTAAAATTCCATTTTATAAATATTATTAATAAATGTAACACAAAAGTTAAGAAAATTATCTAAATTGGGGTCTTATGTAATTTTCGCCGTAAGATGGCGCTGATTAAGATTAATTGGTTCAAAAAAGGTTTTAATAAAAACATTTTATTCCTAACCGTTTTTATTAATCTCTCTCTTTTATTAAAACGTTTCGAAATTTTCTTGGAAATTCATAATTAATTAGAATATTGTTTAAGTTAAATCGAAAATTAATTAAATTGATGGTCTTATGTAATAAGTTATTATTTTCGCCGTAAGATGGCGCTGATTAACATTTAATTTATTTCAAAAAGCTTCCTTTAAGTTATTGTGGCTAATACTTAAGGTAAATAAAGTTTTCTTAAGGCTAGAATTCCATTTTATAAATATTATTAATAAATATAACCCAAAGTTAAGAAAATTATTTATATTGGGACTTGTATAATTTTCGCCGTAAGATGGCGCTGATTAACATTAATTTATTTAAAAAAGCTTTTAATGAAGACATTTTATTCCTAATCTCTTTTATTAATCTCTCTCTTTTATTAAAACGATTCGAAATTTTCTTGGAAATTCATAATTAATTAAAAATTTGTTTAAATTAAATCGAAAATTAATTAAATTGATGGTCTTACGTAATAAGTTATTATTTTCGCCGTAAGATGGCGCTGCTTAACAATTAATTTATTTAAAAAAAAGCTTCTTTTATGTTATTGTGGCTAATATTTAAGGTAAATAAAGTTTTCTTAAGGCTAAAATTCCATTTTATAAATATTATTAATAAATGTAACCCAAAAGTTAAGAAAGTTAATTAAATTGAGGTCTTATGTAATTTTCGCCGTAAGATGGCGCTGAAAATCATTAATTTATTTAAAAAATCGTTTTTTTATGTTATTGTGATTAATTTAATGGATAAAGTTACTTAAATTAATGCGATTTTTCATATTAATTAATACAAATTAAAAAGAAAATAAATAAATTATTACATTTTTTTAAAAAACTAACTTCACGTTTGTTTGAGACCTTTGAGACGTCATGTCATGTAAAAGTTTAAAAAAAATTAAATTAATTTTCGTTTTTATTATTTATTCGAAAGTAAAAAAAAATACACGCTTAGTAAGTATAAGAAGACGAAACAAATAAATAATCGTTAATAATTACCTTTAAAGAAAAGATATTTACTATTTTTTAATAAGTGAGGTTATGTCACTAAGATTTAACCTCAAAATAAATACTAAAGCGAAAAAAATGTACAAATAACACGATATTTATTAAACTTTGGTGTATCCTTGGGTTAAATTATGAGTCGTTGCGTTCCTTGTAGTACGAGGACAAGAATTTGATAATTGCCTCGAATCGGAAACCGTAATCGTACTTTTAACTACATTAAATAATTTAGCATAAGCCAATCTGTATTGTTTATTACTAGCTACATAAATAATTGGATTAACAACGCTCGAGGCCCATGCTAAAATTGAAGCGCAAACATGGAGAGTTGGAATAGTTGTGTCATCGTCGAAGACATTTACGCACATTAATGGCAAAAAACAAAATAAAAAGCACGCAAAAATGAGGAGCATTAATTTGGTGAGTCTTCTATCGTCTCGTTCGCGTTTTGAACTCCTTTCTTTGGGATTTGATCTAAAAATTACAAAAATTAATTTTTTTTTTTAGGTTAGAAGTTAAATTAAAACATACCTATGCGATTTAAGATTATTATTTGATTGGCGAACTTTTAAATAAATACACGTGTAAGAAACGATAATTACTAAGCACGGGATGACGAATCCGACGAGAAAAATGAATTGTTTTGGAGATTTTCCATCTTTTTTGTTGATCGTGCACGAAAATGTCGATTTATTTAGGCCTAATTCGCCCCAAATTCCGAGAGAAGGTGGCAACTAAAACGATTAAATTTAAATTAATTTAAAAAAATTGATTTTTTTTGATTCAATTTACCATTATTAAAAAAGCGACGCTCCAAATTGCGAATAATTGGATCCAAATTGAGAGTTTCGAGTACAATTTTGAATAATACTCGTAATATGATATGATTATATATCTGGAAATGATTATTTTTAGTAAGTTTATACGATTTTTTTTTTTGGTTTGGTTTTAATTAAGTCGTTTTAAATGAATGGTTCCCTTTCTTTAGAGTGCATTCATTAAATAAAGTCGCCCATTGTTCCATAAGTCGATTTATTTTTTTTTGTTTAGGGTCAAATGTCGCGTTTAGTCATTGCGTTTAATCAAGAACAAGCTCGTATTTTCTGTTATTACAGCAATTTAAATTATTTCTTTGAAAAATAATTCATTATTAGTCACGATTAAGATAACATAACCTATTTTTTTTTTTTTGGTTTGACGTTTCAAATTTTTTAAACGTCAAATCTGTCAAAAAAATTTTTTATTAAAATAACGCTTTTTTACCTGTTTACAGTTATCGCGACCATATTTAGGAGGGATAAAGCGACGTTTCCGTACAAAATAACGGGGAAAACTTTACACAAAGCATCCCCCATCCTCCATTCTTGGTGAATATACCTGTCTGCCATCAAGGGTAAGTTAATCAAACAAAATAAGAGATCCGAAATGCTCAGGGATAACACGAAAAACGTTGTGGCGTGCAAACGAAGTTTGGGGCATCTTATTAAAGCTATTATTGTAACAGTGTTTCCTAAAAAAATTATTATTTTAACAATTACGAAAAAATAACTGTAATTTAAGAAGCTATTTCTTTATCTAAATTGATAAGATAACTTCTACCTGAATTTTTAAAAGACTAACTTCATTCTTATCTCGCTTATTGTAATATTTTGGTCAACACTTACCGAAAACACCCACAATACAAAAAATAATAGCACAAATCGCTGCGAAAATAGTCGCGGGTCGCGGATATTTAACGGGTTCATCCATTTTTCGCGAAATTATTTGAATTTTAACCCATTACCGCCAAAAAATCAACACGAACGTACCCAACGCACTTTGTGACGTCAGCGGAGCGAATGAACGTGATCTTTGGTTGTGCGCTTTAAAGTGTTCGGTCGTCATCGAGTATTGCCCGAGATTTGTCGAAAAATTGAACGTTGTTAAAGTTTATTTACATTTTTAGATAAGTTGAAATGTTTTTATTGAAGGGATTTCCTAATTGGAGTACATTCTGATGATGAATTTTATTTTTTTTATAATTTTTAGAAATTAATGAGTCAATTTGTTTAAAATAAAAGATTTTTTGTGATAATAATCTTATTTTTTGGTTTTTATATTAATGTAATTACGATTTATTAATGTTTTTAATTAAAATATTTTAAAAATTATTTTTTTTTAATAGATGGCGTCATAAATGATGATTTTTTTTTATTTTTTAATAATTAATGACTCAATTTTTTTAAATAAAAATTAATTTTGTAATAAAAATCTTATTTTTCGGTTTTTATATTAATTTAATTCCAATTAATTAACGTTTTTAATTAAAAATTTAATCTATTAATTTTTTAATAGATGGCGCCATAACATTTGTTGACAACTTGTTATAAATGATTAATTTTTTTTTTAATTTTTAGTAATTAATGACTCAATTTCTTTAAATTAAAAGCTTTTTTGTAATGATAATCTTATTTTTCGGTTTTTATATTAATTAATTCCAATTAATTATGGGTTTTGATTAAAATTATTAAAAAATAAATTTATTATTTTTTTTAATAGATGGCGCTATTAAATTTATTGACAACTTGTCATGAATGACGAATTTTACTTTTTTTTTAAATTTTTAGTAATTAATGACTCAATTTCTTTAAATTAAAAGCTTTTTTGTGATGATAATCTTATTTTTCGGTTTTTAATTACTTTAATTCCGATTAATTAATGTTTTTAATGAAAATAATCAAAAAATTAATCTATTATTTTTTTTCAATAGATGGCGCCATAACATTTATTGACAACTTGTCATAAATGATTAATTTTATTTTTTAGAAATTAATGACTCAATTTCATTAAATTAAAACTTATTTTGTGATAATAATCTTATTTTTCGGTTTTTATATCACTTTAATTCCGATTAATCAAAATTTTTTATTAAAATAATTAAAAAGATTAATTTCTTAATTTTTTTAATAGATGGCGCCATAAAATTTATTGACAACTTGTCATTTTTAACCAAATTTTTTTTTTTTTATAACAAATAATGCAATTTTGTAACCTTTTTTTTACTAAGTAAGTACTAAATATGTGTTGTATGTATGTAGTTTCATGTGGGGGTGAATTCCTTTTTAGCAATTAGGCCCTTTGTACATCTCCACAATTTACACATCATTCAGGGGTCAGAAAACCAGCTCAAGGGCGTTTATATGAGTTGGATTATATTATCCCAATGATCTTTGAGGTTTGACTAAAACAGAATAAAAGATACTGGAAATTAAAAGATTATAGAGGGTGTGTTATCTCTATAAGAGCTTCCTAATCTTTCTAATAACCTTGGAAATCACTACAATGCAAAAGGTATTACAAATAAAGCTGCTAAGGAGTATATAAGCTAAATTGGGGTACTGTGAAAGATAAAACACTTACTTATGAGTACAATAAACGATTTAAACCTAGTTTAAATATATTATAAGAATTCATTTATAGGTTATGTCGACCAAAACACAATTTAAGAACACCTTACTTCATTATTATTGATAAATTATACCCGCACAACACTAAATAACCCAAAAATGCATTAATATTAATAAATTAATCACCAAATTTATCATAAATAATAAAAAATCACAAAAAAGAACACTACTTATTATGACTTATTAGTTGTAGATGTCGCCACTTTCGCCGTAAAAATGCTTAAACCGCTATTTAGAGCAAAAGATTTAATTTTTGTGCAAAAACGCTTAGCGGGGCACTCGAAATGGGCCAATATCCGACACACGAAGGCGTTAAAAGATGGCCAAAGGGGGCAAATGTTCACGAAATTCGCGAGGCAAATAAAAGTTGCAATTCAAGGTTAGGATTAAAAGTGAGGTTAAGTTTGCTTTTATTTATTTTTAAGTTAAATTTTGGTAATTTAGAAGGAGGATCCCCCGATCCGGTTAAAAATTTGAAGTTAGAACAAGTCCTCGAACAAGCTAAAAGGAATAATATGCCAATTGGAACGATTCAAGGTGTTATTAAGAGTACACAAATTAATAAGGAGATGTGCAAAAAGTATTTGTTGGAGATTAAGTTGGTTGTAATTAATTAATTAATTAAGATTGTATTAAAAAAGTAATTTTTTAGGGGTCCAGGAAGTAGTGTTTTTCTTTGTGAAGTCTTCACAGGAAATTTAACCCAAACTCGATCGTTGCTTGCTTCGATATTAAAAAAGCATTCATCTAAATACGTCGAAAATAGCGTAAAACACATGTTTGTGGAGAAAGGAATTATTGAGTGTTATCTTGATGATTACAAAGATAAAGACATCTTAGAAAAAGCCATGGAAGATGCAATCGAGTTTGGTGCTGAAGATGTGAAAGTCTTAGATGACAATTTAATTCAATTTCTTTGTACATCTCAAAATTTGAAGATAGTTCAAACGAAATTAGAAACGGCGAAATATAAAATAACCAGTGCGAGTGTTGAATATATTCCAAATCAATTGCAAATTTTGAATGAAAAGGATTTAGAAATATGTTCAAATTTATGTGAGAAATTAGAGAATCAAAGTGAAGTTATTGAAATTTATGATAATATAGGAAATTGAGTTGATATAAAAGAAATTAATAAATTTAAATATGAAGGGTAGAAGTAGAATCCTTTCCTTTCTTAATTTTAATAAATACAGCTTTCAGGAATTTTTAAATTAACTTATTTTTTTGACATTTTTAGGTTATACGAAAATGTAAGTTTTATTTCAACTTTTTTTCTCAATATTTTTCTAATTTAACCCAACAATTATTATACATTGTTTTAAAGAGAAAGCTTTGAGCTTTAATTTAAAATAAAATTCATTCCTTAATTTCAATAAATGCGGCTTCCAAGAATTTTTAAATTAGCATATTTTTTGACATTTTTAGGTTATTCGAAAATGTAAGTTTTATTTCAAAATTTTTTTTCTCAATATTTTTCCAATCCAACCCAACAATTATTACACATCATTTTAAAGAGAAACCTTTGAGCTTTAATTTAGAATCAGTCTCATTCCTTAATTTCAATAAATACGACTTCCAGGAATTTTTGAATTAGCATCTTTTTTTGACACTTTTAGGTTATACAAAAATGTAACCTTTATTTCAACAATTTTTTTCTCAATATTTTTCCAATCCAACCCAACAATTATTATACATCATTTTAAAGAGAAAGCTTTGAGCTTTAATTTAAAATAAGTTTCATTCCTTAATTTCAATAAATACGGCTTCCAGGAATTTTTAAATTAGCATCTTTTTTGACACTTTTAGGTTATACGAAAATGTAAGTTTTGTTTCAACATTTTTTTTCTCAATATTTTTCCAATCCAACCCAACAATTATTATACATCATTTTAAAGAGAAAGCTTTGAGCTTTAATTTAAAATAAAATTCATTCCTTAATTTCAATAAATACGGCTTCCAAGAATTTTTAAATTAACATCTTTTTTGACATTTTTAGGTTATACGAAAATGTAAGCTTTATTTCAACAATTTTTTTCTCAATATTTTTCCAATCCAACCCAACAATTATTATACATCATTTTAAAGACAAAGCTTTGAGCTTTAATTTAAAATAAGTTTCATTCCTTAATTTTAATAAATACGGCTTCCACGAATTTTTAAATTAGCATATTTTTTGACACTTAGATTGTGTGAAAAATAAAATTTAAAGGTTTCTGTTTTTAAATGTTTCCATTGGATATTCATTTTTGAATAAATTTAAATAAAAAGTTTCAAAATGTTTCATTAAATGACCTCTAATTGACCTTGACCTAGTTAAAACTGAAAATTTTTCTCGAAACTTTGAAGATGTCTCCTTGAGTTCACCTTGAACGACCTCTAATTGACATTGACGAAGGTAAAAGTGAAAATTGAAAACGAAATTTTGAGGATATCTCCTTGAGTTCACCTTGAATGACCTCTAATTCACCTTGACCTACTTAAAACTGAAAATTTTTCTCAAATCTTTGAGGATGTCTCCTTGAGTTCACCTTGAATGACCTCTAATTGACATTGATAAAGGTAAGTGTTTTGTAATTTTTACTTCCTCGAAAATGAAAAGTAGGAAAAATATTTAGGGAGTAATTTGGCGGGAAATATGAATTAATTATACCTCCTAATATCAAACTAAAGTCCCTAGATTTACAAAGTACTGTGCTTCATGACGTCTGTTTTCGAGCCAAAATGACGGTTTGACAACTTGTCACTGTATCTCACCACTTATTTACAAAAATATTGCCGTCTTGTTGCCTTTGGAATTGCAAGAAAGCAGTAAGAAGGGCTTTCGACTCTTCAGAGTACCACGAGATAAAAGAAAAGAATTTTGGCGTAATGTTATCAATACAACGACAGTTTTAAATTTCCCGCTTGACTTTCGAGCCAAAATGGCGACAAACCGCGGTACTTTGTAAATCTAGCGACATCTATCATTCAATAACAAAACTAATCTTAGGAACCAAAAGCGCTTTGTAACTGCCCAACAGATGTCGCCCTATATTTCGAGAAATAATTCTTTATATTTTATAACTAATTATTGTAAACGGATCAAATATTGTTACAAAACTTGAAAATGAATTATAAAAAAAATCGTATTTAATAATAATAATACGTTATTGCCCCAAATAAAATACAAAATACTTAATTAATTTTAAAACAATTCGAATTCTTTACGATTATCTCGCATTCATAACAAATTCGTTAATTGTAATTAATTCAAATCGATTCTAATTAAGAGAAATAAATTAAAAATATCTTTTTTTGATTTAATCCACTTACCTTGTTTATAATTCCCTAGATAAACCAATTTTGAGTTAAATACAGCCTTTTAAACCAATTAAATAACACTTTTTCCTTAAATAAACTTCAATTCAATTTCAATTTTGACAAGCACCTGCAATATTTGGATCTTAATCACCATGACAACCGAGTCAAGTTGGATAACCTAAAAATAATAAAATTTTAACCGTTAATATTTCGCTTTATATTTTAATAAACATTGTTTTGTTGTGACAGAACAATTAATTAAGGTTATGTACCTAATTAATTGTTAAAGATTAATTAATTAGAAATAAATATCTTTTTAAATCCCGAATTAACGCACTCAAAACTCACCAGCACTTTTCGAAACGTCAAACTTAAAAAGTAAACAAAGATTGAAGTTATGTTTAAAAAAAAAATCTTATTTTAAATTGTTAAATAAACGTTTTTAACATAAATTAATTGTTTACGATTTAAATTACTTACTTAGCCATTAATATCTTCTTAAATCCCGAATTGACGCATTCAAAACTCAGCAACACTTCTCGAAACGTCAAACTTAAAAAGTGAACAAACATTGAGGTTATGTTTAAAAAAAATCGTTTTTAAAATAAATTAAATGTTTAAGATTTAAATTACTTACTTTTAGTCATAAATATCTTCATAAATCCTGAATTAAAACTCACCAACACTTTTCGAAACGTCAAATTTGAAAAATAAATAAACATTGAGGTTAAAATCCTTTTTTAAAACATTAAACAAGTTATTAAACTTATTTAACATTAATTATAAATAAAACGCAATAAAAATATCCACTAGTGTATAGGGGGGTAATACTATAATAGATTTTTTTTACATATTAAATTTTTTTACAATCTAAACGCGGTACGTGTTTTTTTTAAGGTTATACAGATTTTTCGGGTTATTTTTGAACAATTTTTTTTCGAGATAAAAATAAGTAATAAAAAAGGAATTTAGGATTGTTTTAAAAAAGGATTTTGGATCGATAAAAATTTTTTTAAACAAAATTTAAGTTGGTAATACGAATCGATTAAAAGTGAGGTTAAGATTTGTTTAAATGGGATTTCGGGGAGGAAAACAACGAGAAAAAAAGGATTTTTATTACAATTAACGACATTATAATACAGGACAAGGGATTGCCTTATTTTTTCTTTTATAAAACAAATATATACAAACGTAACGCGACAATTATCGAATAATATTAATATTAAATATAAATACATTTTTTTTTTAACTAAGTTGATAAAAAAGAGTTTTTTTACGTTTTCATTAAATCTTTTTAAAATAATTAATAATTAATAAAGCGAAGAAATAAAATCGTAATATAATAGAGAGTTTCTTGTGAGTGAGAAAAGAATCGTTTAATTTTAATTTTAGGAAAAGTAAAAATTTTTTTTGAAGGTTATGTTACAATTAGAATCTAAATATTTTTATTTTATTAATCGTAAAATTGTTATTTTAGTAAATAACTTTATATATATACATTCTATTCTAAATCGTTTTTTTTTTATATTTATTATTTTCTTTTTTAATTAAAAATTATTTTAATCATTTTCATCTATAATGACTCAGAATGAAGCAAATTTCTCTAAAAAAAAATGATTTAATTCAAAATCTGTCTTTTATCCGTTACCGATTTTAACTTTAATAATTCATAACCTCAAAAAAAAAATTAAATCTCGATATTGCACTCTCGGAAAATACTTCTAACCTTACTTTCTTTTAATTATTTATTTTATATGGAATCGGTAACTTTTTCTTTTGACTTTTTCTTACCTAACCAACACATTTACGCATATTTCCACTATTATTTAATTTTTTTTTGCATGTGATATCATATTATTATTAAATATCGGCTAAAGCGGTGCCCTAAAGCGAACCGGGCGGGAAGCTTGTCGAACTATTCGAATGGGCCAAACTGAGCATTGAGCCTGAAAGGCTACGATCATCCTCGTCGTATTTCTCCCTCGTTCCTTCAGCAATAGCTAACGCACTAAAATTAAATTAATTAAATCATTTTTAATCGTTATTTAATCCAAAATTTAACCCACCTAAATCCTAACCTAGCCGATTCATCATCAAACGTTTCGATTTCCCTCGAATGCTTATCGTTCAACAACCGTATCCTTTCAGCTCTTTCCTCCAAGAACCGGTGCATCTCCGAGTTCATTTTTTGATCCAAAAGGGCACGTCGCGTATCCACCCTTTGTTCCAACTCGGCTCTTTCGCGATTACGCTGCGCTTGAGCGTGCATTTTATTTTTGCTTTGATAAGCGGTTAAACTATCCAGCTCGTAATGCAATCGATCTTTTAATTGTTGTTGTTCGTGTTCTTGACTTTCGTCCAATTTCAAGCTTTGCTTCTGCAACATTTCAATAATACTTTGCTCGTATTGGTCGCCTAAAAGCGCCAATTTTCTTCGTTGCTCCTCCTTTAACTTTTTGATAACCCCTTTTTGGTCTTCCTTGGCGGTCGTCGCCAAAATATGCGCCTTCAACGCTTTGTATTGTTTCGTTTGAACTTTGCAAGTGTCGCGGAATTGTTTTCGAACCAACATTTCTTTTTGTTTTAACGATTTCGGTTGCTGTTTTAGTTCGAGGGCGTGTTTTTTTCGCAATTCTCGCTCAGCTCGTTTCATGTACTCCTCTTGGTTGGCGAGTTCCGTGTCGTGTTGACTTTTGATTTGCTCGTCGCGTAACGTGTGCACCGCTTTTTGTTGTTTGTATTCAAGTTCTTGGGTTTTCTCGTGGTGTTTTAGCAGCATATCGTGAGCTTGCTCGAGTTGACTGTGACGTTTGTTCAGTTCTTCGCGTAGCAGTTCTTGCTCGAGCGAGTGATAAACAAGAAGCTTTTTTCGTTTGTACTTTCGCACTTCTAGGTCGAGGTATTCGCGTTGACCGCATAATAAACGTTGTTCATCTTGGGCATCGACCAATTTTAAATTTTCTTTTTGGGATCTACAACAAAATTTATTAATTAAAATCAACATAATATGTGTAAAGTGGCGCCATCTCTTAGTTGATTGTAATATAACCTTAATTATTTTTGATTAAAAAAACGTCGATTACGTTTAAAAAAGATATCCAACCTCAAAAGTAAGTCTAAAATCTCTCAATTTAGTAAATAATTAAAATTAAAAATATTTTATAATTATTTTAAAATTAAAAATTAAATAATTCTAATTATCACGGTACTAAAGTGGCGCCATCTCTTAAATGACATTTAGTATTGTACGTTTTCTATAATCAAAATAAATTTATTAATTTTGCTTCAAAAAATGTCTTAATCAGCAACGAAATAACCACAAAACGTTTTTTATACCCTTTATTCTTTAACGTTATCGTTTAAAAGTGTCTCGAAAAAGTAATTTAAATCTTTTCATGGATAATAAGTTGTTTGGGACATAACCTTACTCTTTTTTGATGAAAAAAACGTCGATTACGCTTAAAAACGATATCCAACCTAAAAAGTAAGTCTAAAATCTCTCAATTTAGTAAATAATTAAAATTAAAAACGTTTTATAATGATTTTAAAATTAAAAATTAAATAATTCTAATTGTCACGGTGTTAAAGTGGCGCCATCTCTTAAATGACATTTAGTATTGTACGTTTTCTATAATCAAAACAAAATTTATTAATTTTGCTTCAAAAAATGTCTTAATCAGCAACGAAATAACCACAAAACGTTTATATAACCCTTATTCTTTAAATTTATCGTTTAAAAGTGTCACGAAAAACTAATTTAAATTTTTTCATGGATAACATATTGGTTGGGACATAACCTTACTCTTTTATGATGAAGAAAACGTCGATTACGTTTAAAAAAGATATCCAACATCAAAAGTAAGTCTAAAATCTCTCAATTTAGTAAATAATTCAAATTAAAAACAATTTATAATGATTTTAAAATTAAAAATTAAATAATCCTAATTGTCACGGTATTAAAGTGGCGCCATCTCTTAAATGACATTTAGTATTATACGCTTTCTATAATCAAAATAAAATCTATTAATTTTGCTTCAAAAAATGTCTTAATCAGTAACGAAATAACCACAAAACGTTTGTTATACCCCATATTCTTTAAATTTATCGTTTAAAAGTGTCACGAAAAAATAATTTAATTTTTTTCATGGATAATAAGTTGGTTGGGACATAACCTCAATCTTTTTTGATGAAAAAAACATCGATTGCATTTAAAAAAGATATCCAACATCAAAAGTAAGTCTAAAATCTCTCAATTTAGTAAATAATTAAAATTAAAAACAATTTATAATAATTTTAAAATTAAAAATTAAATAATTCTAATTATCACGGTGTTAAAGTGGCGCCATCTCTTATCTGACATTTAGTATTGTACGTTTTCTATAATCAAAATAAATTTATTAATTTTGCTTCAAAAAATGTCTTAATCAGCAACGAAATAACCACAAAACGTTTGTTATACCCTATTCTTTAAATTTATCGTTTAAAAGTGTCACGAAAAATAATTTAAATTTTTTCATGGATAATAAGTTGGTTGGGACATAACCTTACTCTTTTTTGATGAAGAAAACGTCGATTACGTTTAAAAAAAATATCCAACATCAAAAGTAAGTTTAAAATCTTTCAATTTAGTAAATAATTAAAATTAAAAACGTTTTATAATGATTTTAAAATTAAAAATTTAATAATTCTAATTGTCATGGTACTAAAGTGGCGCCATCTCTTAAATGACTTTAGTATTGTACGTTTTCTACAATCAAAATAAAATTGATTAATTTTGCTTCAAAAAATGTCTTAATCCCCACAAGTAAGTCTAAAATCCCTCAATTTAGTAAATAATTAAAATCAAAAACAATATTTAATGATTTTAAAATTAGATAATTCTAATTGTTACTGTTTTAATGTGGCGCCATCTCTTAGTTGACATTTAGTATTTTTGCAGCTTTCTGTAGGCAAGTTATTTATTAATTTTACTTCAAAAAGTGTCTTAATCCCCAAAAAAGGTTTGTTATTTAATTATTTATGAATATTATAACTTACTGTAAAGTAGCATCCTTTTGTTTTTTCGGTGTTGAATCATCCTGAGACAACTCCCTTTTCCACCTTTCCTTGTTCGCCTTATAATCCTTTTTGCGTTGATTCTCAAACAATTTCCGATCCATTTCTTGCCTTCCGGCGATATCCTTAATTAATTTTTTCTCCCCTAAAGTATTCTGTTTCTGCCTCCGTTCTAATTCTTGTTGATGTTTCGTCTGTAACCGTTCCAATTCCCTGCTGAATTGTTGCAGCAACGTCTCGTACTCCTTATCTAACTGAGCCTTATGATTCTCCATCTCCATTTTGCAGCGCTCCTCCAATTTCAAAAGGGCGCTTTGATGCTCTCTACGCATCCGTTTATAACCGGACATCTGTTCGTGCATTTCCTCTTGCATGTGTTCTTTTTGTTGCTTCGTAACGATACTTGTAGTACGAATCGTGGCGAAATTACTCGTTCCGTGATCAACAACGGCCGCCGCGGCGGGATGGCTTATTGTGCCGCGACCGTATCTCCTTGTGGTGCCATCTGCTGGTAAACTATTGGTACTACTCGATTGACTACTTGCGGAGACACCGACTGAGTGTACAGAGTGCTCAGATGTGACTGAATTGCTCTTTGAGCTGTCTCCACAGGCGTTGTCGTCGATTATTTCCTCGTTGTCTAAGGTGCTTTCGGTTTCGCAACTATCGTTCATTAGGATCTTTTTCATTTTTCGGTAGTTGAGGTTATCTAATTCGCGAACGGCCGCTTTCGTCCGTTGGATTAGGTCAATTAGAACGTTTGAAGAGCGGAGACGCAATAAAAGCGGGTGAGATAGAAGTTTTGATGATGATGGTCGGTTTGATGGTGATTTCTATAACAAAAATAGATTTTATTTTAATTTTTTTTAATTCATACAAAGTCAGAATCACTTCTGATTTCTACCTTACTTTGGTTCAATGATCTGGCAAAAACAGAGCTCTGTGCCAATGAGGTGAGTGATACATGAAGAAACTTAATAACTTACTGTAATGTTGCATCAAAACAAATACAAGAAGTGTTTATATCTATTCTATGCTGCTATTTCGTCGTAAAATGCTGGACGACACTGCTTATAAAAAATAGAAAGTGCTTGCCAAAAATTGAAAACTGGTTCTAAATGACTAAAAATTTATAATATAAACTTCTAAAAATCTGGAAATTGCTTCAGAAAACTGATTACTGCTTCTAAAGACTGAAAACTGCTTCCAAAAGAGAAAGACTGCTTCCAAAATACTGAAAAGTGCTTGCAGAAGGCTAGAAACTGCTACCAAAAGACAAGAACTGCTTCTAGAATACAGAAAAGTGCTTGCAGAAGTCTAAAAACTGTTACCAAAAGACAGAAAATGCTTCCAAAATACTGAAAAGTGCTTGCAGAAGGCTAAAAACTGCTACCAAAAGACAAAAACTGCTTCCAAAATACTGAAAAGTGCTTGCAGAAGGCTAAAAACTGCCACCAAAAGACAAAAACTGCTTCCAAAATACTGAAATGTGTTTCCAAAATACTGAAAAGTGCTTGCAGAAGGTTAGAAACTGCTACCAAAAGACAAGAACTGCTTCTAGAATACAGAAAAATGCTTGTAGAAGTCTAGAAACTGTTACCAAAAGACAGAAAATGCTTCCAAAATACTGAAAAGTGCTTGCAGAAGGCTAAAAACTGCCACCAAAAGACAAAAACTGCTTCCAAAATACTGAAAAGTGTTTCCAAAATACTGAAAAGTGCTTGCAGAAGTCTAAAAACTGTTATCAAAAGACAGAAACTGCTTGTAAAATACTGAGAAGTGCCTGCAGAAGACTAGAAACTGCTACCAAAAGACAGAAACTGTTTCCAATATACTGAAATTTGCTTGCAGAAGACTGAAAACTACTATTAAAAAACAGAAACAACTTCCAAAAGACAAAAACTGCTTCAAAAATACTGAAAAATGCTTACAGAAGACTAGAAACAGCTACCAACAGACAAAGACTGCTTCCAAAATACTAAAAAGTAGTTGCAGAAGACTAGAAACTGCTACCAAAAGACAAAAACTGCTTCCAAAATACTGAAAAGTGCTTGCGGAAGACTAGAAACTGCTACTAAAAGACAGAAACTGCTTCCAAAAGATAGATACTGCCTCCAAAATACTGAAAAGTTCTTGCATATGACTAGAAACTGCTACTAAAAGACAGAAACTGCTTCCAAAATACTAAAAAGTGTTTGCAGATGACTAGAAAATGCTACTAAAAGACAGAAACTGGTATCAAAAGACAAAAACCGCTTCCAAAATACTGAAAAGTGGTTGCGGATTACTAGAAACTGGTACTAAAAGACAGAAACTGCTTCCAAAAGATAGATACTGCTTTCAAAATACTGAAAAGTGTTTGCAGATCAGTAGAAACTGCTACCAAAAGACAGAAACTGCTTCAAAAATACTGAAAAGTGCTTCCAAAATACTGAATAGTGGTTGCAGAAGACTAGAAACAGCTTTCAAAACACAGAAACTGCTTCCAAAATACTGAAAAGTTGTTGCAGAAGACTATAAACTGCTACTAAAGGACCAAAACTGCTTCCAAAATACCGAAAAGTTGTTGCAGAAGACTAGAAACTGCTACCAAAAGACAGAAACTGCTTCCAAAATACTGAAAAGTGTTTGCAGATGACTAGAAGCTGCTACTAAAAGGCAGAAACTGATATCAAAAGACAAAAACTGCTTCCAAAATACTGAAAAGTGGTTGCAGATGACTAGAAACTGGTACTAAAAGACAGAAACTGCTTCCAAAAGATAGAGACTGCTTTCAAAACACTGAAAAGTGCTTGCAGATCACTAGAAACTGCTACCAAAAGACAGAAACTGCTTCAAAAATACTGAATAGTGGTTGCAGAAGACTAGATACAGATTTCAAAACACAGAAACTGCTTCCAAAATACTATAAAGTTGTTGCAGAAGACTAGAAACTGCTATCAAAAGACAGAAACTGCTTCCAAAATACTAAAAAGTGTTTGCAGATGACTAGAAACTGCTACTAAAAGGCAGAAACTGATATCAAAAGACAAAAACTGCTTCCAAAATACTGAAAAGTGGTTGCAGATGACTAGAAACTGGTACTAAAAGACAGAAACTGCTTCCAAAATACTAAAAAGTTGTTGCAGAAGACTATAAACTGCTACCGAAAGACAGAAACTGCTTCCAAAAGATAGAAACTGCTTCCAAAAGATAGACACTGCTTCCAAAATACTAAACAGTGCTTCCAAAAGATTAAAAACTGCCTCCAAAAACTTGAAAACTACATACTTACAGAAGGCCGAAAACCATTTGCAAAAGATTGGACAGCGCTAATAGAGAACTGTTAACTGCTTGCAAAAGACTGTTATCTATTTGCAGAAGATTAGAAACTATTTCTAAAAGACTGGAATTTACTCCCAAAAGACAAAAGTACTTCCAAAATACAGAAACCTGAAATCTGATTTGGAAAGATTGAAAACTACTTCCAAAAGACTGATAATTGCTTACAAGAAGCCAAACATTACTTACAAAAGACTACACTGCTCCAAAAAAATTATAAACTACTTGTAGGAGACTAAAAACAGCTTGTTCTGCACTGGAAATTACTTTATAAAAGAGTAAACGTTCCTAACAATAAAATCAGACTGTTTGTAGAAACTGTTACTAAAAGATTTGATACTGTTTAAAGAGGACGAGAATTTTGTTGTAGAAGGTTATAAATTGGTGTTAAAGCACTGGATACAACTTGGGGAAAACGGAAAATTTATTGCAAAAATCGATTCTCATTGCAGAAGATGAAAATCTCTTTGTAGAGGACTAGAAATTGTTTATAAAAAAATTGATAGTTTGTAAAAATTGATATTCTGATTGCAGAAGATAAGATATTAGCAATTAAAGACTAGATACCGCTGGAAAAAAACTAAATGATGCTTGTAGAAGGATTATAAATGCTAATAAAACTTGGTACATTTTGGAGAACACTAGATATTGCTTGAAAAAGATAATAGTATATTTAGAAGTCAAGATATTGCTTGGTGAAGACTACAAACTGTCTACAGAAGACAAGAATGTCTTTGCAGAGGGCTAAAAATCCAAATAAGACTTGGTACAGTTTGGAGAAGACTAAATATTGCGTGAAACAGATCAAATAATGTAAGACGAAATGTAAGAAGACAAAATGTTTTTGCAGAAGACTATAAATGCTAATAAAAGACTTGATACAACTTGGAGAAGACAACATATTGCTTCAAAAAAGAATGAATAGTGCACACAGAAATCAAGACTGCTTGCAGATTACTAGAATATGCTAGCAGAAGACAAGAATCTCTTTGCAGAAAGCTATAAACGTTAATAAGACTTGATACAACTTCAAGAAGAGAAGATATTGCTTTCAAAAGAATGAATAGTGCATGCAGAAGTCAAGATATTGCTTGCAGAAAACTATTAATTGCCTACAGAAGACAAGATTGTCTTTGCAGAAAGCTATAAATCCTAATAAGACTTGATACAGTTTGGAGAAGACTAGGTATAGTGTGAAAAAGATTAAATAGTGCAAGCAGAAGTCAAGATAGTGCTTGTAGAAGACTATAAAGTGAATATAGAAGACAAAATGTCTTTGCAGAGGACTAGAAATGCTAATAAAAGACTTAATACAACTTGAAGAAGAAAAGATATTGCTTGCAAAAGAACGAATAGTTCATGCAGAAGTCAAGATATTGCTTGCAGAAAACTATTAATTGCCTACAGAAGACAAAAATGTCTTTGCAGAAGGCTATAAATCCTAATAAGACTTGATACAGTTTGGAGAAGACTAGGTATAGTGTGTAAAAGATTAAATAGTGCAAGCAGAAGTCAAGATAGTGCTTGTAAAAGACTATAAAGTGAATATAGAAGACAAAATGCCTTTGCAGAGGACTATACATGCTAATAAAAGACTTAATACAATTTAAAGAAGAAAAGATATTGCTTGCAAAAGAACGAATAGTGCATGCAGAAGTCAAGATATTGCTTGCAAACAACTATTAATTGTCCTACAGAAGACAAAAATGTCTTTGCAGAAGGCTATAAATCCTAATAGACTTGATACAGTTTGGAGAAGACTAGGTATAGCGTGAAAAAGATTAAATAGTGCAAGCAGAAGTCAAGATAGTGCTTATAAAAGACTATAAATACCCTATAAAAGACAAAATGTCTTTGCAGAGAACTAGAAATGCTAATCAAAGTTTGAAAAAGAATGAATAGTGCACACAAAAGTCAAGATACTACTTGCAGATGCCTAAAATATGCTGGCAGAAGACAAGAATCTCTTTGCAGAAGGATTAGAAATGCCAAGAAGACTTGATATAGCTTGGAGAAATTAGAATTTTCATTACAGATCAATAGATAATGTGTGCTAATGATAAAGCCTGAATTTTGATGATCAGAAGATTAGATATAGCTTAATATCAAAAGTTATTTACAAAATTGAGGGATATAGGAAATGATGTTATAATAAATAATGTTATAAGTTCCTAGTCCAACTAGGAAAACAACATTATTTTTTATGAACAACCAATTACTTTAAAATAACTTGGTTACAATGTGTTGGGAGAAAACATTTTATCTAAGTAATTTGAAGAACCTTAATTTAAAAAATATTATTTAAAAAAAAATATTGTAAAGTAATTTTTAATACAATATAACCTCAAATACTAACTCAGTTAAAATAAAATTGATGATAAAATAATAAACATACCCTTAAACAAGCTTCAACAAAAGTTTTAAACGCATCCGACCAATCGTTAGCTTGTAACGAAGGCGCATCATTTTGGGCTATATGATAAAGTGCAGACATCGCATTCATATTGAAATAAGGTGGTTTCCGTTCGGCGAGTTCGATACATGTAATCCCTAACGACCACACGTCCACTTTACCATCGTACTGTCCCTCATCCATCGCCAATATCACTTCGGGAGCCATCCAATACGGCGTCCCCACAAACGAATTCGCCGGACACTTAATCGAGGCGCTCCCAAAATCGGCCAACTTCACCGTTCCATTCTCCGTCAACAAAATGTTCCCCGCCTTAACATCGCGATGAATTTTCCCTAAATTATGTAAATAACTCAATCCTTGTAGAACCCCTTCACAAATCGCCGCGATTTCATCTTCTCTTAAAGGCTTTTTGTGTACTTCAATGATATCGGATGCCGATCCGAGACAATACTCCATCACTAACCATGCTGTACTGTCTCGGAGATAACACCCTTTGTACTCGATCGTGTTGGGATGTTTGAGTTGTCGAAGAAATCGGATTTCTTTGAGAATATCCTGCCATTTATCCGAACTTTGTTTACCCATATAGGACATCTTTTTGATCGCGACGATCTCGTTGGTGACTGTGTATCGGGCGTAATAAACAGCACCGAAGGAACCATGGCCGATCTCGCGAAGATCTTCAAACACCCGATCCGGGTCATCTTTGAAGAATAATTCGGCCACGTCCGGGTGTTTTAAATTGCCCGGTTTTATAACCGGTGCCATTTTTTATGTTTCGTGTTATGTTGTTGGCATTTCTCACTGTTTAATAACAAAAAGATTCATTAATAAAAAAAATTATTGATAAAAATTTAAAAAAAAAAAGAAACATAACCTCACTTTTTTTTTTTGAACTGCCATTAAATAATAAAAAACTTAACCTAACTTGGAATTATTACGATTTTTGATGTTTAGTGTTATGTTGTTGGCTTTTCTCAGTATTTAATAATAAAAAGATTAATTAATAAGAAAGTTATTGATATAAATTAAAAAAAGGCAACATAACCTCACTTTTTTTTTCTGAACTGTCATTAAATAATAAAAAAAACCTAACCTAACTTAGAATTATTACGATTTTTGATGTTTAGTGTTAAGCTGTTCGCTTTTCTCAGTATTTAATAATAAAAACATTAATTGATAAGAAAATTGATATAAAATTTTAAAAAAAGCAACATAACCTCACTTTTTTTTTTTGAGTTGTCATTAAATAATAAAAAAATCTAACCTGTCTTGGAATTATTATGATTTTTGGTATTATGTTGTAAGCATTTCTCACTGTTTAATAATAAAAAGATGAATTAATAAGAAAATTATTGATATAAAATTAAAAAAAAGCAACATAACCTCACTTTTTTTTTGAGCTGTCATTAAATAATAAAAAAAACCTAACCTAACTTGGAATTATTATGATTCATTTTCTTTATTACGAATTATTGATAACGAAACATAAAATACCTAAGACAACGAAAAAATCCTCACCGGGGGCTGATGATTTGCACCACGGGAGGGGCCGGTCCTTATCCTTTGTTAAAAAGGGGCCCCGCTGAAACGCCGCCCCGTTGAAATCAAAACGTTCCGACCCCGTTTGGGGGGAATCGTTTTCGTTTCGTAACCTTTTTTTCTTAATTTTTGTGTTTAACAGAAAAAAAAACCTTTCAGTTTCGGAAGCAGGGTGCAGGAACTAAAATGGCGATCGCTTGATTGCCAAAACTGGCGTGTGTGTCTTCGAGTCGTATTCGCGATATCAATCGCTTCGCGCGGCACTTTATTCGCGAGGCTGCGACGGCGAGGCACCCCGACGCGCGTCGTCCGCACGGCGAAACGCGGCCCCCACGTTCGGTACCCAAGGGGGGTGCTTCGCCCGCCCGAATTTTCCGCACCGAACAACAAAAAAAAACACTCACCGTCCTCCGAGCGAGGTTAAAATCGCGACGATCTAGCGGCAAAATTCTAAACTAAACTTAGTCGGTAAAGAAGATTACTAGTAACTTTTTTTTAAACAAATTAATTAATTTATAAATCTAATTAATTCATTATTTATAAACCAAATAACAAACAAATTTAATTAAATAATTACAAAATTAATCCAATCAATTAATTTAAAAAAAAATTGTCGGTAAAGAAGATTGAAATTAAAAAATTGGTAATTAACGGTAATAATTAATTAAGATCATTGTAATAAAAATGTTAAGATTAAAAGTTGGTGAAATATTAAGCTGAAAAGCTCGAGGAGAGCTTTAATTTGGAAATATTAAAAGCTTACCTTTATTAATAGAAAATTATCTTCCCAATATAATCGGTTAATATACTCCAGGATTAGCTTCCAAAGTAAATTGGGACACTGAAAAAGAATGTTTTGAATCATCAGACACTTTTTACGCAGAGTTTTATAACGAAGAAATTATTGAGGGGAGCAAAGAAGGTTTTACATCCCGATATTAAAAAATCCTTTTTGCTATAAAAAAATTTTACTATAAATACTTACCAAGTTTCTATAATGCTTTTAAGAGGTGTTAATCCCATATTCTTCTTCATCTTTGTGTTAAAACGTTTAATTGAGTTGAGAAATAAAAGTGAGGTTATGTTGCATTGTTTGTATTTGAATCTTGTCAAAAATTTCGCCAACCTAAAGAAAACAAAAAAAAATTTAATTTTATTCATTTTTAAATAAATTAAATAAATAATTTATTAATTACAATAAGTTTATAATAAATAAATTCTACAATAACATTAATTATAACACAAGTAAGTTTTTTAATAGAAAGAAGGGTTTAAAAATTTTTTTAGGTTATGTTTACTTTTTTAGGTTATTCTCTAAAGGGAATTATCACAAAAAGTTGTCGAAATATTAAGCTTTAATTTGGAAGTGTTAAAAGCTTACCTTTATTTATAGAAAATTATCTTTGCAATTTGATCCACTTACCGGTTTATACTCTACGATTAATTTCCGAAGTAAATTTGGACACTGAAAAAGAATGTTTTGAATCATCAGACACTTTTTACTCAGAAGAAATTATTAAAGGGAGCAAAGAAGGTAATGGAGCATGTTTTATATCCTGATATTAAATGATTCACTCAAAGATAAAAGTGAGGTTATGTTGGATTGTTTGTATTTGAATCTTGTCAAAAATTCCGCCAACCTAAAGAAAACAAAAAAAAATTTTTATTTTATTAATTTTTAAATAAATTAAATAAATAATTTATTAATTACATTAAGTTTATAATAATTAAATTAAAAAATGACATTAATTATAACACAAATAAGTTTTTAAATAAGAAAAGGGATTAAAAAAAAAAAAGTGAGGTTATGTTTACTTTTTTAGGTTATATTTACCGTTTAGGTTAACTTAATAATTAATTAAGAAAATGAATCAAGCACCAAAAATACTTAAATTAAACGAATCCGTAATAAATAAAATCGCCGCGGGTGAAGTAATTCAACGCCCGGCGAATGCGTTAAAAGAGATGATCGAAAACTCCTTGGATGCTAAATCAACGAATATCCAAATAATCGTCAAAAACGGCGGGTTAAAACTACTCCAAATCCAAGATAACGGATGCGGGATACGAAAAGAAGACTTTGAAATCGTTTGCGAGAGATTTACAACGTCGAAATTAAAGGAATTCGAGGATTTGGGAAAAATAGCTACGTTTGGGTTCCGCGGCGAAGCTTTAGCCAGTATTTCCCACGTTGCGCATCTCACGATCATTTCTAAAACGATTTCGGATAAATGCGCTTATAAGTAATGAGATGATTTCGATTTTATTTGGAAATAATCAAAAATTTTAGGGCTTCGTACGAAGATGGGAAAATAAAAAGTGGCCCCATTCCTTTCGCAGCGACTCAAGGAACACAAATTATCGTCGAGGATCTATTTTATAACATGAATGTGAGAAAGAGGGCTTTAAGGAGCCCATCTGAAGAGTATAATAAAGTTTTTGAGGTTGTTTCGAGATACGCCATCCATAATAATCATGTTGGTGAGGTTATGTTTAAATTTAAACAATTTAATTTTAATTAAAAATGTTTGTAATTAAAGGATTTGGGCTAAAAAAGCACGGCGAAACGAACGATATAAAAACATCGCTAAATTCGACGAAAATAGATAATATTCGATTAATTTTTGGGGCGGAAATTGCAAAAGAATTGGTTGAGGTTATGTTGGAGAATGAAACTTATCGCTTTAAAGTTAGTGGATGCGTAACTAACCCGAATTATTCAACGAAGAAATTTATCTTTTTGTTGTTTATTAATAACCGCTTGGTGGAGTGTCAAAGTTTAAAGCGATCAATCGATCAAGTTTATGCAACATATCTCCCAAAGAATTCGCACCCCTTTGTTTATTTAAGTTTAGAACTTGACCCCGCGTCTGTAGATGTTAATGTGCACCCAACTAAACATGAAGTACACTTTTTTAATGAAGATCAAATCATTGAGTTAATAATAACATCGCTTGAAACGAAATTATTGGGCTCAAATAATTCCCGGACGTTCTATACAACCGGAAAATTACCTAAAATAACTTTAAAAAGTGAAGATAAAACTTTGTATCAAAAAGAATTTGTTCGAACTGACACAAACGAGCAAAAATTAACAAAATTTTTTGGTCCCACATCAACAGGGAAAGAAAAATCTCCCATTAAAACGACAAAATTGGTAGATACGAGTTTATCAGAAGACGTTTTTGATAGATTTAATAAAGATTTTATAAAAAGAACCGAAAGTTTAGAAAAAGAAACAAAAAAAGATCATCATTTATCGAAAATATCCCGAATCGAAATAAAATTAACGAGCGTTTTGGAACTTCAAAAAGAAATCGAAGCGAATTCGCATAAAAATTTAAGGGAGTTATTCGCGCAACACGTTTTTGTTGGATCAATTAACCCAAAACAAAGTTTAATCCAATACAACACAAAACTTTTTTTGTGTAACACAAAAAAGATATTGCAAGAACTTTTTTATCAATACATTATGTATAATTTCCAAAATTTCGATAAAATCACCTTGACAAATCCTTTACCAATTTACGATTTATGTTTGTTAGCTCTCGATTTATCCGAAGTTGGTTGGACCCCCGAAGACGGCGATAAAACCGAATTATCTCAAAAAGTCGTCGAAATATTATCAGATAAAGCTGAAATGCTCGAAGAATATTTTTCGATGGAAATTGAAGACGGAAAAATTAAAAGCTTACCTTTATTAATTGAAAATTATCTTCCTGATATGATCGGCTTACCGGTTTATATCTTGCGATTAGCTTCCGAGGTTAATTGGGAAACTGAAAAAGATTGTTTTAAATCATTCGCGATTGAAACGGCCGCTTTTTACTCGGAGTTGTATAGCGAAGAAATTAATGAAGGGAGTAATTGGAGGTGGGTGACGGAACATGTTTTATATCCAGCTATTAAAAAATTCTTTTTACCACCAAAAAATTTTACCGAAAATGCTAGTGTGTTACAAATTGCAGACTTACCGAGTTTGTATAAAGTTTTTGAGAGGTGTTAACCTTATTTTCTTCTTCATTTTTGTATTAAAACGTTTAATTAAGTTATTGAGAAATAAAAGTGAGGTTATGTTGATTTGTTTGTATTTGAAAATTGTGTCAAAAATTCCGCCAACCTAAAGAAAATAAAAAAGAATTAATTTTTAATAATTTTTAAATAAATTAATTAAATAATTTAATTAATTAATATAACACAAACAAGTTTTAAAAAAAAGTTGAGGTTATGTTATTTTTATTACAAAAAGTTGTTGAAATATTAATTACTGTTAATATTAGATCGTCTTACCAGTTTATTCTCTACCATTAGCTTCTGAACTAAATTGGGAAACTGAAAAATAACGTTTTCGATCATTACTTTTTACCCACAAAAAGCTTAATTGATTTAATCAGGAATAGAAGTGAGGTTATGTTGATTTGTTTGTATTTGAATCTTGTCAAAACCTTCCGCCAACTTAAAGAAAATAAAAAAAATATTTAATTTTTAAATAAATTAATTAAACAATTTATTTAATTAATTTATTTATAAAATATTTATAATTAATAAATTAAAAATTAATTTTAATTATAACACATTAATAAAAAAAAAGATTAAAAAAAAATTTGAGGTTATGTTATTTTTATTACAAAAAGTTGTCGAAATATTAACTGAAATGCTCGCGGAACGCTTTAATTTGGAAATATTAAAAGCTTACCTTTATTTATAGAAAATTATCTTCTCGATATGATCAGTTTACCAGTTTATACTCTACGACTAGCTTCCAAAGTAAATTGGGAAACTGAAATATAACGTTTTGAATCATCAGACACTTTTTATCATTACATTATTAATCATTACTTGACTTACCGAGTTTCTATAATGTTTCCAAGAGGTGTTAATCCCAATTTCCTCTTCATTTTTGCCCACAAAAACCTTAATTGATTTAATCAGGAATAGAAGTGAGGTTATGTTGATTTGTTTGTATTTGAATCTTGTCAAAAATTCCGCCAACCTAAAGAAAATAAAAAAAATATTTAATTTTTAAGTAAATTAATTAAACAATTTATTTAATTAATTTATTTATAAAATATTTATAATTACTAAATTAAAAATTAATTTTAATTATAACACATTAATAAAAAAAAAGATTAAAAGCAATTTTGAGGTTATGTTATTTTTATTACAAAAAGTTGTCGAAATATTAACTGAAATGCTCGCGGAACGCTTTAATTTGGAAATATTAAAAGCTTACCTTTATTTATAGAAAATTATCTTCTCGATATGATCAGTTTACCAGTTTATACTCTACGATTAGCTTCCAAAGTAAATTGGAAAACTGAAAAATAACGTTTTGAATCATCAAACACTTTTTATCATTACATTATTAATCATTACTTGACTTACCGAGTTTCTATAATGTTTCCAAGAGACGTTAATCCCAATTTCCCCTTCATTTTTGGCCACAAAAAGCTTAATTGATTTAATCAGGAATAGAAGTGAGGTTATGTTGATTTGTTTGTATTTGAATCTTGTCAAAAATTGCGCCAACCTAAAGAAAATAAAAAAAATTTTATTTTATTAATTTTTAAACAAATTAATTAAATAATTTACTAATTACATTCAATTTTAATTAATAAATTAAAATGTAACATTAATTATAACACAAGTAAATTTTTAAATAAAAAAAATTTGAGGTTATGTTTACTTTTTAGGTTATATTTACCAAAAAAAATTCTTTATATTAACCGAAAACTTGAATTATCACGAAGTAGTAGAAGTAATAACAGAAAAAGGTGAAAAATTTAAAGTGGAAATATTAAAAGCTTACCTTTATTAATAGAAAATTATCTTCTGGCTATACTTGGCTTACCAGTCTATTTATATCATAAGATTAGTTTCCAAAGGTAATTGAAAAAGTTACAAATAAGTTTTTGAAAGGTGTTTTGTTCATAAAAAGCTTAATTGATTTAATAAGAAATAAAAGTGAGGTTATGTTGAATTGTTTGTATTTGAAACTTGTCAAAACATCCGCCAACCTAAAGAAAATAAAATTATTTAGTAATTAATTTTAGTTTTCTTATTAATAAATAATTTTGTATTTTATGCAAAGTACTATAAAAAGGAGAATAATTATTACCTCAACATTAATCAGTGACTTCGAGCTTGTCTCTACACCATTATAGAAAGTATCTTTTTAATGTGGTACCTGTTGAATGTGATTACTGTTTTAAATCAATAAATTTTTCACAATAAATCACTTTAGTTCTCCTTCTAGTTCATTCTTGTTCCTTTTGATGGTTTATGTCACCAATATCTTGCCGATATAATTCTTTTCCATAGATTTTTACTCAATTAATTTCCTCCTGGTAAAAGAGGTTATGTTGCTTTGTTTGTATTCGAATTTGTCAGAATGAACACCAACCTAAAAATAAAAAATTATTTACTTTATGAATCAAATTATTTTTTTAGTATTAGTAAAAATTAATTAGATTAAAAATGAATTAAAGTTAAGATTATTAAAAATAAATTAATTAAATCGAGTTAGTACAGCATCATCTATCGTGATTCCCCAAAACTAAATTTTGACAGATTCCTAACCTCCAATTCAAATTTGTACTAAAAATGTTTATTGTTAATTAAAATAAGAATTTAAATTAATGCAAAAAAAGAATGTTAAGTAAAAATTTATAACCTAGAATCGGTATCTAAGGTGGTTTTCATTTGTCGTTAAAAATCATTACGGCTGTTGATTTTTTTGAAAAGACACGAGTCAAAAGACAAAAAAAAATTTGCCGTGTGTGTCAAAAAGAAAACGGTCTTAATTAATTGATTGTAACGATTTCTAAAAAAAAAAAAACTGCAAATTTCGATCGCCCTTAAAACCCAAAAAAAAAAATCTCAACCTAACCAAAAAGAAAGAAAAAAAATCTTAAAAGAAATAATTAATCTACCCCACGAAGATGACCCATACATGAGCGAAAGGCTGTGGTCCCTCGCTAATAGGGCTTCAGAGGGCTCTGCGCATGTCTTTGGCTAACAAATATGGCCGCACGCAGTGGTTACGATGATAGAGATAACAGGTAAATAATAAATTTCACATTTTTTTATTAAAACAACCCCCCTTAAACACAATTTTAACCAACAAAAAACCCCCCTTTCCTTACCCACCTAACAACTACCTATTAAAACACCCCCCGTTTCAAAGAATCGAAATAATCTCGATATCTCCATAGCGCGCGCGATTTTGTCGGCATTCTTATAACATTGTGTTTCTTTCATTTTAAATGGTGATTAGAGATTACGGGGGCGGAGGGCGAAGAGGCGGCGGTCGCAAACCGTTTCCAACGGAGCCCCCGTTTACGGCGTACGTAGGCGGCCTCCCGATGGGTATCGTTCAGGGTGATATCAACGACATGTTTAAGAAGCTCAACGTGAAGAACATCCGCTTGGTTATGGATAAAGAAACTGATAAGTTTAAGGGGTTCTGTTACGTCGAGTTTGATACGTTAAAAGATCTCGAAGATGCCGTCGCGATGGAGGTTGAAGTTGAAGGGAATATGATTAAGATTGATGTGGCTGAAGGTAATTTGAATTAATTAATATAAATTAAATTTGAATCGAATTTATTTAGGTAAAAGAAATGATCGAGGTGGTTTCGATAGAGGAAGGGGGCGAGGGGGGTTCCGTGGGGGACGATCCGGTGGTGATAGCGGAGGTCATAAAGGTTATAACGAAGATTACGACGTTAGAAGGGGCCCTGGCAGAGGGAATTTCTCAGGTTATAACCTCAAAATGAAATGTCAAAAATTAATTTTACTTTTTAGATCGTGATAGAGGTGGTCATAGAGGAAATTATGGTAATTTTGGTGATGATACCGGTGGTAATTGGAATAATCGGGGTGGAAATCGGAATGTGGGTGGTTTTGGTGGTGGGCAAGGAGGAGGAGGAGGTGGAGGTGGTGGTGGGCCGAGGAATCGGCAAGATAGGAAACCTTTCAATGATGATTTACCGAATGCAGCACCGGGTAAATTAATATTGGTTAGATTAACTTGATGAGGTGATTTAATAAAGATGTTTTAGACACGTCGGGGAGGACGAAGTTAAAATTGCAACCAAGGACAGTGACGGCTCCTGTAAACGCCATCGCGGAGACTTCGCAGTCCTCGACAATATTCGGAGGGGCGAAGCCGCGCGAGGAAAAACTAGATAAACTATAAATAAACCGTTGATTTATTATTATTACCTTTTTTTTAATTAATAATTTTTTTTTGTCGTGTGTATGTAATTTATACCTTTTTATTTTATTTTTTTTCTTTTAAGTTTAGATGTTTTCTTTTTTTTATATCGCGGTAATAATATTAATGATTAAAAGAATCGGAATTTAGAGGCGGTCGCAAAAATAACGGCTTTTTCATTGTACAGGTTTCATTTTTTTAAATTCTCCTCCGATTAATTATTAAATTAACGTTTAATCGTTGTAACGTTTTTCCTCTGAGGAGGAAAACAAAGTTTTAGCAATCGAGGGAACGCAATCGTCCAACAAAAAAAAATTAAAACATAATAATTCACCTCTAATAATTAAAAAGGATAAAATTAAATAAAGAGTTGATCGTTTTTTGGCGTTTAAACCCGACGAGAGACAGCCGGAAGTGTCACCGTACACATTTGTTATATTTAATGTGTATAAAAAAAAAATATGATAATAATAAATAAATTTTCAGAAATTTTTTGCTTTAAAAATAACAACAAGTCAAATTTCTTTCTTTTCGATCACCCAAATCCAATTATACGTAGAAAATGATGTAGATTTAAATACGTCATAAAGTAAGGTTATGTGAGGTTATGTCTAATGTTTTCAATATTGCAATAACATTCGTAATTTCCTGTCTTAACTCATAAAACTAAAAAGAAATTTGCGTCATAAAACTTTGTTTTACTTACTTGTACACGTTTTGCGTTATAAAAGAAGAAATCAATTAATAATTCGCGTTTTAAATTACGCTAAAATATTTGACATGATGAGAAGTTAGTTATAAACGTACTTTTTCCAACAGATGGCGCTATCTCCTAAGCGTCTTTTTCAAATAACATTTTTTGACGTTTCATTAAAATATAATGAATTTAGTTCATTTTGTGTTAGAAATAAAACTAAAACTAGAAATTTTGAGATCCAACTTAAGGTTTTCAATGTTTTAGCGCCCGGGGGCGACCGATGTCTTCGAAAACGGCCGTGTTGGTTTAAAGCTGTGCTAGAAAATCATCTCTTTCTCAACACAACCCAACCTCACTTTTTCAAATGACATTTTTGTGACGTTTCTTTAATTACATCTTCAATCTACTCTACGTTTCTTCAATCAAATACTAATTCGCGATTTTCGTGGTTTACATCGTTTACATTACGCTAAAATATTTGACATGACGAGAAGTTCTACGTACTTTTTTCAACAGATGGCGCTATCACCTATGCGTCATTTTCAAGCGACATTTTTTGACGTTTCATTAAAAAAAAAATGTATTTAACTCATTTTGAGTTAGAAATAAAACTAAAACTAGTACAATACCGAATATCTCTATCCTCCCGAGTATAAACAAAGCAGATATTGTGTCGAATTCAAATACGTCTAATGTAAGGTTATGTTTTGATTGATCGCTGTTGCGAATACCATTCGTTATTCCCTGTCTTAAGTCATAAAACTAAAAAGAAATTTGCGTCATAAAAGGTCGTTTTACTTACTCGTACACGTTTTGCGTTATAAAAGAAGAAATCAATTAATAATTTGCGTTTTTCGTGGTTTTAAATTACGTTATGTTTTTTTTTCTCAACAGATGGCGTCTTTTTCAGATCAAATTTATTTTAAATTTTGCTTTAGAAATGAAACTAAAACTAGAATAATTACATAACTTCAAAATTTCTAGATTTAGTTTCATTTCTAATACAAAATTAAATCAAATTTTCTTTCTTCACTTGGAAAAGAGAGGTTAGGTTGGTTTGAAAAAGTGAGGTTGGGACAAACATTGGGGACGAATATAAGATAGATAACAAACAAAATTAACATTTCCCAGCGCAGTTTTAAACTGACACGGCCGTTTTCGAACACATCGGCCGCCCCCGAAAGCACGAAATGTTGATTTTCACAAATGCGTGTAGATATCAAAGCTTGATTTCAATGTCTTAACGTCCGCGATGGCCGGGGGCGGCCGATGTCTTCGAAAACGGCCGTGTTAGTTTAAAATTGCTAGAAAATGATGTCGAGGATTTCTAATCTCACTTTGCAAACACAACCTAACCTCAGTTTTTCAAATGACATATTTTGAGACTTTTATTTTAGACTTTTTTTCAACAGATGGCGCTATCTCCTATGCATCTTTGACGCACGGCATAACCCGAAAATTTTTAGTTTTAGTTTTATTTCTTATTATATCGGCAGAAAAGTCTACGAAAATTTTGTACTTATCTGATAAATAGCTTCTAGGTTATGTTGTAGGTCTCTATTGGATTGCAAGGTCCCTCTTAGGAATGGACAGGAATTTGGAAAGCTTCGGTTCGGATAATTATGCTTTAATCGGTCTTCTTTGGATCTGGTGTTTATTTTTGATGTTTAAATTTAATTTTTCTTCTTTTTAGATTATATAAAAACTTGATTCGGCGTTAAATTTGAATTGAATTATCGGAGAACCAATTTAAGGTTAGGAAATTATTTTTTGACATTTATAGGTTAGATTTCTTGCTCGTACTAAATTGGACTTTTTCTTGGTTCAACTTTTCCTCTTCTTATATACCCTTTTCTCCATCTCCAGAAAATTTTCTTCCTTCTATTTTTAACCCGCACTTCTGATTGGTTGATGGAAATAAATTCAAATCTTCCTAAAATCCGAAAACGCCATCTAGCGGATTTCTTTCGAACTACCCAAAAAATTCAAAAACTTATTCTATTCATATCTTCTTCAATTTTTCACTAATCTGGATGAAACTTGGTATTTGATGCATACATTTTTCTATTTCAGCTGTCCATTGGAGATTTCAAGATTCTCTTACCATAAAAGAAGTTTGAATTTGTAAAATTCAAATCCAATTTTCAAGGTTAAAATCGTTCAAAATCTTCCAAAATTTAATGAATTAGATGTAGCTGACACTGATCTTCCCGTTTTGGATGGTTTAGAAAGGATATTATTACTTTTAAGAAAATTATAAGTAAATAAAAATTAACTGTCAACTGAATTGAGGTTATGTTTCTCTCTCTCAAGTAAAACTTATCTGGGAAGCTTTATTACAATATAATTAACTAATCCAGTAAAATCTGGGGTTAGAAAAACTTTTAAATCCTCTACGAATTTTTTTAATCATCCAAACATACAAAATCATCACAACGCCCCGTTTTTTTTTAATGACTAGTTATCACATTAGCGGGCATATGTCCACTATCGCCTAAAGCCCTTAAAATAACCCTCCCTGAAGGAGTTATCGATATCCATGATATACTCGCATGATTTAATGATAATCTCAACCAAGCTTCTGGAGGAAATTGCAACGCTCTACAAAAAAAAATCATTTTAACCCAAAAATAATTAACTTAATTAATTAATTACCTGCAGATAAAGTATCTAATAACGTTTGCGTGACACACAAGAACCGTATAACTGTCTTTCGCTTGATCAACATCCGCCCTATGAAAATATTTCCGAAATGCCGCCTCAATTCGAGCTCCATCCTCAAAGAACTGCTAAATTATTCGATTTGGAATTAATTTTTAACAAAAACATTAATTTGCTTACATGAACGCCGGGTTTCCAATGCCCAACGGGTGGTTCAGGAGGAATTGGGGCCCCCTCTCTCAACATATGACACTCTTTAACAGGCACATCGGGTAAATGTTGCGAAATAACGTGCCCCGTTTCTTGAGCTCGACTCATCGTTGATTTAATAATATCTGTGTAAGGGAGTCCTAATTCGCGTAATCTTTTTGCCGTCCACTCGGCCTGGGTTCTCCCCAATCCAGTTAAAATCCGCTCAGAATCAGTTTTACCCTCTAAATTATACTGCCCGTGTCTTATTAAAATGATATGGCGAGTTGCAACAGGCTTTAAATTCGAAAAGTTATCCATGTCCTCTTTCACATCACCCATTTCGTTTTTAAGCTTTTTCGGGTGAACCAAACTTGTAGGGGCACGACTTAAAATCAATTTAAATTAATTTATGTGATTAAATTTAATTTCATTACTTACAAATCCCAATTTTCATCCCATTTCGTCGAGGGGGTAAAATTGGTGGTCCAGGAAGTGTGGACTTTCTCTTTTTGCTTGTTGGTTAAATAATAATATGTAACCCCGCCGAAAGTACCGATTGATATAAGGAATTTTTGGATATTATTTATAGAATTCATCGTAAAAAGACGATGAATCGCCGTGTTTTTAAAAATAACGCGGGACGTGACGTTTGAGGTTAGGTATATATATCTCGACGTAAGTGAAGTTGGATTCGGTTTAAAAAAAATAATAATTAACGTTAAATACTTAATAATAAATAAAATAATAATTAAATTAATTAAATTTAAATCAAATTTAAATAAAAATATCATTAATAACTTAATTAATTTATAAATAAAGAAAATTTAAAACCAGCTAACTTCACATATGTCAAAATATCCCCAATATGACATTTATGATGTAACAGAAAAAATTTTACCCAAAAAAAAGTAATTAATTCATAAATCCCAGTATAATCTGGGGTAAGTAACTCAAAGTTAACGCAATTTGAACGAATCGCAAATTTTAAACAAGAATGTCCCATACTTAACATAACCTCAAACTTTGACGAGATGTACACCAGGTACGGGCCGTTTAATGCATTTTGGGGGCACGCACGCAACTTTACCACATCAGCCATTAAAAACGCGACCGCCGTTAAGTCGCATTACGAAGTTTTAGGAATAAATCCAGCGGCAACGCAAGCGGAAGTTAAATCGGCTTATTACAATCTATCGAAAATGTATCATCCAGATAAAAATCAGGGATGTGAGGACGCTGCGACGAAATTTAGGGATATTACGAATGCTTATGAAGTATTGGGAAACGTGCAATCGCGCAGGTTATACGATAAAGGTATTTAATGATTTTAAAATTATTTTTAAATTAATTTATTTCATTTTAAGGTGTACGTTTTGAAAGATCTCGTCATTCCGCGCACCATCCGGCGCAAGATGATGACCCAAAAACGCGATTTTATCGCAGTCGCGATCACAGACATAAACCTCCGACGATGGGGGGAACTCATCGCCAAACGGTTTACGATTTCGACGAGTGGTCGAGAGCTCATTATGGGGCGACTTTTGCCCGAGACCTCGAGAGAAAACGTCGCCAACAAATCGTGAACGAAATGAACGAACAGATCAAAAATAGGACGAAAATTGAAAACGTTTTATTCGGAATGATCATTTTTATGATGTTCGTTATGGCCATAACGAGGGAATCATACGATATGAATCATCTAAAACCAAGGGGGAATTCGAATCCGCCGATCGAGCGATGAGTGGTTCAATTAATTGAGGTTATGTTAATGTCGTCGTCTGTGATTGTTTTTCGAAGAATCGGGTGGAAAATTTAGTGAATTTTTTTTTGATCAGGTATTATAGTTTTAATTCTTGTTGAAATATATATTTATTTTTTTATAGATCCTTTTTTTGATGAATAAAGTTAAAAATAAAAAAGTGAGGTTAGGTTAATCTTAATTTTGACTTTGACAATTAAAAAAAAGTGAGGTTATGTTCATCTTAGTTTTGACCTTGACAATTAAAAAAAAGCGAGGTTATGTTTATTTTTAGTTTGAATTATTAATCAAAATTATTTAAATCAAAATTTAATGTGTAAAATCCATGATATCGTTTCGATCGCCGGTCGATGAATCATCATCACTTTCAATATCGCTGATCGTATCTCCGAAAATAGACAATTCTAACCCCAAAAACACAAATAATCATCTTTAAAGTTAACTAAAAAAGTGTTTTACCTGTTACTTTTCTAAGCGGGATATCCACAGTGGTGGCTTTTTCATCTTGAATGAACTCAAAACGAGTAGTCACCTAACCAATAAATTAAAAATTACCTTCTTAATGATTTTTTTTTTGACTCACCGCTGCATTATCCATCCTTAAAAGTATCAAAACTTCTTTTTCGACATCCGCAGCTTCCTCCAAATCGTTTTTGTTCCGTAACGTTTTTCTGAATCTTATATTCGAGATGTTCTTTAAAGGGGGTGTTATACCATGAAGATATTGATATTTTTGTTTCATATCATCCGTTTTATATTTCACTTTGGCTTCGTTTATTTTAAAAGTTTCTTCGTCTGTACAAATCAACATTTGGGAAACATCAGCCGTTTTAAATATTTGTACCCCGTCTACGGTTTTATTCGATTCTACAATCGTTGGTAAATCCACTAATTTCCCTTTTAAAAGTTTTCTATGTACGAAAACGTTGCAGTAGCGCATATTAAATTCGAAATCTAAGGTTAAATATTTTTTGATCTTTTTCGGCTTCTTTTTTAATACTTTTCGAACAAACTTTGCTTGCTCCTGTTGGATTAGAAATTATTTTATTAAAAAAATTGATTAATTTAGTAAAGAATAACTCATTACCTGGGGTAAACGCAAAATAAATTGATCTTCAAGATCGAATTTTTGTAAAACCTCCGGTTTCGTTGACATTTTTACAACTGTCAAAGAGCCCTCTATGAATCAATAGTAAAATTAAAAAATTAATTTTAACGAATTAAGTTAAAATCACTTTTTAATTAATTTATGTTTTAACTAAATTATTTTAAGTGATTTAATTAAAATTAATTAACTTTAATTATTAATTTAACAACATAAAAATAAAACAGGTGGTGTTTTTATCGTGAACTAAAAAAAAAATGGCGGAGTGTAACGGGTGTTGTGAACGTTTAACGAGTTAAAAATGAAAATTACCCGATTTTTCGCCGGTTTTTCCGCTTGATTTCGCCCGCGAGATGTAAATTGAACGTTAACGTAATGTTTTCGCATCGATTGTGGTTTTAGATGTGTAGGGTGTTTTTGAGGGTGTGTTTTGATCGCTAAAGAAGTGTTGAGAAAATGTTTAGATTTTTGAGCGGGCGAAAGGGCAAACGCTCCGAGGGAAATTCTCAAAGCAGGAATTCTCGCCACGCCGTCCACAAAGGGTTAATTCAGTGCAAAGTGATTCTTTTAGACGGAACCGATCTTTCCGTGGAATTATCGGTGAGTAAAGTTTTTTTGTTTGTGGTGTTTAGGTGTGGGTGGAATTATATCAGCGATACTCAAACAATTGTGTTTTATTTTTTCAAGTATTAAAGTTATTTTAAGTTTTAATTATCGGGATTAAATAGAATTAGATTACATTGACGTTTTAGGTTAAAACATAACCCCATTTTTCTTTTGTTTTTGTTTTAAGTCAAAAAATTTTTAGGTTATGTTTTTATTAATTTTATTTTAAATTAATTTTAGAAAAAAGCCGAAGCAAGAGATCTCTACGAACAAGTGTTTTATTCGTTAGATTTGATCGAAAAGGATTATTTTGGGTTACAATTCACGGATGTTAATCACGTCAAACATTGGCTCGATCCTACGAAATCGATAAAAAAACAAATTAAAAGTACCCCACTTATTTTCTTACCTAAATTAACACTATTTTTATTAATTTTGATGTTTTTTTAGTTGGCCCTCCATATACTTTGCGATTAAAAGTAAAATTTTACTCATCAGAGCCAAATAACCTCAGAGAAGAATTAACGAGGTACCAATTTTTCCTGCAATTAAAACAAGATATTTTAGAGGGCCGATTGGAGTGCCCCCATCAAACGGCCGTTGAATTAGCCGCGTTATCTTTACAATGTACTTAAAAATTAAACATAACCTAAAATTTTTTTTTAATCAAACTTATTTTTATAGCCGAATTGGGTGATTATGATGAATCCCAACACACGGCAGCTACTGTTTCTGAGTTTCGTTTCGTTCCAAATCAATCAGAAGAAATGGAAATTGAAATTTTGGAGGAATTTAAGAAAGTTCGTGGGTTATCCCCCGCTCAAGCCGAAATGAGTTATTTGAATAAAGTGAAATGGCTGGAGATGTACGGTGTTGATATGCACACCGTTTTAGTAAGTTTTTATTTAAATAAAAATGTTTTTTAATTAATTTTAATTTAATAAAGGGAAAAGATGGAATGGAATACCACTTAGGTTTAACCCCAACCGGAATTTTAGTCTTCGAAGGTTCCCAAAAAATCGGATTATTCTTCTGGCCAAAAATCGGAAAGTTAAACTTCAAAAAGAAAAAGCTCACTTTAATCGTGGTCGAAGACGACGATCAAGGACGCGAACAAGAACACACTTTTGTATTTAGGTTAGAATCTAAATCTTTTAAATCGATTAATTTGATTAAAAAATGATTTTTTAAGGTTGCATAATGAGAAAGCTTGCAAACACTTGTGGAAATGCGCTGTTGAACATCACGGCTTCTTCCGGCTTCAAGCTCCCGTTAAGGGGCCCTCAGCCAGGCAGAACTTTTTTAGGATGGGGTCGCGGTTTCGGTACTCGGGACGAACTGAATATCAAAGTACGCATCAAAATCGGGCGAGGAGGACGGTTCAACTTGAAAGGAGACCAAGTCAAAGGTAAAAATGAACATTTATCTGTCAATTTTGACATTTTATCGCCAACTTCACGCGACAACTTTATTTCATTAAATTTTGGTTGTAAATTTTTTAAATAATTAATTTTTTTTTACAAATTTACATCAATTAAGTAACTTATAATTTATTTCTCCATATTTTTATCAAAAAAAAGTAAAAATACAAAAATTTTGTTATTTATCCCTTAGTAAACATTTATCTGTCAATTGACGTTTTGTCGCCAACCTCACGCGAATACTTCATGTCATTAAATTTTAGTTGTAATTTTTTTAAATAACTCATTTTTTTTACAAATTTGCAACAATTAAGTAACTTATAATTTATTTTTCCATATTTTTATCAAGAAAAAGTAAAAATACAAAAATTTTGTTATTTTTCTGTTAGTAAATTCATCTATCAATTGACGTTTTGTCGCCAACCTCACGCGAATACTTCATGACATTAAATTTTAGTTGTAATTTTTTTAAATAACTCATTTTTTTTACAAATTTACAACAATTAAGTAACTTATAATTTATTTCTCCATATTTTTACCAAAAAAAAGTAAAAATACAAAAATTTAGTTATTTTTCTGTTAGTAAATATTCATCTATCAATTGACGTTTTGTCGCCAACCTCACGCGACAACTTCATTTCATTAAATTTTAGTTGTAAATTTTTTAAATAATTAATTTTTTTTACAAATTTACATCAATTAAGTAACTTATAATTTATTTCTTCATATTTTTATCAAAAAAAAGTAAAAATACAAATATTTAGTTATTTATCTGTTAGTAAACATTCATCTGTCAATTGACGTTTTGTCGCCAACCTCACGCGAATACTTCATGTCATTAAATTTTAGTTGTAATTTTTTTAAATAACTCATTTTTTTTACAAATTTGCAACAATTAAGTAACTTATAATTTATTTCTCCATATTTTTATCAAAAAAAAGTAAAAATACAAAAATTTCGTTATTTTTCTGTTAGTAAATATTCATCTATCAATTGACGTTTTGTCGCCAACCTCACGCGAATACTTCATGACATTAAATTTTAGTTGTAAATTTTTTAAATAATTCATTTTTTTACAAATTTACATAAATTAACTAACTTATAATTTATTTCTTCATATTTTTATCAAAAAAAAGTAAAAATACAAAAATTTAGTTATTTTTCTGTTAATAAGCACTCATCTATCAATTGATGTTTTGTCGCCAACCTCACGCGAATACTTCATGTCATTAAATTTTAGTTGTAATTTTTTTAAATAACTTTTTTTTTTACAAATTTACAACAATTAAGTAACTTATAATTGATTTTTCCATATTTGTATAAAAAAAAAAGAAAAAAAACAAATATTTAGTTATTTATCTGTTAGTAAACATTCATCTATCAATTGACGTTTTGTCGCCAACCTCACGCGAATACTTCATGTCATTAAATTTAGTTGTAATTTTTTTAAATAACTAATTTTTTTACAAATTTACAACAATTAAGTAACTTATAATTTACTTTTCCATATTTGTATCAAAAAAATTTACTTTTTTTTGATACAAAAATACAAAAATTTAGTTACTTTTTAAATTTATTAATTTAATAAATTTAAAAAGTAACTAAATTTTTGGGGATTTTTATTTTTTTAAAATTTATTACTTTAAAAAAAAAGTGACAGATTTAACATAACCACTAAAATTAATTTATAACATTTCTTTTTATTTTTAGATACGGTAGAAGACAAAGTCACGTTTTAAGAGAAAAATTAAGGGAACAACAACAATTATCACAACCACCAATCGAAACTGTCGACTCAAACGCAAATAAAACAACCAACGTTGCTTCTACAACCACAACAGACACAATTCAACCCTCTTCGAGTCGATGCAGCGAACGATCGAATAAATCCACGGCTACGAATGCCACAAATACCACGGATAACGACCCACTTTATTGTAAAGTTAACGATGATTTAACAAAATCGTTAACTCCAACAGGTCCTGATTCGTTAGGATTGGCAAGTCAAAGTAGTTTTGGGAAAGGTTCAACCGGTCATAATTCCTTTGGAAAAGCATCAATTGGTTGTGGTTCCTCCTACAGTCCCGTTTTATCGGTTGGAAGTAAAAATGGCACTTTAAAACGGAATAAAACGGCGACTACTCCAACAAGTCCCACTCCATCATCAAACGCGGACTCTCAATTAGACTTTTTGTTGAAAAGTTTAGCAAAAGAGACTCTTAGTGGAATACAAAGAGATGAATCGAGGAATGAAACTAATAAATTAGAAGGTAAATTAATCGATTTAGTTAAGTATTTAATCGCTTTAAACGCATGCTGTAATTGTAATAATTGTTTTAGATTCAGAAGTAGAAGTGATAACGAAATCAATGCCTGCCGAATTGCCGAATAACATTACTAAACTTTGTAACACAGTAGCTAAACCTCTACCTCCCGGACAAGTAAAATGTAATATCTTAAAAGGTAGTTATTTACGCTTTTTGTAACTTAAATAATAAATTATTTTTCTTGTTGTAGCGAAAATTGAAGAAGAATTAAACCAACAATTAGCTCCCCCGACGAAGTTAACCAATCAGATGTTTGTTGCAGCTGCAAAAGAAGACGAAACTAATTTAAATTCTTTAAACGCGGCTACATTCGTTTCTGTGGTGAGTTTAATTTTGTTGAAATCGATTTGTTGACGTTTTTCATTTTCATTATTTGTGGGGGCTTCCGCTTTTTTATATTTTTCACAGGGTGGTGATAAATTAACTTTAGCTGTAACCGGTCCCACAAGTACCAATCCGATAGTAACTAATTCCCCGACCCGAGAAACACCACCAACGAACGAAAATCATCTTCAATTAATCAACCAATCGAATAACAACAATAACCAACAAAAACGTTGCACCACCCCGGTTACCGTAACGTTTTTCGGTCACTCCGATCGTGGAAAATTGGAAAAAGTTATGATCTCCAGCCCGGAAATTAAAAACAAACAACAACCTTTAAGTTTATTATCAACCAACGGCGATGAGAAAGACTCGAATGGAATCGATAGTTTATTTAATTCGTTGAATTTCATCGATAACTCGATCACGCGGAAAGAATCCAATTCGAATCCTTTTTTTAATCTATCCGGGGATAACGAAAACTGTAAGAATCCATTTCAAGAGAGTCATAATCCGTTTTTATCGGGGAATAATCCGTTTCGCGATGATTCGGATGGATTGGTTGAAAACGGTGGTGGGGAAAGGGAGGAAAATGGAAAGAAAGAGGTGAGATCGGCTTATTTGTTGCTTTTATTTCGCTGAATTTGTGACGTTTTTCATTTTAATTCATTATAAATTAGTTTTTAAAATTAAATTAGACGTTTTAAGTGGCGCCATCTTTTAGCAAAACTTAATACTGATTTGTGTTTATATTTTTAACAAATTTTCTTATTTTTTTTTTAAATAACAATATATTAGGTAAAAATCGCTTCATAAATGCGTTATTTATCTTTTAAAATGTTAACACAGTTATTAAAATTTAATTTTCGTAATTTTAATTTCTTAAAGTGGCGCCATCTTTTGGTGAAACTTTGTATTGTTTATCTCTCCAACGAATTTTTTCTTAAAAAAACGATATTTTATCTAAAAAAAACAATTTAATCGATTCATAAACGCGTTATTTATGTTTTAAAGTGTTAACAAAGTTTTTTTTACAAAATTAATTCGCGTTAAAAAGTTTCGTAAATACATAACCTAACACTTTTGATTTGAATTATTTAAATTTTGTGTAGAATTAATTATTTAGGTTTATTAGTATTTATTACTAATAAAGGTATTTATGTTTTATTCAAATTAATTTAAATAATTTTTTTTAGGATGTAAAGCCATCGATAATTACCGTAAAACTTGAAAAATCGTCTCCGACCGCAACCGTAACTCCATCGTTAAGCAAGTTATCTCCTTGGTTGGTGTCGCAAGATGTTGTGTCTTCACCGGTGGTGAAAGTTTCCACTGAAAGTGTTGTTCGTAAATCAGTTATTACAACCCAACTTTAATCCTTTTTAAACCTTTTTACCGTTCCGATGATGTTTTTACGTAAAAGTAAGTAATTTTTTTTATTATTAATGTTTAATATTCAATTTTAATTCATTTTATTATAAAAATGAATATTTAATGTTGTTAAAATTTAAATTTCCCGCTTTTTCGAGGTTAATTTTGTAAGGTGGCGCCATCTTTTTTGAAACATTTGTTTTTTTTATTTCATCAACAATTTTTTGAGGTATTTTTTTAAAAATAACGTTATTTTAGATACAAATCGGCTTAATCGACTCATTAACGCGTTATTTATCACGTTTTATAGCGCTAACAAAGTTTATTTTAATTAATTCGCTTAAAAAAGTAAGTTTTGTAAAAACATAACCTCACTTTTAATTTTAATACTTAATTTAATGATAAATTAGTTTTAAGATTCGATTTTTGTGTTTTAACCGAATTAATCGTAATGATTTGTTTTTTTAGGATGTAAAGCCAACGATAATTACCGAAAAAATCATCTCCGAGTGCCACTGTAATTCCATCTCAACCCAAGTTATCTACGTATTGAGATGTTTCTTCACCGGTGGTGTTTTTATTACGTAGATAACTGTTTTTCCGTTTCCGATAATCGTATTATTCCTTAAAGGTAAGTAATTTTAAAGTTAGGTTTATTGCAGTATTTTTTATTATTAATATTTAACGTTATTCCGTAAATTTATCAATCTAGCTGCTATGTGATACGTTTAATTTTTATTCCGACTTAAATATTACCGTTTAATGTGACGATGTAGGTTTTTTTTCTTTTATTTTAGGATATAATAAGGGATTTATATTTGTATATATTTTTTATTATATATTTTTCTAAATAAGTTGCTGAATTGTATTGATATTAATTAAGTTCTTCTAATCGAGTGCTATAATGTAGACTTAACCGTCCAAAAAAAGCAAAAATAATCAAAAAAAAACTCAATTAATAGGATTTAAGTGAGAATTGGGACCATTTTTTACAAATTAAAGCGGCAATAATCACTTTTGAGTGCCATTAAAAGTTTTTAATCGTCCCTTTTTATAAAAAGAAGTTTTTAATTATTATATTCTTGTACTTACATAAAATATTTATGAATGTTTATCAAGGATTTTTAATTAAATCCCTTCCTTTTGCGAAAAATCCCGATTATATCCTCAAATATAAAACAAAAAATCCTAATTAAGGCAATTTAAAATTTTAAACGTTTTTTATTGCAACATCATCCACGTTACATAAGAAAAAAAAATTAAAAACATTTTCCACTAAAAATGACCAATATTATCCTTCCTTTTCTTTTATGTAAAATATTTCGAACCCCAAACCGGCTAAAACGTGCAACAAAAATCCCGTTTTATCGATCCCAAATTATATTTTTTTTATTTAAACGCGACAGCTGCCTCATTTTAAACCACGTTAAAAAAACTTAATCAAAAATACACTTTTCGCCTTAAACGCCTAATGGTTATACTTTTTCCGTTACACTTTTCAATCACTTTTACACAAAAAAGACATTTTTTTAAGCAGCTGTCGCGGAGGCAACAAAACTTAAATGAAACAAACTTAACAAAAAAAAGAGGATAACCCAAACAAAAAAGTTAATTAAAAAAAAAACCTTTTTTTGTTGACAAAAATTATTTTAGTACACCTTCAATTGGTGTTTGTCGTCGAAACCGGCCGAGTGACCCGCATTTCTTACGATAAAACTCGCGCCATCGTAATGCATTCGACGCTCACCACGTCGTACAAATAAATGGCGAGTTTGCCCCATTGAACCAGTACAATGTAAAAAAGGGGAACTCACAGAAGCTGACCCATTACTTGGAGATGTTCTCAATGAAAATTTGTTACTGTTTCTTCCAACACTAAAAATTATTCATTAATAAAATAATATTAAATGTATACAAAATATATTTACCGAACTAAACCATCGGCCGTTTGTGAGATTCGAACATTATTAATGATCCAATTATCGGTTCCGTCGTCCGTTACCCAAAAACTCGACGAATGCAGTAAAGACACCGCCTCGCTAATCAAATTGGGCCCCCCAATCGACGGATCCGAGTATTGGCTATCACTGTAGAAAACGGTCAAAGAAAAATCGCCGCTTAAATCTGAAAATGTGTCGGTTGTCGTTCTTGTTCCTGCCGAATCCACCAGGTAAACCAAAGCGCATTGATCGCTTGTGAAACTTACGCCTTTGTACCACATTTTTGCGTATTTATTATTTCCCTGGAAAAAAGAAAAAAATCATCATTAATAAATCAATTAATGAATAGGATGTGTCAGAATAGAAACCAAAATATGAATAAATGCTTTGTTATGTCACCTAGAGCAGAAATATCTCAATATTCGTGATTAATAAATCAAGTCAGATTGTTTGCAAAACACTTTTTATGCCCAGAAGTTGTAAACAAGTAACTATTTCGATTAGTTGCGGTCGAGGCTGTACGATTGAAGCCTTATTATTATTACACCCAGAAAACAACAGACTTGAATTGTGAATAAAATCATACAAATCCCACTTTATTAAAGCCGAGGCGCCACAATATGTTGATCAGTCAGTTACGGATTATTTCTTACCCACAACTATTTTTGTGATCAGAATCGTTTATAAAATTGAATTTCCTTTAATTTGAGACCAAACACGATATATTTACCTTAAAAATTAAGAAAGTTAGGTTAAGAATCAACATAGTGGCCGCCATTTTGTTTTTTTCCTCTTATTTTATTATATCTTCATAAATATGGCGAGTTTGGTACCAAATTAAAGGGTTTTCAATATAGATTACGATTTCCCACTCAAATTAGATTTTTTAAACGATTTTATGGAATTAAATAATTTCACAAAAAATTAATAATTGATTAAAATCGATATTTTTGTGATCAGAATCGATTATTAAATTGAATTTGCTTTAATTTGAGACCAAACACGATATATTTACCTTAAAAATTAAGAAAGTTAGGTTAAGGATCAACAAAGTGGCCACCATTTTGTTTTTTTTTCCTATTATTTTATTATATCTTCATAAATATGGCGAGTTTGGTATCAAATTAAAGGGTTTTCAATGTAGATATTACGATTTCCCACTCAAATTAGATTTTTTGAACGATTTTATGGAATTAAATAATTTCACAAAAAATTAATAATTGATTAAAATCGATATTTTTGTGATCAGAATCATTTATAAAATTAAATTTGCTTTAATTTGAGACCCAATACGATATATTTACATTAAAAATTAAGAAAGTTAGGTTAAAAATCAACAAAGTGGCCGCCATTTTGTTTTCTCTCCTCTTAATTTATTATATCTTTATAAATATGGCGAGTTTGGTATCAAATTAAAGGGTTTACAATATAGATTACGATTTCCCACTCAAATTAGATTTTTTAAACGATTTTATGGAGTTAAATAATTTCACAAAAAATTAATAATTGATTAAAACCAATATTTTTATGATCAGAATCGTTTATAAAATTGAATTTGCTTTAATTTGAGACCAAACACGATATATTTACTTGAAAAATTAAGAAAGTTAGGTTAAGAATCAACAAAGCGGCCGCCATTTTGCTTTTTTTTTCCTCTTATTTTATTATATCGTCATAAATATGGCGAGTTTGGTATCAAATTAAAGGGTTTTCAATATAGATCACGATTTCCCCTTCAAATTAGACTTTTTGAACGATTTTATGGAATTAAATAATGTCACAAAAAAATTAATAATTGATTAAAATCGATATTTTTGTGATCAGAATCGTTTATAAAATTGAATTTGCTTTAATTTGAGACCATACATGATATATTTATATTAAAAATGAAGAAAGTTAGGTTAAGAATCAATAAAGTGGCCGCCATTTTGTTTTTTCTCCTCTTATTTTATAATATCTTCATAAATATGACGAGTTCGGTATCAAATTAAAGCGTTTTCAATGTAGATCACGATTTTCCACTCAAATTAGATTTTTTAAACGATTTTATGGAGTTTAATAATTTCACAAAGAATAGGTGATTAAAATCGATATTTTTGTGATCAGAATCGTTTATAAAATTGAATTTGCTTTAATTTGATACCAAACACGATATATTTACCTTAAAAATCAAGAAAGTTAGGTTAAGAATCAACAAAGTGGCCGCCATTTTGTTTTCTTTTTCCCTCTTATTTTATTATTATTATATCGTCATAAATATGGCGAGTTTGGTATCAAATTAAAGGGTTTTTAATGTAGATTACGATTTCCCACTCAAATTAGATTTTTTAAAAGATTTTATGAAATTAAATAATTTCACAAAAAATTAATATTTGATTAAAACCGATATTTTTATGATCAGAATCGTTTATAAAATTGAATTTGCTTTAATTTGATACCAATCACGATATATTTTATCTTAAAAATTAAGAAAATTAGGTTAAGAATCAACAAAGTGGCCGCCATTTTGTTTTTTCTCCTCTTAATTTATTATATCTATATAAATATAGCGAGTTTGGTATCAAATTAAAGGGTTTTTAATGTAGATCACGATTTTCCACTCAAATTAGACTTTTTGAACGATTTTATGGAATTAAATAATTTCATAAAAAATTAATAATTGATTAAAATCGATATTTTTTTGATCAGAATCGTTTATAAAATTGAATTTGCTTTAATTTGATACCAAACACGATATATTTACCTTAATAATTAAGAAAGTTAGGTTAAGAATCAACAAAATGGCTGCCATTTTCTTTTTTTTCGTGTTATTTTATTATATCGTCATAAATATGGCGAGTTTGGTATCAAATTAAAGAGTTTTTAATGTAGATCACGATTTCCCACTCAAATTAGACTTTTTGAACTATTTTATGGAATTACATAATTTCACAAAACATTAATAATTGATTAAGATCGATATTTTTGTGATCAGAATCGTTTATAAAATTGAATTTGCTTTAATTTGAGACCAAACACGATATATTTATTTTAAAAATTAAGAAAGTTAGGTTAAGAATCAACAAAGTGGCCGCCATTTTGTTTTTTTCCTCTTATTTTATTATATCTTCATAAATATGGCGAGTTTGGTATCAAATTAAAGGGTTTTCAATGTAGATCACGATTTCCCACTCAAATTAGACTTTATGTTATGAAATTAATTTTATGAAAAAGAAGAAATTTTATTGGAATTTGATGAATAAGGAGAAAAATAAACCAACTTTAAGATTAAATATGATCAAAAACATTTCCTATTCTAACCTAATTTTGGTGTTAAAGATTGATATTTACTTGTGAATCATTTGCTAAAATCTCCACACGCGACCCATATTGGTAAACTCTTCCATTCGGGTGTATTAAAGCTGCTGAAGAACCGGAAGAGCTTAAAGACAACACGATTCCGCTGCGCATATTGACCACGCGAATCGCTCGATCCAAAGAAATATCAACTCGCACCCTATCGTGTAATCGCAAGGTGATAATTCCTTGCGGGGTAACCGACGGGCCACCCATTGCACCATCTTCATGCCAAACGTCATGCTAAAAAGATTTTTTTTTGATACATCGATAATTAATTAATAACATTTTCAATTACATTGTATTCTTCGATATACAAATTCTTGGAAATAGCCCTGGAAATCCACGGGTAAATATCGTACTGCTTCAAATCGCGATTACTACTCGATCCATCACTATTATGAGACTTGCTGGTGTAAACGCTGCGGCTTCGGGGCCGTTGCTTCTCTTTGTCCTTTTCGGTATTTTTCGAAACGTTGGGAAGACTGTCTAAAATAAAAAGTTATTAATATAAAATTAGCGCGAAATTAAAAATTACCTTTACGAAAGAAAACTTTTTCGCGAGGCTTTTCCATATTTTCTTTTAAGAGTTTAGCCGACGACGCGCGTTTATAATAAAACTTGTTTTAGGTTTTTTTCAGGGCTAACTAACGTTTATTCGATTTATTTCGATTTTCATTTATTTAGACAACTTTGATTATTTTATTTTATTTTTTTTATTTCCTTAAAAACGGTGTAAGGCACTTTCTTAAAAGATAACAATACTGCTTTCTTAAATAATTAATTATTTTTTTTTTTTTAGTTATTGGAAATCGTTTTATTTTATTTGTACTTAAGTAGTTCTTCCTTATATACCTCTTAATAATAAAAAAAAGTATTTAAATAGATATAATTCGAAAAATAAACTTTATAGGGATGTGTTATATAAAAATGGTTTTAAATTTATCGTTTATCGGGTTCGGGGAATCTCGCTGGATTGAAGATATGGACCGAAATCGCTGCGGACATTAAAATCAAATATAAAGAGTACGCGATCATTTTTAAGACTCTCTCGTGCTTCTCCACCGAGATATTCTTGAGCACGGTGATTCCAATTAATAACCCGGCTAAGGCCCCGAAGAAATGTGCGGCATAACCGATGTGCTCGTCGTTTTTGTCGCCTACATAACGGTTATAAATCGCTGTTCCAACATCCGTACAAATAACAACAACGAATATCGCTAATTGAGCCAAAGGATACGTCATATCTTTCCAATTCTACAAAAAAAATGAATTAATTAATTAATATGAGAGATCAAATCAAAACTCGCCATAATAATTGATGCAATATGAGCGGTGATGAGGGCATAAACCCCCCCGCTAGCTCCAGCTAACCAAACAGAAGGATCCGTGACACTCGTCCCTAAAGAACCCGCAATAACCCCCGCTAAATAAACGATCAAAACCCTCCACCATTTATGAACCATCTCCAAAGGGACCCCAAGGAGTAATTGAACGAAGAGATTAACCAATAGATGAAGGAGACTAAAAATTATTCCAAATAGATTTAATTTAAAAAATGAATTCTTATTTACCCAACGTGCACAAACATGTAAGTGAAAAACCTCCATGCTTCTTGTCTACGATGGGGGTTATAAATATGTGCAGTAGCCATCGGCCCCCGAGCCATGGTGTTGCCTTGGACGGCATCGACGGTGAAAAAAACAATCTCGATTAATGATATGAGGATCATGCACACTTTCGGGGGCCAACACGAGTAACGCTCTTCGTAGCGCCCATCGGCCACATCGATTGATGTCGATGATTTAAGTCCCGATTGGTGAATCGATGGTGGAAGAAGATATCTCATGTACCTTTAATGATAAAAAAATTAAGGAAAAATTCGAAAAAACACAAATTCCTATTAAACCGGTCAATTCTCTTACATTTAAAACTAGAACTAAAAACATTCGAGTTTAGCCACACGTCTCTCAAGACGGCTAAACCCGAATAATTCTAGTTCTTGTATTAGTTTCTAAGACTAGACCGAAAACTAGAAGCATTCGGGTTTAGCCGCACGTCTCTCAAGACGGCTAAACCCGAATGATTCTAGTTTTAGGTCTTGTTCTAGTTTTGCATTAGAACTAACACAAGACCCAGAACTAGAATCATTCGGGTTTAGCCTCACGTCTCTTAAGACGGCTAAACCCGAATGATTCTAGTTTTAGGTCTTGTTCTAGTTTTGCATTAGAACTAACACAAGACCCAGAACTAGAATCATTCGGGTTTAGCCTCACGTCTCTTAAGACGGCTAAACCCGAATGATTCTAATTTTAGGTCTTGTGTTAGTTCTAATATAAAAAATAGAAAAAGTAAAAACTTGTTGTGAGAAATAATTAAATATTAAAATTTATTATTAAAGAGCAAACATGTTTCGAAACGATTGTTTCATCTTCAGTACCTGTTTTTAGGAAAAAAGTACAAAATAGGTAAAATGTTAAGAAAACGGATAAGAATAAATGACGGTAACGGTTCGGATTTGAAAATTAACTTACTTTAAAATATATGCAAAATGATGGAAAAATATAAATAAATTGGGAATATCTTAGTAAATTTTAGCAAATTTTCTTAAAAATAAAATTATTTCTTTATAGGTTTTCTTTTTGTTAAAAATAAAAAATTTTAGAAATATTGGAAATAAACTTATGGTAAGGGCGAGTTCGTAAAGACGTTACAATATTAATGCACGTGCCGAATCCAGAATGCGGAAAAGTAAATCTAAAAATTTGGCGGGCGATTATTTAAATTTGTGGTATAAACGTGTGTATTTGTTATCTAAAACTTCATTTAAAATTAAATCGGCATTGTTTTTTGAATTTTTGGAAATTTCATATTCTTCTAGCAAGTCTAGCTTCAATGATTTGGGTTGATGGTGTAATAATTCCATATTATTGAGGTTTATTTTATGATCTTTTTTGAATTTATTTATATTTTTGTATTTTTCCATCATTTTGCATATATTTTAAAGTAAGTTAATTTTCAAATCCGAACCGTTACCGTCATTTATTCTTATCCGTTTTCTTAACATTTTACCTATTTTGTACTTTTTTCCTAAAAACAGGTACTGAAGATGAAACAATCGTTTCGAAACATGTCTGCTCTTTAATAATAAATTTTAATATTTAATTATTTCTCACAAAAAGTTTTTACTTTTTCTATTTTTTATATATTTTATTGAGAAATATGGAGAATTTCATCCCTTTAAGTTCTAATGCAAAACTAGAACTAACACTAGACCGAAAACTAGAAGCATTCGGATTTAGCCTCACGTCTCTTAAGACGGCTAAACCCGAATGATTTTAGTTCTAGGTCTTGTGTTAGTTCTAATGCAAAACTAGAACTAACACAAAACCCAGAACTAGAATCATTCAGATTTAGCCTCACGTCTCTTAAGACGGCTAAACCCGAATGATTCTAGTTCTAGTGATGGTGTTAGTGTAAAACTGGAACTAACACTAGACCTAGAACTAGAAAATATCGAGTTTAGCCGTGCGTCTGAAGACGTAAAAACGTTTTTTACGTCACACCGTTATCATATGTTACCTTCCAAGATTTAACTAAAATATTGAATATTTTGATTTTGTTAAAATAATTTTTTGTATGTAAATTAAGTTGAAAGAAATTTAGATCCATTCCTAAACCCCACCTACTAACAAAATATTTTTCCATTATTTTGTATAATATTCTAAGTACTGAAGATGAAAGATTAGTTTCAAAACATGTTTGCTTGAATTGAATTAAACTTTTTAGTATTTCTCAAAAAGTTTTTAGAAATATGGAGAATTTCACCCCATGAAGTTGTCCATTTGTCTAATATACGATAACTAACTTCAGATTTAAACTGTCAACCTCAATTTCGACATATTTGTAATCTTCATTAAAAATCCTTTAAAATAAGTACAAACACGACATATTTATCTTCAATATTAATGAAGTTATGGTAAACTTCCGGTTTGAAATGTCAACGTCATTTTGACATATTCTTAATTTTTATAAAATGTCTCAAAATTTATCACGAAAACAAAAATATAATAAAAAAAATCAAAAATTAAGGTTGGTATTAAAATTTAAAAATTAAATTTCTAACTTCATTGTTGCTAACTTCGCGTTTAGTGGTTTTTAGTATAACTTTTTTGCTTTTTGAGATAAGTGCGTCATGTTTGGACTCATTTTAAAGGTTTTTTAATATAAAATACATCATGAAAGAACACCATGAAGTTGTCCATTTGACTATTATATGATAACTAACTTCAGGTTTAAAATGCCAACCTCAATTTTGACATATTTGTAATCTTCATTAAAAATCCTTTAAAATAAGTACAAACACGACATATTTATCTTTAATATTAATGAAGTTATGGTAAATTTCCGGTTTGAAATGTCAACGTCATTTTGACATTCTTAATTTTTATAAAATGTCTTAAAATTTATCAGAAAAACAAAAATATAATAAAAAAAAAAACAAAAATTAAGGTTGGTATTAATATTTAAAAATTAAATTGCTATATTCATTGTTGCTAACTTCGCGTTTAATGTTTTTTAGTCTAACTTTTTTGTTTTTTGAGATAAGTGTGTCATGTTTGGACTCATTTTAACGGTTATTTTATAAAGATTACGAATATAATAATAAAATTAAAGTTGACGTTAACACCTGAACGTTTTTTTCTTAGCCGTGCGTCGAAACTCTTTCAAAAAACAAGCAATTAGTAGTCTTTCCAACAATATTGAGCATTCTGAAAGTAGTTAATAGTCTTTTGGAAACAGTATCTCGTCTTTCCAATCAGTTTGTTAGCATTATCTAGTCTTCTCCAAGCAGAATGTAATCTTTTCCTCCAGTATCTAGCATTTTGGAAGCAGTAGGTACCTTTTTTAGAGAGCATATCTCTTCTTTTACAGTAGTATTTAGCATTCTGGCAGCATTAGGTAGCTTTTTGGAAAGCATATCTCTTTTCCAAACAAATATTAAGGTCTTTGAAAGCAATAGGTATTATTTCCAAGTAAGTGGTGGTCTTTTTCTGCAATATCTAGCATTTTAGAAGCAGTAGGTATCTTTTTGAAACAATATTTCCTTTTTCCAAGCAGTTTTTAGTCTTTTACTAGAAGCATTTAATCTTCTAATAGTAATAATTAATTAATTTAAAAAAATTGTCGATTTTTAAGCGACATAAATGATGATTATAATTTACTTATCAAGGATTACTTAGAAAAAAAATTATTTTTAAATTATCTCAAAATATAACCTCACTTTCGCTATCAATGTTTAATGTTTAACCAAGGCGGGGGTTACTCATTACTGATAAGAAGTGCGAATTAGATTTTAAATCCTTTTATAAGGTTATTAAACCTACGTACATATTAAAATATTGTCCGAAAATGTATTTATTTTCCGGATCCATAACCATATGAATAAATTCTTGGCAATCCAGTTTCCCATCGTCGTTTCGATCGGCGTTTTCGTGTATCCTACGTATAACGTGCCTTGGGATCCCTTCTTCATTACTTTGAAGGAATTCATAGAGTTCTCGGTAACAAACGTAACCATCTTTATCTTGATCAACCTGTTTAACGAAATTAATCAAATTAATTAATCAAATGGATAAATTAAAAACGTACCCGATCGAAAAGTTCCTTCAAATGTCCCGGAGTTTGTAAAGGGATGCTAAGGGAGTCGCTCCTGGCCCTAGGCATTGTAAAAACGAAACGATTAAGCGAAATGACAAAAATCGGCGTGTCGATACAAATTTATGGCTTAAACTAAACAGATAATCCTTTTTTTTTAATTTAGAGATAAGATAATACTTAATTTAATTCAAACTTACATTACAAATCATCGAAATCGGAGTTAACCTCAAAACCGTGACAGTTAAACTTGTCAAAACTCTCGAAAGTCAATTTTTTTTTTATATAGCTAACTTCATTGTTGTTATCGACGTTTTTATGTTATGTGTCATTAAAAAAATAATGCGAAATAACATGATTAATATGACCACAGGGAATTTCCGGTGTAAAGATAACGTTTCGGAACTAATTATAAGGTAATTGAGTATTAATCATCGTTTTTTAAACAAAATTCTTGGTTACCTCAAAAATTTCGAATGACAGGTGTTAAGTGTAGTTCGATTGATTCGATTTTTCGATTTAAAATTATTTCTTTTTTGTGATTAGAGTTAAATTGAAGGAAATATTGAACGAAAATATCATCGAGGATGGTGAAAAAGCCGATTTGGAGGATTTAACGGTGAAGTGGCAGGAGAAAAAATTCGGAAAATGGGAAAAAAAGTTTTATGGGGATGAAAAAAATTGTTTGACCGATTTGGATAAGAAATACCACGAAGAGATTAAAAAGCGACCCGAAATCAAGAAATTTTTATACAGCTATGTTGATGAGGATGATTATTCCCAACAGGAAGAGGTTTAAATCAAAAATTTTATCTTAATATGATACATAATAAAATTTTTGTTGTAGAATGTGCATAATTCGCAATTTACCAGCGAATTATCCAAAAAAATGGAGAATTTGCCCCCTGAAAACGATGTAGAATTAAAAAATAAATGCGAGTACACAAAAAATCTCTTAAAATCCTCATTAAACCCATTTATTGACAACAAATACGAGGTTATGTATATCATGGGTGATTTTGGGTAAATCAAATTAACTCCAATTAATTAATTAATTCATTATTTAATTAATTTTTTAGGGAATACATCGAAAACACTTGGATTAAACACGAATACATCTTAGCAACAATTAAATATTTCCCAAAAAGGAGATTATTAACAATTTATCCCGATTTTAACATCTTCGAACCATACAAATTGACAATAACCAGTGATATAACGAAAATTTATGAATACACCATCGAAAATGCGTCCCATTTCGTTAACGATCGCGAAAATGATTTGGAAAATGATATTTTAGATAAAGTAATTTGATTAAAATATCTTAATCAATGATTTTAATTAATTTTTAATTTTAGATATCAAAATATGAGAAAAAAATTAACCAACTATCCATATCAAATGATTTTTTAACCCCACCGAGTGAAAAATTAAATTATTATTTGTTCCTTGAGATAAAATCAGGGGAAAATTTCGAGTATAACAACGTTTATGTTCAATACTTCGTTGATTTGCCCCTAAATTGGTCGTGTTTCGACCAAAATCAACTCAAAGGCACCACTCAAGCTTGTACGAGAAGAAACGTTGATGGAAAATTTTATTTTGGAGCAATTTTCGAGGTTATTCTAAGCGTTGATTTAAACTTAACGAAAAAAATTTTAGATACCCCGTTTATTTATTTCGAAATTATCTCAAAAGACACTTTTAATCGGTTTAGAATCGAGGGTATCTCGTACTTAAAACTTCCAATTTTACCTGGAAGCTACGAAAAACGGTTGGAATGCCTTCGAATTCGCCCAGATAATATTTCAAACGAACTCCGCCGATTTTTTATCGGCGATTTTATGAGTTACGACGATATTACTTGGTTTTCTATGCCGAAATCGCATCAAGTAAGAATTTTTTTTATTAATTTATTAAGATAAATCAAAATTAACGATAAATTCGTAAAGATCGACCTCGAATTGTTCGAAATGACACCCAACATGACGTATTTACGTTGAAAAATAAATCGGAAAAAATTAAATTGTCACTTTGACAGGCGGCCATTTTGATTTATAAAAGTGAGGTTATCTCTGAAATTATTTATAATAAATTGGGGGAAAAAATCATATTTTTTAATTTTTAATCGAATAGAAACAATTTTAAACTTGTATTTAAAAAACAATATTAACCTCACTTTTTAAGGTTATAATTTTAATCAAAATTAACAATAAATTCGTAAAGATCGTCCTCTAATTGTTCGAAATGACACCCAACATGGCGTATTTACGATAAAAAATAAATCAGAAAAATTAAATTGTCACTTTGACAGGCGGCCATTTTGATTTATAAAAGTGAGGTTATCTCTGAAATTATTTGTAATAAATTGGGGGAAAAAAATCATATTTTTTTAATTTAGAATCGAATAGAAACAATTTTAAACTTCTATTTAAAAAACAATATTAACCTCACTTTTTAAGGTTATAATTTTAATCAAAATTAACAATAAATTTGTAAAGATCGTCCTCTAATTGTTCGAAATGACACCCAACATGACGTATTTACGATAAAAAATAAATCAGGAAAATTAAATTGTCACTTTGACAGGCGGCCATTTTGATTTATAAATGTGACGTTATCTCTGAAATTATTTGTAATAAATTGGGGGAAAAAAATCATATTTTTTTAATTTAGAATCGAATAGAAACAATTTTAAACTTGTATTTAAAAAACAATATTAACCTCACTTTTTAAGGTTATAATTTTAATCAAAATTAACAATAAATTCGTAAAGATCGTCCTCTAATTGTTCGAAATGACACCCAACATGACGTATTTACGATAAAAAATAAATCAAGAAAATTAAATTGTCACTTTGACAGGCGGCCATTTTGATTTATAATTTATAAAATCAAAATGGTGGTGTTTGAAGTTGTAAGTCATCGTTTTTAATTTCCAATACAATTTATTTAATTAAAATTAAAATTTCCAATTGACAGGCGGCCATCTTGAATTATAAAAGTGAGGTTATCTCCGAAACTATTCAAAATAAATCGGTGGTGTTTGGACTTAAAAATCATCGTTTTTAATGTAGAATCGAATAGAAACAATTTTAAGGTTGTATTTAAAAAACAATGATAACCTCACTTTTTAAGGTTATAATTTTAATCAAAATTAACAATAAATTGGTAAAGATCGTATTCTAATTGTTCGAAATGACACCCAACATGACGTATTTACGATAAAAAATAAATCAGAAAAATTAAATTGTCACTTTGACAGGCGGCCATTTTGAATTATAAAAGTGAGGTTATCTCCGAAACTATTCAAAATAAATCGGTGGTGTTTGGACTTAAAAATCATCGATTTTAATTTAGAATCGAATAGCGACAGTTTTAAACTTATATTTTAAAAAAATGATGTTTACGTTAAAAATTAATGTCGAAATGTCACTTTTGACAGCTAATTTAAATTGAAACGTTACATTTGATGATTGGTTTTGATTAAAACGTCATGATGTGTCGTTTAATAACAGTGAAACGTCAAATTGACAGGCGGCCATTTTGAATTATAAAAGTGAGGTTATCTCCGAAACTATTCAAAATAAATCGGTGGTGTTTGGACTTAAAAATCATGGTTTTTAATTTAGAATCGAATAGAAACAATTTTAAGGTTTTATTTAAAAAACAATGATAACCTCACTTTTTAAGGTTATAATTTTAATCAAAATTAACAATAAATTCGTAAAGATCGTCCTCTAATTGTTCGAAATGACACCCAACATGACATATTTACGATAAAAAATAAGTCAGAAAAGTTAAATTGTCACTTTGACAGGCGGCCATTTTGAATTATAAAAGTGAGGATATCTCCGAAACTATTCAAAATAAATCGGTGGTGTTTGGGCTTAAAAATCATCGATTTTAATTTAAAATCGAATAGAAACAGTTTTAAACTTATATTTTAAAAAAAATTATTTTAAATTAAAAATTAATGTCGAAATGTCACTTTTGACAGCTAATTTAAATTGAAACGTTACATTTGATGATTGGTTTTGATTAAAACGTCATGATGTGTCGTTTAATAACAGTGAAACGTCAAATTGACAGGCGGCCATTTTGATTTATAATTTATAAAATCAAAATGGTGGTGTTTGAAGTTGTAAGTCATCGTTTTTAATTTCCAATACAATTTATTTAATTAAAATTAAAATTTCCAATTGACAGGCGGCCATCTTGATTTATAAAAGTGAGGTTTTCTCCGAAACTATTCAAAATAAATCGGTGGTGTTTGGACTTAAAAATCATGGTTTTTAATTTAGAATCGAATAGAAATAATTTTAAACTTATATTTAAAAAAAAAAAAGTTTTTAATTAATAAATTTTTTTAATTTTTAGGATGTTGTTTTAAATAAACAAGGCACGACAACGTTAAGTTCGGGTTCAATCGAAATCAAGTTCAACATCATCGAACAATCGCGCGTTTTCATGGAAACCGACGACGAAAATCGCACCGGAAGTAGACGCGAACGCCTCATTTCGAGCAAATTAAACGGGGGATTAGCGAAAACCGTCCGCGAAGTTCTCAAAGCGTTTAAAGAGGCGCGAAGGAACATGTTGGAGGCGCGAGAAAAGATTTTTACTTGAATTAATAAAGAAAAAAAATAATTTGAGGTAAATTTTATTTATTAATTTTTTTAAATTTAATAACCCAATTTCTTTCCCTACTAAAATAATTAATTAGTAATTAATAAAACAATATTTATTAAAACTTCATAAAAAAAAAACTTGGCAACACCGCTCGTAAGAACTCGGCAATGATCGATATTATTAAAACGTTACGAATTAAGATTGGATTGATTCGGGTCGTTTCGCTTTTAAATCGGGCGTTTTCGTTTTGCCTCGTTTCTCGTCGATTTTCGGTGCTTTTAGGTCGAATTAATTCGCAAATTTTGTTCTAAAACATTTTTTTTGCATCTTAAAGTAATTTTTGAAAAAAATTTGATTAATTCGAGTTAATTATTATTATTTTTTTTTGAACATAACCTCTCCGAAACGCGTGGTTGCCAGATAAATCCGATCTAAACGCGTTCTAATCCTCGCGGTGTCTTGGCCTTGGGAGCGACGTTGCCACGTTTTTCTTTCAAACCGATTCTCATTGAATCAAGTTGAATCGAGTCGTGTCATTGACATATGCGTAATTATTTGGTTAATAAAACATTTTTTATTTTATTTAATATATAAAACAAATTTAATTTTTTTTTGTTTAAAAATTAATTTTTTTAATTTAATTATGTTTTAGGGAAGAAATTGGGGTATTTTTTGATTCAATTTAATTTTTTTTTGGAAAAATTGAATCAAAAAAAGAAAAAAAAAATGAGAAAGGAACCTAAAGTAGCTTTTTGTGAAGACTCCCGTGGCAAAAACCTCTTTAAAGGGGATGTATCCATCTCGTTTTAAAGAATTTCGCTTTGTTTTGAAGCAAAAATAGTCCTTTATCTTATTTTTTTCGGTTAATGCAACAATTTTTTTTTTGTTTTTAAGTTTTATTTGTTATTATTAACACATTAAGTGCGTTTTAATTAATTGTTATTAAAACGATTTAACGAAAGAAACTAAATTGAAGGGGAACAACTTTCTCCACAGAAATTAGTAGGTCGAAAAAGATCTAAGAAAAATAATAAATAAAAACGGGGACGGATCGAAATTGGAGCTTAAATTATCGAAAGGAAAATTTGCAATAATAATTTATGGGGATGTGTTTCGTCGGGTCGAGAAATTCTATCCTCTTCAAACTCGGTTTCGATCGATACACGTCCGGGTTTATTTTGGGATTCAAAAATTATTTCGAGAATTATTAAGTAAAATGTGCTTCATCAACTTTAATTGAGAAATTAGCACAGAAGTGAACGCAAATATACTTACAGTTTACATCCTAAATGTTTTTTTGACAGCGCAAACTTCATATTTGACATATAAACGTCAATAATTAATGTTAAAACGTCAAATTTGACACTTACTTTATGTTGAAACGTCAAATTTACTATTTAAATGACGAAAATGGGAAAATTAACATCAAATTTGATTGGCAGATGATATTAAAATGTCTAAATTAACAAAATAAGCGTTGTTTGACAAATAAATGTTATAATTTGGTGTTGAAATGTCAATTTTGACAGTTACTTCATGTTGAAACGTCAAATTTACTATCTAAATGACGAAAATGGGAAAATAAACATAAAATTCGATTGGCAGATGATATTAAAATGTTAAAATTTACAAAATAAGCATTGTTTGACAAATAAATGTTATAATTTAGAATTGAAATGTCAAATTTGACAGTTACTTCATGTTGAAACGTCAAATTTACTATCTAAATGACGAAAAAGGGAAAATTAACATCAAATTCGATTGTTAGATGACATTAAAATGTCAAAATTAACAAAATAAGCGTTGTTTGACAAATAAATGTTATAATTTAGTGTTGAAACGTCAATGTTGACAGTTACTTCATGTTGAAACGTCAAATTTACTATCTAAATGACGAAAATGGGAAAATTGATATCAAATTCGATTGGCAGATGACATTAAAATGTCTAAATTAACAAAATAAGCGTTGTTTGACAAATAAATATTATAAGTTAGTGTTGAAATGTCAAATTTACTATCTAAATGACGAAAACGGGAAAATTAACATCAAATTCGATTGGCAGATGATATTAAAATGTTAAAATTTACAAAATAAGCGTTGTTTGACAAATAAATGTTATAATTTAGAATTGAAATGTCAAATTTGACAGTTACTTCATGTTGAAACGTCAAATTTACTATCTAAATGACGAAAATGGGAAAATTAACATCAAATTCGATTGTTAGATGACATTAAAATGTCAAAATTAACAAAATAACCGTTGTTTGACAAATAAATGTTATAATTTGGTGTTGAAATGTCAATTTTGACAGTTACTTCATGTTGAAACGTCAAATTTACTATCTAAATGACGAAAAATGGAAAATTAACACCAAATTCGATTGTTAGATGACATTAAAATGTCAAAATTAACAAAATAACCGTTGTTTGACATATAATTGTTATAATTTGGTGTTGAAATGTCAATTTTGACAGTTACTTCATGTTCAAACGTCAAATTTACTATCTAAATGACGAAAAAGGGAAAATTAACATCAAATTCGATTGTTAGATGACATTAAAATGTCAAAATTAACAAAATAACCGTTGTTTGACAAATAAATGTTATAATTTAGAATTAAAATGTCAAATTTGACAGTTACTTTATGTCGAAATGTCAAATTTATTATCTAAATGACGCAAACGAGAAAATTGACATCAAATTCGATTGGCAGATGACATTAAAATGTCTAAATTAACAAAATAAGCGTTGTTTGACAAATAAAAGTTATAATTTAGAATTGAAATGTCAAATTTGACAGTTACTTCATGCTGAAACGTCAAATTTACTATCTAAAAGATAAAAACGGGAAAATTGTCACCAAATTCGATTGGCAGATGACATTAAAATGTCTAAATTAACAAAATAAGCGTTGTTTGACAAATAAATGTTATAATTTAGTGTTGAAATGTCAATTCTGACAGTTACTTCACGTTGAAACGTCAAATTTACTATCTAAATGACGAAAACGGGAGAATTAACATCAAATTCGATTGTTAGATGACATTAAAATGTTAAAATTAACAAAATAACCGTTGTTTGACAAATAAATGTTATAATTTAGTGTTGAAACGTCACTTTTGACAGTTAATTTAAATTGAAACGTCACATTTAACGATTGGTTTAGATTAAAACGTCAATTTGTGTCATTTAATCACATTGAAGTGTCAAAATTGACGAAATAAACGTTATTTGGCAAATAAACCTTAAAAATTAATGTTCAAATGTCACTTTTGACAGTTAATTTAAATTGAAACGTCACATTTAATGATTGGTTTAGATTTTTATTTGTTGAACTTCAAAATTAACATTAATTTTACATTTTACAGGTAAACGTCAAAATTTTATGTCGAAACGTCAAATTTGACAGTTACTGAAAACATTAATTTTGACTTAAATCGGATTTACTCGTCAATTAATACAAAAACGTCTCGTTTCCGAGGTTAACGTCAAAAATTAATGTTAAAACGGCAATTTTGACATTTCCTTGTCATTGACAGTTAGATGAATTTGACAGGTGATGCAAATTAGTTATTAAAAATGAGCAAATCGTTTTAACGTTACACTGAGAAATCAAAATTAATGCAAAAACGTCGCGTTTGATCAAAAATGAATGTTAAAACGTCAAATTTGACATTTTGTTGTCATTGAAACATCAATAAATAACACAAAGAACTTAAAATTAATACAAAAACGTCGCGTTTGAGAGGTTAACGTCAAAAATTAAAGTCAAATTTGACATTTAAATAAATAAAACGATTAAATTGTTTAATTTTTCAAAAACAATGAAATCATAAACGTCAAAATTGACAGTTAATATTAACGTTTGAGGTTATGTTTTAAACTATTTTTGTTGTTTTTTTAAGATAAATCGTCGTGTTTGGGCTAAAATGAACCGATTTTTTATCGAGGATTAAAAAATTGAATTAATTTACAATTTAATTTAATTATTATATTAAAAAGTTATTTTTGACGTGAATTTATTTATTTCGTTTCTTTTCAATGTTATTATTATTATTATTTTTCTCAAAAGCGATCTCTCTTTATTTTCGCTTTCGAATACATCCCCTTTAAAATAACAGTCCGCCTAGTTCCGTCCTTTTTCGCCGGCATCATCCGTCTCCTTCTACTTTTCCATCTTTGAAAATAAAGAAAAAAAAAGCGCCATCTCCCCGAGTAACAACGTATGAAAATTTTACCCCGATATTCTTATTTAATTTTTTTTTTATTAATTTTATTTAATGTGTTTCGGTCGATTTAAATTAATTTAAAATAATAATTTTTTTTTAGGTTAATTTATTTGGTGTTATTTCGTTTCGGATCGGCGATAACAGATGGCGCTTACGCGTGCTCCCCTATTCGTACGGTTATTGGACTCGGCCCGAACCCGTTCGTGCGACGACGATCGTAGACGAAGCGTATCCAAGATGTCCGCCGCGCGGGGCCCTCTCCAGTAGAAACGACGTCGATTGCGACGAATACAAATTTGGACGTTATTAAAACGTAACGATTTGAATCGAAGGGTTTTTTTTGTATTTTTTTTTGATCGGGTTCCGTTTTGCGCCCCCGTTTAGAGTTTGTGTGGAAAAAGAAGCAACGGTGAGGTGTGGTGACGACGACGAAGGAGACCACAACGAACAACACAACACTTAGTGGGGCCCTAAGAAGAGATTACGTTTAAAAGTATTTATTTTTGTATCAAAGGGAGTTTTTTTTTTAATTTTTTGTTTTGGTTTAAAAAGTAGTGTGAGTGTGTCGTGGGGCGGAAGTTGTCCAGGACGCCGTCGTCGTTGTCGTAAACGTCGCCGCGCCCCCGCAACGGGGCGCCCCCAGTGCCCGCCGTGACCCTGTGCGCGTACGATGTGATGGAAACGGTGGTTCGCATCGACCATGGAGCCCCGGCAGCTATGTCTTACGCCCAGAGGCAACAGCAGCACAGGTTAGTTTTTTATTTTAATCCCAAATAACCTCATCACCTTATAAATTGAGGTTATATTGTTTCAAAAAACCATATTTTTGAAATATGTTGTTGTAGGTTTGTTTTGATCGCGATCGGCCGCCATTTGCTGTAACCCCAGCATGTTACTTTAAAAGTTGATTCAAAAATCGTTGATGTATTCATAAAAAGAAAGAAATTAAGTGATCCCTCAAGTTAACCGCGACTTGATCAAAACGCTACGGTTAATCCAAATTTAATTAATTTTTCGTTAAGTTTATTTACAAAAAATTAAAAATAGAAAGTTTGATTTACAAAATTGCTTAATTAAACCTTAATCCGCGTTGTCGGCCATTTGCTGTTGTGATCAACAAAAAGAACGTTCTAATTTAGCCGAAATTACCTAAATTCAATTAGGAATATGTTTAATTGATTTTTAGAAACACATTTTTCTTTTATTTAAAATTATTTTTGTGAAGAAGCCGTCGCATTCTCTCTTACACTCTTGATTACAACAAAATTATTACCGTTGACTTGGATTTTTTGATTCTTCGCCTTATGTTGGTAATAAATTTTATGTTGGTAATGTCTTAGAAATGTCATTTAAATTCTTTTAATTAATTCTTTAAGTTCATTTAAAAATCAGTTTGTGGGTTAAAATTAGGGTTGAACGGTCGCTGTTGTTTCAAGATGTTGCAATTAAATTGTGTAATTAGTTAATTATGGGCGAAAATTGAGCGTATGTGATACTTCTCGGTAGATAGCTGGAGGAGAAGACTAGATAATACTTGTATACATCTATAAATACTAATTCAAATCTAGATGCATCATGGAGACAACTATAATTGCTTGTAGAAGTCCAGATAATGCTTAGAGGCAGCTATAACTGCTATTAGAAGACTAAATAATGTTTGGGGATATCTGTAACTGTTAACAGAAGACTAGATAATGCTTGGAGATGAGTAAAATTGCTATTAAAAGGCTAGATAATGCTTGTGAAATCCAGATACTGATTGGAAACAACTATAATTGCTATTGGAAGACTAAATAATGCTTGTGACAATCTAGATACTGATTTGAAACAACTATAACTGCTATTAAAAGACTAGATAATGCTTGAAGATGATTAAAATTGCTATTAAAAAATTAGATAACGCTTGGAGACATCTGTAACTGCTAATAGAAGACTAGATAATGCTTGTAAAATCTAGATACTGATTGAAAACAACTATAACTGCTATTAGAAGACTAAATAATGCTTGTGACAATCTAGATACTGATTTGAAACAAGTGTAACTGCTGTTAGAAGACTAGGTAATACTTGGAGATGACTAAAATTGCTATTAAAAGACTAGATAATGCTTGGGGGCATCTATAACTGCTAATAAAGACTAGATAATGCTTGCAGACAGTTATAACTACTAATAGAAGAATAAATACTACTTGGGGATATCAATAACTGCTAATAGAAGACTAGATAATGCTTGGAGATGACTAAAATTGCTATTAAAAGACTAGATAATGCTTGGGGGCATCTATAACTGTTAATAGAAGACTAGATAATGCTTGTGACAATCTAGATACTGATTTGGAACAACTACAACTGCTATTAGAAGACTAGATAATGCTTGGAATGACTAAAATTGCAATTAAAAGACTAGATAATGCTTGAAGATGACTAAAATTGCTATTAAAAACTAGATAATGCTTGAAAATGACTAAAATTGCTATTAAAAGACTAGATAATGCTTGGGGGCATCTATAACTGTTAATAGAAGACTAGATAATGCTTGCAGACAATTATAACTAATAATAGAAGACTAAATACTACTTGGAGACATCAATAACTGCTAATAGAAGACTAGATAATGCTTGTGAAATCTAGATACTGATTGGAAACAACTATAACTACTATTAGAAGACTAGATAATGCTTGTGACAATCTAGATACTGATTTGGAACAATTACAACTGCTATTAGAAGACTAGATAATGCTTGAAGATGACTAAAACTGCTATTAAAAGACTAGATAATGCTTGGGGGCATCTATAACTGTTAATAGAAGACTACATAATGCTTGCAGACAATTATAACTAATAATAGAAGACTAAATACTACTTGGGGACATCAATAACTGCTAATAGAAGACTAGATAATGCTTGTGAAATCTAGATACTGATTGGAAACAACTATAACTACGATTAGAAGACTAGATAATGCTTGTGACAATCTAGATACTGATTTGGAACAACTCCAACTGCTATTAGAAGACTAGATAATGCTTGGAATGACTAAAATTGCTATTAAAAGACTAGATAATGCTTGAAGATGACTAAAATTGCTATTAAAAGACTAGATAATGCTTGGGGACATCTATAACTGCTAATAGAAGACTAGGTAATGCTTGGAGATGACTAAAATTGCTATTAAAAGACTAGATAATGCTTGGGGACATCTATAACTGCTAATAGAAGACTAGGTAATGCTTGGAGATGACTAAAATTGCTATTAAAAGATTAGATAATGCTTGGGGACATCTATAACTGTTAATAGAAGACTAGATAATGCTTCTGACAATCTAGATACCAATTTGAAACAACTATAACTGCTATTAAAAGGCTAGATAATGCTTGACGACATCTATAACTGCTAATAGAAGACTAGATAATGCTTGTGAAATCCAGATACTGATTGGAAACAACTATAACTACTATTAGAAGACTAGATAATGTTTGTGACAATCTAGATACTGATTTGGAACAACTACAACTGCTATTAGAAGACTAGATAATGCTTGGAATGACTAAAATTGCTATTAAAAGACTAGATAATGCTTGAAGATGACTAAAATTGCTATTAAAAGACTAGATAATGCTTGGGGATATCTATAACTGCTATTAGAAGACTAGATAATGCTTGGAGATGACTAAAATTGCTATTAAAAGACTAGATAATGCTTGGGGATGCTGCTATTAAAAGCATTATCTACTTGGGGATATCTATAACTGTTAATAGAAGACTAGATAATGTTTCTGACAATCTAGATACCGATTTGAAACTAAATTACCAAGTAGATAATGCTATTAAAAGCATTATCTGCTTGGGGATATCTATAACTGCTAATAGAAGACTAGATAATGCTTGCGACAATCTAGATACTGATTGGAAACAATTAAAACTGCTATTAGAAGACTAGATAATACTTGGAGATGATTATAACTACTATTAAGAGATTATATAATGTTTGCGACAATCTAGTTACTGATTTGAAACAACTATAACTGTTATTAGAAGATTAAATAATGCTTGGAGATGACTATAACTACTATTAAAAGACTAGATAATGCTTGGGGACATCTATAACTGCTAATAAAATACTAGATAATGCTTGCAGACAGCTATAACTACTTGTAGAAGTCCAGATGATGCTTGGAGACAGCTATAACTGCTGTTATAAGACTGAATAATTCTCGGTGATATCTATAACTGCTAATAGAAGACTTGATAATGTTTGGAGATGACTAAAATTGGTATTAAAAGACTAGATAATGCTTGTGGCAATCTAGATATTGGTTGTAGACATCTATAACTGCTAATAGAAGACGAATAATGTATGGAGACGACTATAACTGGTATTAAAAGACTAGATAATGCTTGTGGCAATCTAGATATTGGTTGTAGACTATAACTGCTAATAGAAGACGAATAATGTATGGAGACGACTATAACTGTTATTAGAAGACTAGATAATGCTTGTGGCAATCTAGATATTGGTTGGGGACATCTATAGCTGGTAATAGAAGACTAGATACTGCTTTAGAATTCATAAATTTGGAATTGATGAACATATTTGTTAGTTTTTCTGTCAATTCTAAACATTTATTAATTGTTTTGAGAGTTAACATAGCTGAAAAGGTGTTTTCGTTATTTTCATCACTGATTGTCATCTAACTAAATCTGCCAGATCTTTTTCTGTCAGTTGAGAATCATGCGACTCAAGTAGTTCAATATTCTATATCTTAGCCCTACAACATTTGGCCATATTTTCCTCCAGCTCCATTCAATGTAGTTTTTTTCAATTCATCTCAATAATCAGCAATATTGCAATCATTGTGTCAAAATAAGGTAGGAAGGTGAAATAGAAAAAGATATTTCTGTTGATAAAAGTTGAACGGAAATATGTAGAAACTTTAAATTTAGCATACATTTTATTGAGATCGTTCCATGTCTTCTAAAGAGTACGTTTCAGACTGTCTCTACATGGAATAATCGTTTCAGCCTTGTGTGCAGGCGATGAGTCCTGTTGGAATGTCCATTACACTTTTTTTTTTATAAGTGTCTCATCAAAAATGTTCTGACAGTTAATTTTGACTTCATGATCTTCAAAAATCATCGGAGTCTTCCCGGTTGAAATCATTCTGGCCCAAATTGTGGTGATTTTTTCCATATCATTTTGAGTCTTTTTGGCTCAACCTCAAAATCATGGCACGATCATCTGAAAACGCAAAAAACAATCATTTAGATTTTTTTCAAGTCTTTAGTAACAATAAGACGAACGCGAAGTTAAGCTCTTAAACTTTTTTTAACACAATATTGTTTCAAGAAATCCAGATATTGCTTGGAGAGAACTATAATTGTTAATACAAGACTATTTAGTGTTGGCAAAAGATTATAACCTGCTGGATATTGCTTACAGAAGACTAGATAGTGCTTCTAGAAGACTATATAGTGCTAAAACAAGACTATGTAGTGTTGGCAGAAGATTATATACTGCTTCTAGAAGACTATATAGTGCTAAAATAAGACTATACGTTATTTACAGACTAGATAAGGCATGCAGAAGATGAGGTACTGCTTGAAGACGACTATAACTATTAATAGAAGACTATGTGCTGTTGGCAAAAGACTATATATTGTTGGCAGAAGACTAGATACTGCTTCCAGAAGACTACTTAGTGCTAAAAGAAGACTACACAGTATGGATACGGCTGTCAGAAGATGAG